CACCACGTACCACCACCACGTACCACCACCACGTACCACCACCACGTACCACCACCACGCACCACCACCACCACCACGTACCACCACCACCATGTACCACCACCACCACCACTTACCACCACCACGTATCACCACCACCACCACCATGTACCACCACCACCATGTACCACCACCACCACCATGTACCACCACCACCACGTATCACCACCATCACACGTGAGATATTGTATTTAGACTACAGTGTTCTCTTATCCGGTGTCTCCACTGCTCTCTCACCTTCTCCCCCAACCACACGTCCCACGAAGCCACCAGATTCCTCGCGACGTGTCTGACCTAGATTGTGGATGTCACCACTCGCCCGGCTCGCCTTGTCATTACAGAGCACGTGTGACTTTCTCTGGTGGTGGTGTTGGTGGTGGTAGTGGTGTTAGCAGTGGTGGTGGTAGTAGTGGTGGTGTTGGCAGTGGTGGTGGTGTTGGCAGTGGTGGTGGTAGTGGTGGGTGGTAGTGGTGTTGTTGGCAGTGGTGGTGGTGGTGTTGAGGCTACACGGGGGATATTTGTCTTTGTGTGTACGTGTGTGTGTGTACGTGTGTGTGTGTACGTGTGTGTGTGTACGTGTGTGTGTGTGTACGTGTGTGTACGTGTGTGTGTGTACGTGTGTGTGTTTGGGGAGCGGTAGTGGAGCGGTTAGCACACTGCGCTACGAACCCGGAGACCCGAGTTCGATTCCCGCTCACGGCCAACACCGCCAGTGACGATTATCTGAACCGGTCTTGGGCCTCCCCTACGTCGACTCAGCCTGAAATGAGTACCCGGTGCGGTGTGTAAACATCGCCACGACGGAGATAAAGGCGGTCGGGCGTGGTGCTGGCCACCCACCCCATAATGTACCGTTCCAGCCTTCATAGGTGCTCGCTAACAGCACTTGCCCCTACAGTCTGTTAAGGCTATATGGGGGATCTTTGTCTTTGTACACGTGTGTGTGTTTGCGGTAATGCAGCCGTTAGGTCGCTGCCCAAGGAGCTCTGCGACACGAGTTCATTTCCCGGCCACGACCGTGAACAGTGGCAAACGTTTGAGCCATTCCTGCAAATGGCGAGGTAGTGAACATCTCCTAGCCACCGTGATGATGATGAGAGAGACACGCAAACTCCAAATATACAGCAGCTGGCGTCAGGGTCGGGATCGAACCCACGACCTCCTGTATACCAGGCGAGGTAGTGAACATCTCCTAGCCACCGTGATGATGATGAGAGAGACACGCAAACTCCAAATATACAGCAGCTGGCCTCAGGGTCGGGATCGAACCCACGACCTCCTGTATACCAGGCGAGGTAGTTAACATCTCCTAGCCACCGTGATGATGATGAGAGAGACACGCAAACTCCAAATATATAGCAGCTGGCGTCAGGGTCGGGATCGAACCCACGACCTCCTGTATACCAGGCGAGGTAGTTAACATCTCCTAGCCACCGTGGCAACACGCTCACGGGACCTCAGGACCTCCTCTTGTCTGTGACTCTGTTGTGGATTGAGTGACACCCAGCTACTCACCTACCCACTCACCTACCTACTCACCTCCCCACTCACTTACCTACCCACTCACCTACTCATGCACCTACTTGCCTGCCTCACTCACCTACCCACTCAATCATCTGTTCGCTCACTCACCTACCCACTCACCTACCCACTCACCTACCCACTCACCTACTCACTCACCTACTCACTCACCTACCCACTTACCTACTCACTCACCTACCCACTCACCTACCCACTCACCTACCCACTCACCTACCCACGATGATGGCTCAGCTTGCAAACTCGCGCTAGATAACCGGGAGGTGGGCGACACCTTTAAAGCCACAGACGTGGAGCGGTGGGCACCCGGCTGGGATTACTCACCCGGGGACCCCTTGACAACAACAATCTACCACCAATGTTACACGATTGTTATTGTGAAGAGGTGGACGGGGTCAGGGTTGTGGAGGAGGTGACCTCTGTGACCCCGTGAGCCCACACTGGAGCCGCAACGGCCTCTGATCAGTGGCGTCATCCCTGCCGTGGCGGATGGACAAGGCACATTGACGTCACAACACCATTGCAATGCACGGCCTTGTGACCACATTGTAACGGTGGTATACAAATATTATATTATAATACAATGTCGCGTTATGGGATGCATCATTGCATTAGACCACGTATTGTATCGTTATATCATGTACCAGCTGTACTAGCCGGCTTTGCCCGGGACTTGGATCCATCACGCACGGCGATGTTTGCACACCACAGCAGTTACTCGTTTGAGGCTGAGTCAACCTAGGGGAGGCCCAGGAACGGTTGAAATAATCGTCACCGGTGGTGGCCGTGAGCGGGAATCGAACTCGGGTCGCCGGGTTCGTAGCGCGGCGCGCTAACCACTACGCTACAACGCGTTACGCTTCCACGTGCGCGGGTCACGTGACAGATGTGACGTCACAGCTCACTTGCCGTGCAAAATAGATACATTATTGAGCTCCCCCCCACAAAAAAAAACACAAAAGTGTATTTTATTAAGCTTTGCATGGTGTACAGTCTGGAAAGTACCCACATGGCAAATTTCAAGTTTGTTGCATGTCGGGAAGTACGCTAAACATCTTGAACAGACATACACATAATCACAACTTGCCCTTGTATATATATGGAGAAGATTATCTTCTTGGTTCTTTCGGTAAAGTCACGTAGAAGGGAAATACTAAAATAATAAACATACAACATAATAAAATAATTCTCACGACGTTTCGGCCATCACCCTCTTGATATGCAAATCCTTTTTGTCAAGGCGCTCTTCCCCCTCCAACCCAGCTTAAATATACGCTCCAAGCCTGGGGTGTTTCATTCCAATGCTGTCTCCCCGACAGACCTGTTCTTCACCTGAGGACGGCTGCTTCCGTTGTGGGCGAAACGTCGTGATAATTATTTTATTATGTTTTATTTTTATTACTTTATTATTTCCCTTCTACGTGACTTTACCGAAAGAACCAAGAAGATGAATCCCTGCAGTCACGAAAGCTTTAAATAAAAATACGGAGATTATGTCATGATATGTAATAATATCGGTACGTATAATGACGATGATGCTGCCTATGACCACGCTGCCGCTGATGATGATGATGGCGATAAGGTGAATCACCACGGAACACTTGCTCATCCGCCGTGGCAAATCTCTCCGCGGACACACCAGGGGCACACGTGCACCCCAAGGTGGGGTTCCCTTCCGTCTGGTTCATCCACATTCCGACCCGTCTTTGTATCTCCCGTTGCCAGTGCCAGGGAAACAGGCACAAGTACATACCACCACTCCCCCCACCCCCCCCCCCCACTATCTCTGGCTCTCTCCATCAACGGCGCATCGCACACATTGAGGTTGGCCGTGGGGGGTTTAAGACCACGCAGGAATGCATCGACTCGCGTCAACTATTCAAGGTACGGAGAGGTGCAGGCGCAGCCCCTGCAAGTGCCTTCCTCGAGGCCACTGCTAGCCGCAGGTGTGCACCACCGGGAAGGAGCTGTGGTGTCGCGTCGTTTGGCCTACTCTTCCACACTCCCCAGGGCAGAGACTAGAGCCACGCTTTACCCCGCCGCACGCGACCTGCCGATCGCAGGCGATTCATTTAGCCGGCGAGATGTTGACTACCTCGCCTGGTCTACAGGAGGTCGTGGGTTCGATCCAGACCCTGACGACTGCTGCTGTATATTTGGAGTTTGCGTGTCTCTCTCTCTCTCATCATCATCACGGTGGCTAGGAGATGTTAACTACATCGCCTGGTGTACAGGAGGTCGTGGGTTCAATCCTAACCCTGACGCCTGCTGCTGTATATTTGAAGTTTGCGTGTCTCTCTCATCATCATGGTGGCTAGATGTTAACTACCTCGCCTGGTATACAGGAGGTCGTGGGTTCGATCAAGACCCTGACGCCTGCTGCTGTATATTTGGAGTTTGCGTGTCTCTCTCTCTCATCATCATCATCACGGTGCCTAGGAGATGTTAACTACCTCGCCTGGTATACAGGGGGTGGTGGGTTCGATCCAGACCCTGACGCCTGCTGTATATTTGGAGTTTGAGTGTCTCTCTCATCATCATGGTGGCTAGATGTTAACTACCTCGCCTGGTATACCGGAGGTCGTGGATTCAATCACGACACTGACGCCTGCTGCTGTATATTTGGAGTTTGCGTGTCTCTCTCTCATCATCATCATCATGGTGGCTAGGAGATGTTAACTACGTCGCCTGGTGTAGTCGTGGGTTCGATCCCGATCCTGACGCCTGCTGTATATTTGAACTTTGCGTGTCTCTCACTCTCTCCGTGGCCGCGTGGATTTCTCCTCCGGCTCCTCTGATTTATTTTTATCCCCTCTCCACATTTTAGTAATCGCCGTCATGCCTGTCAAGTATTTGGCTGCTATGAATGTGCACGCGATGACGGCGAGCCCACTCCGCTCAGCTATTGTCTGCGAAAAGCCAGGTCGCTTCTGAAAAAGAACTACGTTGCAGATCAGTGGGGCCTTAACAAAACACGTTAAATTAACGCCGCTACTGCTATTGCTGCTCTTGCAATCAGCCTCCCTGCGTGGGTAATTGCACCATCATGCCCCATGGCTCAACATCCATCCATCCGTGCGTGCGTGATGGGACAGTGTGCGGAGAGTTCCCGCCGTACCCTTTCAACGTCGTAAATCTTCCTTGATGATGGCGATGTTGCCAATGGCGATGGTGATGTTGACGATGGCGATGATGACGTCGATGGTGACGATGATGGTAACGTTGATGTTGTAGCCGCTGTGCAAGGCGGCCTACAAGGGCGACGCACTGGTCGTGTCGTGGCTGCTGGACCGGTGATGTTGATGTTGACGATGTTGATGTTGATGGTAATGGTGATGACGACGTTGATGGTGATGATGTTGATGGTGATGTTGACGATGATGTTGATGATGACGATGATGGTGATGATGTCGATGTTGTAGCCACTGTGCGAGGCGGCCTACAAGGGCGACGCGCTGCTGGTGTCGTGGCTGCTGGACCGTGACCCCTCGCGGATCGACGGCCGCGACCCCAACGGCGACTCGTCGCTGCTGGCCGCGTGCCGCGGGGGCCACCCCCCCGTCGCGCGCCTCCTGCTCAAGCGCGGCGGGGACGTGGGAGCCACCACCAAGGTAGCGTCGTCGTTATCGCCGTCGTCATCACCGTCGTCGACATCGTCATCATCATCGTCAGCATCGTCGTCACCGTCGTCGACATCGTCAACATCATCACCATCATCGCCAACATCGTCGCCTTCTTCAACATCATCGTCAATATCATCATCGTCAATATCGTCAACATTGTCGCCATCTTCAACATCATCGTCATCATCACCATCGTCAACATCATCATCACCATCATCGTCAACATCGTCGCCATCTTCAACATCATCGTCAATATCATCACCACCATCATCATCAACATCGTCGCCATCTTCAACATCATCGTCATCATCACCATCGTCAACATCATCATCACCATTGTCATCATCATCGTCATCATCGTCACCATCGTCACCATCATCATCATTGTCATCATCGTCATCACCATCGTCATCATTGTCATCACCATTGTCATCATCATTGTCATCATCGTCAACATCGTCACCATTGTCATCATCGTCATCACCATCGTCATCATTGTCATCATCGTCATCACCATCGTCATCATTGTCATCACCATTGTCATCATCATCGTCATCATCGTCATCATCGTCATCATCGTCACCATCATCATCATTGTCATCATCGTCATCACCATCGTCATCATTGTCATCACCATCGTCATCATCATTGTCACCATCATCATCATTGTCATCATCGTCACCATCGTCATCATTGTCATCATCATCGTCAACATCGTCAACATCATCATCACCATTGTCATCATTGTCATTATCGTCATCACCATCATCATCATCATTGTCATCATCACCAGCATCTTAATCATCTATATCGGCACCATCGCCACCATCATCATCATTATATACATCGACACCACCATCATTAACCTCTAAATCAACACCATCATCACTTCCATCATCATCATCAACCTCTACATTGACATCATTATCACCACCACGATCTTCATCATCTACATCGACACAATCATCACCATCATCTACATCGACACCATCGCCACCATCATCATCATCTCTCTCATTGTGGGGAGCGGTGGCATAGCGGTTAGCGCGCCGCGCTACGAACCTGGCGACCCAACTTCGATTCCCGCTCACGGCCAACACCCAGTGACGATTATCTGAACCGATCCTGGGCCTCCCCTAGGTCGACTCAGCCTCAACTGAGTACCCGGTGCGGTGTCTAAACATCGCCACGGGGGAGATAAAGGCGGCCGGGCTTGGCGCAGGCCACCCACCTCCTCGCCCGCTGCTACTCGCTAGCAGCACTTGCCCCAGCAGTCCGTGGAGGCTACACGGGGGACCTTTGCTGTCTGTGCGTGGTGCAGAGTGGCCGCTCGTGTCTCCACGTGGCGGTGCGGCGGCGATTCTCGTGGCTGGACGCGCTGCTCATCGTGCTGCTCATGCCCGTGCTCATCGGCTACTGGATCATGGTGACGACCCCCCCTGGGACACCCCCTGGGACACCCACTGGGACACCCCCTGGGACACCCACTGGGACACCCCCTGGGACACCCCCTGGGACACCCCTGGGACACCCCTGGGACACCCACTGGGACACCCACTGGGACACCCCCTGGGACACCCCTGGGACACCCCCTGGGACACCCCTGGGACACCCACTGGGACACCCACTGGGACACCCCTGGGACACCCACTGGGACACCCCCTGGGACACCCCCTGGGACACCCACTGGGACACCCACTGGGACACCCCCTGGGACACCCCTGGGACACCCCCTGGGACACCCCTGGGACACCCCTGGGACACCCACTGGGACACCCCCTGGGACACCCCCTGGGACACCCCTGGGACACCCCCTGGGACAACCCCTGGGACACCCACTGGGACACCCCCTGGGACACCCCCTGGGACACCCCCTGGGACACCCACTGGGACACCCACTGGGTCACCCCCTGGGACACCCACTGGGTCACCCCCTGGGACACCCCCTGGGACACCCACTGGGACACCCCCTGGGACACCCACTGGGACACCCCCTGGGACACCCCCTGGGACACCCCCTGGGACACCCACTGGGACACCCACTGGGACACCCCTGGGACACCCCCTGGGACACCCCCTGGGACACCCCCTGGGACACCACTGGGACACCCCTGGGACACCCCCTGGGACACCCACTGGGACAGCCCTGGGACACCCCCTGGGACACCCCCTGGGACACCCACTGGGACACCCCCTGGGACACCCCCTGGGACACCCCCTGGGACACCCACTGGGACACCCCTGGGACACCCCCTGGGACACCCCCTGGGACACCCCCTGGGACAGCCCTGGGACACCCACTGGGACACCCCTGGGACACCCACTGGGACACCCCCTGGGACACCCCCTGGGACACCCCTGGGACACCCCCTGGGACACCCCTGGGACACCCCCTGGGACACCCCCTGGGACACCCCCTGGGACACCCCTGGGACACCCCTGGGACACCCCCTGGGACACCCACTGGGACACCCCTGGGACACCCCCTGGGACACCCCTGGGACACCCACTGGGACACCCACTGGGACACCCCTGGGACACCCCCTGGGACACCCCTGGGACACCCCTGGGACACCCACTGGGACACCCACTGGGACACCCCCTGGGACACCCCCTGGGACACCCCTGGGACACCCACTGGGACACCCACTGGGACGCCCCCTGGGACACCCCTGGGACACCCCTGGGACACCCCTGGGACACCCCCTGGGACACCCACTGGGACCCCCCTGGACACCCCCTGGGACACCCCCTGGGACACCCACTGGGACACCCACTGGGACACCCCCTGGGACACCCCCTGGGACACCCCCTGGGACACCCCCTGGGACACCCCTGGGACACCCCTGGGACACCCACTGGGACACCCCCTGGGACACCCCCTGGGACACCCCTGGGACACCCACTGGGACACCCCCTGGGACACCCACTGGGACACCCCCTGGGACACCCACTGGGACACCCCTGGACACCCCTGGGACACCCCCTGGGACACCCCCTGGGACACCCACTGGGACACCCCTGGGACACCCCCTGGGACACCCCCTGGGACACCCCCTGGGACACCCACTGGGACACCCCCTGGGACACCCCCTGGGACACCCCCTGGGACACCCCTGGGACACCCCCTGGGACACCCCTGGGACACCCCCTGGGACACCCCCTGGGACATCCCTGGGACACCCCTGGGACACCCCTGGGACACCCCTGGGACACCCCCTGGGACACCCCCTGGGACACCCCCTGGGACACCCCTGGGACACCCCCTGGGACACCCCCTGGGACACCCACTGGGACACCCCTGGGACACCCCCTGGGACACCCCTGGGACACCCCTGGGACACCCACTGGGACACCCCCTGGGACACCCCCTGGGACACCCCCTGGGACACCTCTGGGACACCCCCTGGGACACCCACTGGGACACCTCTGGGACACCCCCTGGGACACCCCTGGACACCCCTGGGACACCCCCTGGGACACCCCCTGGGACACCCCTGGGACACCCCCTGGGACACCCCTGGGACACCCCCTGGGACACCCCCTGAGACACCCCCTGGGACACCCCCTGGGACACCCACTGGGACCCCTACAAGACCCCATTGGGACACCCACTGGGCTCCCATAGCACCCCCATAGAGACCCCCCCGTGGGATTCTCTACAGGACCATTATATAGGACCCCGTGGGATCCCAATGGGATATGTATGGGACTCCTATGGGATCTCTACAGGGCCATGTTGGACCGCTATGGAACTCCTGTGGGACTCTTTATGGGATGAGACCCATAATGGGATCATTGTGGGACACCTATGGGATACCTATGGGATCCCTTTGAAACCCCGGGCAATGGGTGAGCGAGTGGGTGAGTGAGTGGCTGAGTGAATGAGTGGGTGAGCGAGTGAGCGAGTGGGTGAGCGAGTGGGTGAGCGAGTGGGTGAGCGAGTGGGTGAGCGAGTGGGTGAGCGAGTGGGTGAGCGAGTGGGCGAGCGAGTGGGCGAGCGAGTGGTGAGCGCTGCGTCTCCGTGGTGAGCGAGTGGTGAGCGAGTGGTGAGCGAGTGGGTGAGTGAGTGGGTGAGCGAGTGGTGAGCGCTGCGTCTCCGTGGTGAGCGAGTGGTGAGCGAGTGGTGAGCGAGTGGGTGAGTGAGTGGGTGAGCGAGTGGTGAGCGCTGCGTCTCCGTGGTGAGCGAGTGGGCGAGCGAGTGGTGAGCGCTGCGTCTCCGTGGTGAGCGAGTGGTGAGCGAGTGGTGAGCGAGTGGGTGAGTGAGTGGGTGAGCGAGTGGTGAGCGCTGCGTCTCCGTGGTGAGCGAGTGGTGAGCGAGTGGTGAGCGAGTGGGTGAGTGAGTGGGTGAGCGAGTGGTGAGCGCTGCGTCTCCGTGGTGAGCGAGTGGTGAGCGAGTGGTGAGCGAGTGGGTGAGTGAGTGGGTGAGCGAGTGGTGAGCGCTGCGTCTCCGTGGTGAGCAGGTGCAGAAGCGCCGCTTCAACGAGGATCTCGTGAAGCTGCTCCTGGAGGCCGGAAGTGACGTCAACGCAGTGGACAAAGTGAGCGCTCACCACTCACCACTCACCACCCCTCACTCACTCACTCACCACTCACTCACTCACTCACCACTCACTCACCACTCACTCACCACTCACCACCCCTCACTCACCACTCACCCACTCGCTCACCCACTCGCTCACCCACTCGCTCACCCACTCGCTCACCCACTCGCTCACTCGCTCACTCACTCACCACTCACTCACTCACCACTCAGTCACCACTCACTCACCACTCCTCACTCACCACCCCTCACTCACCACCCCTCACTCACCACCCCTCACTCACCACCACTCACTCACCACCCCTCACTCACCACCCCTCACTCACCACCCCTCACTCACCACCCCTCACTCACCACCCCTCACTCACCACCCCTCACCACTCATGACTCACTACTTCCCCGCCCCTCCGATTGGCACGGTACGGCTACGTACGGCGCGAAAGACGTTCAACGTACATACCCCTCACGATTTAAAGCTTTCGTGACTGCAGGGATTCATCTTCTTGTTTCGTGACGGTAAAGTCACGTAGAAGGGAAATACGACTACTTACTCACCACTCTCACCACCCCTCCCACCTCCCCTCTCCTCCCTTAACTCCTCCTCCCCGCCCCCCTCCTCCCCTCCTCCCCTCCTCCCCCTCCCGCCCCCCCCGGTAGAGTGGCAACACGGCGCTGCACTACGCCTGCTCGCTGCACAACCACGGAGTGGGGAAACTGCTGCTCACGGCCAACGCCAGCGTCTCCATCCAGAACAAGGTGACGCCACCGCCAACATCGTCATCACCACCGCTACCACCACCATCATCTCTCACCATCATCACCACTATCACCACCACCGCCATCACCAGCATCACCACCACTATCACCATCACCACCGCCATCACCACCACTATCACCATCACCACCGCCATCACCACCACTATCACCATCACCACCGCCATCACCACCATCACCACCATCACCACCACTATCACCATCACCACCACCACTATCACCACTATCACCACCACCGCCATCACCAGCATCACCAACATCGTCACCACCGCCATCACCACCACTATCACCATCACCACCACTATCACTACCGCCATCACCACCATCACCACCACTATCACCATCACCACCACTATCATCACCGCCATCACCACCATCACCACCACCACCATCATCTCTGAGCATCACCGCCTCCACCTTCACCATCATCACCACGATCACCACCACCATCATCGTCATCACCACCATCACCAGCATCACCAACATCGTAATCGCCATCACCACCACCACCACTACCACCACCACTACCACCACCACCACTTACACGACGTTGAAGGCGACGCACGACCTCGGCTGCTGGTCGTGACCCCACGCCGACAGCGCCGTCACGCCGCTTCTCCGTGCTGCCCCCCCCCCCACCCCCCCACCCCCCGTGTGCAGGAGGGCCTCACCGCGGTCGACCTGGCGGCCGCCGGCAACTTCTCCAAACTGCTGCCGCTGCTGCGCCAGCACCAGGAGCGTCGGCGCACCGAGGAGCTGGCCGCCAGCGCCGTGCGCGCCGGCCTGCGTGCTCGGCACGCCTCCGACTCCGACTCCGCCGCCTCCTCCACCTCGTCGCTTCACCACGACGGCGACGACGAGGAGGGGGCCGAGCGGAGGCGGGACGAGTGAGGGGTGGAGGAGAGGTGGACCGTGCAAGGGGGGGTGGTCACGTGGGGGGGGGGGGGGGTGCGTGGGGGGGGGCACACACAACGCGCTGGGGGTGATTGGGGTTCAAGGCTGAAATTCTCGCCGCGAAATTCGCCGTCGCTAGCCTGGGGCGACAAGACTGTAACAACAACTTTAAAGATCTCGACTAATTATATTTGTAGCAGGTCAGGGTCCAGCTGGGCTGTAGTTGCTCTTTTTGAGAAGCGCAATCACAAACAATAGCTCCAAACCAAGTGGGCTCATCATCATCATCGTGTGGACATATCAGCCAAACACTCGAAACGCGCGACGTCGATTCTAAATGTGGAGGGGAGAAACCGGAGGAGCCGGAGAAAAATCCACGCGACCACGGGGAGAGAGACACCGCAAACTACAAATATACAGCATGCGTCAGGGTCGGGATCGAACCCATAACCTCCTGCATACCAGGCGAGGTAGTTAACATCTCCTAGCCACCGTGATGATGATGATGAGAGATAGAGACACGCAAATTCCAAATATGCAGCAGGCATCAGGGTCGGGATCGAACCCACGATCTCCTGCATACCAGGCGAAGTAGTTAACATCTCCTAGCCACCGTGATAATGATGAGAGAGAGAGACACGCAAACTACAAATATGCAGCAGCAGGCGTCAGGGTCGGGATCGAACCCACGACCTCCTGTACACCAGGCGAGGTAGTTAACATCTCCTAGCCACCGTGATGATGATGAGAGAGAGACACGCAAACTACAAATATGCAGCAGCAGGCGTCAGGGTCGGGATCGAACCCACGACCTCCTGTACACCAGGCGAGGTAGTTAACATCTCCTAGCCACCGTAGACTGGGTCAGGTCACCGAGTAGCCACAGCCACGGCACGCTATTGTGGACGTGGCGTGCCGGGTGTGGTAATATCCGTGCCGGGTTTGGCGGGGTGAACGTGGCGACTAGGAGCAAGGCGCGGGCTCGCAGCAAGAGGGAAGGTTGATGGTGCACGTGGCTTGCCGGGTCAGCACAGACCCCCGTAGAGACCACAGGACACCGGGGGACGGATTGCGTGAAGCCACAAGCCCCGGGTCGAACGGCGATGACTTGCGGCCTTGGCCACAGCCACAGAGACACCCCGAGCAGCTATCCCAGACGATAAGACATCGTGACACAGTGTCAAATGAGCAGCTCTTTAAATCATTTATTTTTTAATGATAAATAAATAAATAGACCTTCATCGCCACCTCGGTTGGCGCTGTTCGGTAACGAAAGCGGACTGTGACGGAATCACCAATCTTGCTGATATTAGCCAATCAAATGAAAGCAGGGCGTGTCACATCACAACTCGATCCATCGCTCGATTGGCAATCACTCGGACACAGGCGATTAACACGCAAGATCGCGATTAACCCGGTGTTTGTTTTAATGTTTGCTTATTGTGGATGGACTGAGCGGGAATCGATACAATCCCATCTTGCTTAACGATCCACGGTGACCGCATATGGGCCAATCTCTCTGATCGTTGATTTCGTCGGGATTTTATCGCGTCACAGCGCCACGTATTTTCCTTGTGCCCGAAGCCTTGTCCACTTCACTCGTGCCAAAGCAACGGGGGGTGGTGGTGTGGTGGTGTGGTGCGTGTGGTGCGTGCGGTACTCATAGCAGTAAGCGCTACGCTGCGCTACGAACCTGGCCACCCCGGCTCCGATTCCCGCTCTTGCGGTCAACACCGGAGACGATTATCTGAACCGGTCCTTGGTCTCTCCTAGGTCGACTCAGCCTCAAATGAGTACCTGGTGCGGTGTGTAAACTTCGCCACGAGGGAGACAAAGGCGGCCGGGCGTGGTATTAGCCACCCACCCCCTCGTGTGCCGTGCCGGCCTTCATAGGTGTTCGCTAACGGCACTTGCCCCAACAGTCTGTTAAGGCTACAAGGCGGGGGATCGTTGGATACGGGCCACTCTTTGCGTTAAATTATTGTCTCGTAAAATATATTTTTTTGTCCTCCCACTTTGAAATAAAAAATAGACAAACGTCGTGCTCTCGCGCCGTGGTTGAAAGGTGCAAGATGCAACTCCGATGATGGCACACGGAGGGAGGCTGATCGTCAGACGGGCGTCGCGTACATCCTGTACCGCCTGGACATCTACAGGGCATTTGAATTGTAGAATTGTAGCGGATACACTGCTCACCAACACACACTGCTCACCAACACACTCTGCTCACAACACACTCTGCTCACCAACACACTCTGCTCACCAACACACGCGGAGGCAGGCAAGGGGATGTAGATCGTCGATTCCACCTTCGCCGTCAGCCCTGCAATTTCCTGCTCGCCAAACCGCCGGCAGAAGGACCTCCACTCGGATTAGGGGGGGCTTCTATAGATTTGAAGCTTTCGTGACTGCAAGGATTCGTACTCTTAGGTTTTCTCCGTTAAAGTCACGTAGGTGAAAAATACAATTAAAATTTAAAAAAGTAAAATTATTTTAGTAAAATTATTAAAAGTAAAATTATTATACTTTTATTAAAAATAAAATTAATAAAAGTAAAATTATTTTATGGAAAATTATTAAAAGCTAAATTATTTTACTTTTATTAATAAAAAATTTTTTTTACCTACGTGACTTTACCGATAAAAACCTAAGAGTATGGGGCTTCTATAGTTGTATTTGGCCTATTCTTCCACGCTCGGTCGTTGAAGTTATTTGACGTGGCTGGACGGACGAGCGGGTGACGTCTCCGACCGTGCAGGGAGCCCCCCCGGTGCCAACGTGGAGATCTGCTGCTGGCCACGAGGAGAGGGCCTCAGCGGGGAGAGATTTTCGTCTTCTTGGTTCTTTCGGTAAAGTCACGTAGAAGGGAAATAATAAAATAATAAAAATAAAACATAATAAAATAATTCTCACGACGTTTCTTTCGGTAAAGTCACGTAGAAGGGAAATAATAAAATAATAATAAATAAAACATAAAATAATTCTCACGACGTTTCGGCCACAACGCAAGCAGCCGTCCTCGGGTGAAGAACAGGTCTGGCTTGCATTGTGGCCGAAACGTCGCGAGAATGATTTTATTGTTTATTTGTATTATTTTATTGTTTTATTTTTATTATTTTATCATTTCCATTCTACGTGACTTTACCGAAAGAACCAAGAAGATGAATCCCTGCAGTCACGAAAGCTTTAAATCGAAATTTTATTATTTTATTGGTTTATTTTTATTATTTTATTATTTCCATTCTACGTGACTTTATCGAAAGAACCAAGAAGATGAATCCCTGCAGTCACGAAAGCTTTTCCCAGCCCCGCCATCTCCGATGGAGCGCAGGTCACAGTGGCACACCGTGTCAACCCGTACGGTTTACCCCGTATTCTTGTACAGGGAAATTGAGTTTTAAAAAAATGTTGTGTCTATTTGTTTGTGTTTCTCCCTTGTGATGGGACTTTGTAAGATGAAAGTTGAGATTTCTAAGGGCCACGGGGTGACCGATAAAGCGTGATTTGGTCTGTAATGAGGTAGGCACTGATAAGGGGTTGACATGTGTGTAGAAGTGTAGTGTGTAGTGTAGTGTATATTGTAGTGTGTAGCGGAGTGTGTAGTATATAGTGTAATGTGTGTTGTAGTGCATAGTGTAGTGTATAGTGTAGTGTATAGTGAGCATGTGGGTGAGTGAGCATGTGGGTGGGTGAGCATGTGGGTGGGTGGGTGAGCATGTGGGTGGGTGGGTGAGTGAGCATGTGGGTCAGTGAGTGGGCATGTGGGTGGGTGAGTGGGCATGTGGGTGGGTGAGTGAGCATGTGGCTGAGTGAGTGAGCATGTGGGTGGGTGAGTGAGCATGTGGGTGGGTGGGTGAGCTGGTGGGTGGGTGAGTGAGCATGTTGGTGGGTGAGTGAGCATGTGGGTGAGTGAGTGAGCATGTGGGTGGATGAGTGAGTGAGTATTTGGGTGAGTGAGCATGTGAGTGGATGAGTGAGTGAGCATGTGGGTGGGTGAGTGAGCATGTGGGTGGGTGAGTGAGCATGTGAGTGAGCATGTGAGTGAGTGAGCATGTGGGTGAGTGAGTGAGCATGTGGGTGGGTGGGTGAGAGCGTGAGTTTGTGCGTGTGTATGGGCGGGTGAGTGAGTGGGTGGGTGAGCGAGCATGTGGGTGAGTGATTGAGTATGTGGGTGAGTGGGTGAGCATGTGGGTGGGTGGGTGAGCATGTGGGTGGGTGAGTGAGCATGTGGGTGGGTGAGTGAGCATGCGGGTGGGTGAGTGAGCATGTGGGTGAGTGAGCATGTGGGTGGGTGGGTGAGCATGTGGGTGGGTGGGTGGGTGAGTGAGCATGTGGGTGAGTGAGCATGTGGGTGAGCATGTGAGTGGGTGAGCATGTGAGTGGGTGAGTGAGTGAGCATGTGGGTGGGTGAGTGAGCATGTGGGTGGGTGGGTGAGAGCGTGAGTTTATGCGTGTGTATGGGCGGGTGAGTGTGTGATTTGATGGTTCCGCCTGTGTCTTTTCGGAGGAAGAAATGCCAAAGTGAGGGGGTCTTTGGGTCTCGAATGGGCGGAGATGTTCAAACCCCAAATTCGAGGCTTGCAGTCTGCGTGTGTCACCGATCTGCAATTGCCCTTGAAGCTGTTTGGCCTGCAACAGGCAGCCAGCCTCATGATTATTCAATGTCTTGCTACTGTACTGACTGATGCGTCCCATAGTTGTACTACTACTACTTCCTCTGCGGCGCTAACCGCTGCGCCACCGCTCCCCAAAGAGAAAGATCCCCCGTATAGCCTGCGACAGACTGTAGGGGCAAGTGCTGTTAGCGAGTAGAATCTATGAAGGCGACCGGCACCGGGGCACACGAGGGGGTGGGTGGCCAAACACCAACCCCGGCCGCCTTTGTCTCCCTGAGTGGCGATGTTTACTACACACCGTACGAGGTACTCGTGTGAGGCCGAGTCGACCTAGGGGGGAGGGAGGTCCAGGACCGGCTCAGACAATCGTCGCCGCTATTGGCCGTGAGCGGGAATCGATCTCGGCTCGCCCGGGGGATCGCAGGCGCGGCGCTAACCGCAGCGCCACCGCTCCCCGCACTCAGCCAGCGACAGTCGCCATGGTGACAGCCCTGCCCGCGTCACTTCCTGAGCGCGTCGTACAAACTCGCAGCCATATTGGTCAGGGGGGGAGCGCGTGAAGCGCTGCCCCGCCCCCTGATCGTCGCCGCTCGGTGACGTCGACACGCACCCCCCCCCCCCGTCCGGCCCCTCCCCCGTTGCCCCATTCACAACCGCAGCCGCCTTTCCCCTACCCAACATGGCCGCCTACCCAATGTGGCCACCTACCCAACATGACCGCATTTCCCCTACCCAACATGGCCGCCTACCCAATGTGGCCACCTACCCAACATGACCGCATTTCCCCTACCTAATCTAAGTTGTCTTGTGGTTGTTGTTGTTTGACTTGCATGCCACTGGGATTTTTGCACACAGTGTTGGTGTACGGTGCTTTTTCTGCAATATTTAGCTGTCTTTTCTCGGATTTTCTGTTTGCACATAGTCACTTTAAGATGTTTTCTTGTTCATGTTTTTGTTTTCTGTTTGTTGCGGTTGCACCCGATTCAAGAGCCGAATGGCTCACAGGACTAGACCAAATAAATTAACTTGAACCGCCTTTCCCCTACCCAACATGGCCGCCTACCCAATATGGCAGCCTACCCAACATGGCAGCCTACCCAACATGGCAGCCTACCCAACATGACCGCATTTCCCCTACCCAACATGGCCGCATTTCCCCTACCCAACATGGCCGCCTACTCAATATGGCAGCCTACCCAACATGACCACCTTTCCCCTACCCAACATGGCCGCCTACCCAATATGACCGCATTTCTCCTACCCAACATGGCCGCCTACCTAATATAGCCACCTACCCAACATGGCCGCCTTTCCAATAGGGCAGCCTACCCAACATGACCACCTTTCCCCTACCCAACATGGCCGCCTACCTAATATAGCCACCTACCCAACATGGCCGCCTTTTCCCTACCCAACATGGCCGCCGGGCGAACTCGCCGACCTCCGCTGCCCTCCAGCGGCAGCAGCGTCTCGCCGGAAGCCACGCGGAGGAGTCTCTCCCGCGAGCGAGGCGGCCGACTCAGCGGAGACACGGGGGCAGCGCCCTGCCCGCCTTTGTATCTCTCTCCCTGACACAGCCCCCTCCCCCCTTGATAGCAGAGATACCCCCTCGTACCAGGACCCGCGTCTCCACCCTCAAGACCGTCCACCGCCTGCCCCCCTCCCAACACCCTCCACCAACTCTCTCCACCAGCTCTCTCCACCACCACCCTCTCTCTACCACCACCACCACAACTCCCTCTCTCCACCACCACCACCACAACTCCCTCTCTCCACCACCACCACAACTCCCTCTCTCCACCACCACCACCCTCTCCACCACCACCTCTCCACCACCACCACAATGCTCCGATCCCTCACCCGTCCATGCACAGCCCTGACCACCCTCTCACCATCCCGTCTCTCTCCCCTCACCCCTCACCCTCCTCCCCCGCTCGCCGCTCACCCCGCGGTGTCGTCCCCTCGTCTCTTCTCGGCGTCGTCCTCCTCCCGTGGTCGACGCGCCGACATCACGCGGCGTTGGCTCCCCCCGGCGCCCTCCATCCCCGGCTTGGAGCGGGTCTCGTACGGGAGCCGCGAGCACTTCGTGCCGGGACTCGCCCACCCGCCCCGGGAGAGCTGGGAGCGGGGCTGGCTCGCTCCTCGACAAGGGGGGAGGCGCGCAACGTCGGACAATGCGGCGGTGGTGGGGGGCGAGCAGCAGCAGGCGTTCGTGTTTCACCCGCGGACGCAGCTGGTGGAAGGTGAGTTGACACGTGCTGTGGTGTGTTGGTGGAGTGCAGTGTTCTGGTGGTGTGTGTAGTGGTGGTGTGTAGTGTGTAGGGGTGTGTAGTGGTGTGGTGGTGTGGTGTGTAGTGGTGTACAGTGATGGTGTGGTGTGTAGTAGTGTGTAGTGGTGTGTAGGGGTGGTGTTGTGGAGGTGTAGTGTGTAATGGTGTGTAGTGGTGTGTAGTAGTGTGTAATGGTGTGTAGTGGTAGTGTAGTGTGTAGTGGTGTGTAGTAGTGTGTAATGGTGTGTAGTGGTGGTGTAGTGTGTAGTGGTGTGTAGTAGTGTGTAATGGTGTGTAGTGGTGGTGTAGTGTGTAGTGGTGTGTAGTGGTGTGTAATGGTGTGTAGTGGTGGTGTAGTGTGTAGTGGTGTGTAGTGGTGTGTAATGGTGTGTAGTGGTGGTGTAGTGTGTAGTGGTGTGTAGTGGTGTGTAATGGTGTGTAGTGGTGGTGTAGTGTGTAGTGGTGTGTAGTGGTGTGTAATGGTGTGTAGTGGTGGTGTAGTGTGTAGTGGTGTGTAGTGGTGTGTAATGGTGTGTAGTGGTGGTGTAGTGTGTAGTGGTGTGTAGTAGTGTGTAATGGTGTGTAGTGGTGGTGTAGTGTGTAGTGGTGTGTAGTGGTGTGTAGTGGTGTGTAATGGTGTGTAGTGGTGGTGTAGTGTGTAGTGGTGTGTAGTGGTGTGTAATGGTGTGTAGTGGTGGTGTGGTGTGTAGTGGTGTGTAATGGTGTGTAGTGGTGGTGTAGTGTGTAGTGGTGTGTAGTAGTGTGTAATGGTGTGTAGTGGTGGTGTAGTGTGTAGTGGTGTGTAGTAGTGTGTAATGGTGTGTAGTGGTGGTGTAGTGTGTAGTGGTGTGTAGTGGTGTGTAATGGTGTGTAGTGGTGGTGTAGTGTGTAGTGGTGTGTAGTGGTGTGTAATGGTGTGTAGTGGTGGTGTAGTGTGTAGTGGTGTGTAGTGGTGTGTAATGGTGTGTAGTGGTGGTGTAGTGTGTAGTGGTGTGTAGTGGTGTGTAATGGTGTGTAGTGGTGGTGTAGTGTGTAGTGGTGTGTAGTGGTGTGTAATGGTGTGTAGTGGTGGTGTAGTGTGTAGTGGTGTGTAGTGGTGTGTAATGGTGTGTAGTGGTGGTGTAGTGTGTAGTGGTGTGTAGTGGTGTGTAATGGTGTGTAGTGGTGGTGTAGTGGTGTGTAGTGGTGTGTAATGGTGTGTAGGGGTGGTGTGTAGGGGTGGTGTAGTGGTGGTGTAGTGTGTAGTGGTGTAGTGCATAGTGGTGTTTAGTGTATAGTGGTGTTTAGTGTGTAATGGTGTGTGGTGGTGGTGTAGTGGTGTGTAGTGGCGTGTAGTGGTGTGTGTACTGGTGGTGTACTGGTAGTGTAGTGTGTAGTGGTGTGTAATGGTGGTGTGGTGTGTAGTGGTGTACAGTGGTGTACAGTGGTGGTGTGGTGTGTAGGGGTGTAGTGTATAGTGGTGTGTAGTGGTGTGGTGTATAGTGGTGTGGTGTAGTGGTAGTGTGTAGTGGTAGTGTGTAGTGGTGTAGTGGTGTGGTGTGTAGTGGTGTGGTGTATAGTGGTGGTGTGGTGTGTAGTGTATAGTAGTGGTGTGTAGTGGTGTATAGTGGTGGTGTGGTGTGTGGTGTGTAATAGTGGTGGTATATAGTGGTGTGTACTTGAGCGTGTCACGTCGCACATTTGTATTCGTTTCACGAAGTAAAGAAACAAAGTGACTTGGCCGACTTGCTAGCGGGTCAAGCGGGCCAATGTGAGAGCCTCACCGAGTGATGAGCAGCTGATCATTGCACGTAGAGGGATCTGTACAGGGTGTTTCAATAACACATTCCTGCGGAGGGAGCTGGTAGGAACGTTGGGTTGCTCGGTCAATGGCCTGCAGGGTCAATGGCGGCGTGGTGTATTCCGCAAATATGCCCGACTGTGAGGGCGGGCACAAGCCGGCGTGAGTAGGTTAAACGTTGAGTTTTATAAGGGCACCACGGGGTGATCAGCCCCTCCCCACCCAGCCCCACCCCACCCACCCCCCACCCAGCCCCACTCCACCCACCCCCCACCCAGCCCCTCCCCACCCTCCCCACCCAGCCCCTCCCCACCCTCCCCTCCCCACCCAGCCCCTCCCCACCCTCCCGTCCCCACCCAGCCCCTCCCCACCCTCCCCTCCCCACCCAGCCCCTCCCCACCCTCCCCTCCCCACCCAGCCCCTTCCCACCCAGCCCCTCCCCACCCTCCCCTCTCCACCCAGCCCCTCCCTCCCCACCCAGCCCCTCCCTGCACGACGGACGGACGGACACAATAATCCCCTGTGGGCTGGTGTAACCAGGAGGCTCCTACCAGAAAAATGTGAACACTTTTCTGAGAATTTGCAACAATTCCACAACAAATGTTTGTGCCTCCGAGCTCTGGAGACCACCTGGAGAAGATTCCAGGCAATGTCTCAACAATGATGGCGAACAAATGGGAGACTCTTTGACTTTTTAAAGCTATCAACATTAAGTTTGACACGTAGCAGGCTTTCGCGACCAATATTATTCATAATCAACGTTTTTGGGGTCAGATCGCGTTATTTATAAATGTGTCGTAACCCTCCACCACCCGACACGGCCAATCAGCAAAAAATGGCCCGATGATGCCGGAAGCAATTACCAGCGAAACGTCGTACAACTTAAAAAACTGTAAATGTTGTGGTTTCACGCTTCAACACACCGGTGGGCTAAAGCAATGAACTATTTTGTCATTTGTCAACGTGACACTTTTTTTTTCTGATTGGCCGTGTCGGGTGGTGGAGGGTTACGATACATTTATAAATAACGCGATCTGACCCAAAAAACGTTGAAAAGTCACGTAGCCTTTCCCACCTGATGACGGACGCTTGTGTTGCGCCCGAAACGTCGTGGTTTATTTTATTTTCTACCCTACGTGACTTTACCGAAAGAACCAAAGACTATGGTTCAAATCAAGACTATCAACATGACATTTGTTATCATGTTGCAGTGTCTTATCCGTTCTTTTCCCATTAAAAAACGATAGCCCCATATAAGTGTCCCAAAAACTTTTGACGCACCCCTGCATATTGTACACATCATATATGGCAAGCACCGATCAGAACCCGTCGGCATTCCGCGGCCTGCGATGTCACATCGGTTAAAGCCATGGCACGTGGAGGTAGGGGCCTGTCCCGTGAGTGATCCACCACCACCACCACCTCCTGCCGTCGGTGGGAACTCGCAAAGTTCGACTGCTGCTACTGCGAGCCTTCATTGTGTCTACTTGCCGTGTGTCCGATCGCCGTGCAAGTAAAAAAAATGCGCGTTGTCGTAAACCCTCCGGAGTCCCACCCAACACAGGCATTTTGTTAAGTTGCCACGTGATGAGCAAACGCTGCGAGATGTCATCTCCGTCCTCCCCATGCGATCACCATGCTGCTGGCCACACCATCGCCCCGTGCGCCGTGCCGGACTTCATACGCGATGCTCGCTAACAGCACTTGCCCCAGAAGTCTGTTTAAGGCTACATGCGGGGGGTGCTCCTTTGTCTTTGCGTTGCAGGCGAGCGTCAGGCGCTGTGGCTCACTAAGTCGGTGTTGAGGCCGGGCCTGCCCCCATCCCTCCAGGCCCTGGTCGCGGTCGCCAAGGCCGAGGCCGAAGCCGGGGACCTCTCGGCCCGGGCCCTGCGGGCCGTGGAGCACGCTCGCTTGTGGGACCTCGGGGAAACGCGGCCGCCTCGACAGCGCTTCTGGTCAGCGTGCCGCTCCGGTGTCGTGTTTAGTAGCGCGATGTTCAGGGCCCCGATGTTCAGTAGCAAGATGTTCGCGTGGTAGGTGTTGAGGTGGTAGATGTTGAGGTGGTAGATGTTGAGGTGGGAGATGTTGAGGTGGGAGATGTTGATGTTGAGGTGGTAGATGTTGAGGTGGTAGATGTTGAGGTGGTAGATGTTCAGCAGCTAGACGTTCAAGAGATTAATGTTCAGGGCCTCGACGTTCAGGAGTTCGTGTCGCTGTTCCTCCTCCGTTGAAGTTGCGCAGACCACAGGGGGTTGACTGTCGACTAACACTGGGCCAACCCATAGACCAGGGGTCAGCAACCAAAATAACAAGAAGAGCCATTTCTTTCCAATTCGGTACAAAATTCAGTATTTCAAGAGCCGCAATGCATCTGAGTACATACTGTACATACGTACATATCGTCAAGAAGCAGCCCGTAAAGAGCCGCATGCGGCTCCGGAGCCATAGGTTGCCGACCCCTGCCATAGACTAACACTGTCCCATGTGTGGTGTGCACGTGTGGTGCGGTGTGTGAACATCACCACTGGGAAGACAAAGGCGGCCGGGTACGGTGTTAGCCACCCCCAACCCGGTGACCCGAGTTCGATTCCTGCTCAGGGCCAACACCGGTGACGATTATTTTAACCGGTCCTGGGCCTCCCCTAGGTCGACCCGACCTCAAATGAGTACTTGGTGCGACGTGTAAACATCGCCACTGGGGAGACAAAGGCGGCCGGGCGTGGTGCTGGCCACCCACCCCCTCGTGTACCGTTGCGGCCTTCATAGGTGCTCGCTAACAGCACTTGCCCCAACAGTCTGTTAAGGCTACACGGGGTATCTTTGTCTTTGGTGTGGCGCAGCGAGGTGTTGTGGCGAGACCTCATGACCGTGTGCCACTCCCTGGCTCCACGCTACCCGGGCATCCTGGAGCGCAGTCTGGTGGAGGGAGCCAAGATCGGCGTGTCCTGGCAGAGGGGTACATACACACACACGTACACACACTCACACGTACACACACGTACACACACGTACACACTCACATGTACACACACACACTCACGTACACACACACACTCACGTACACACACACACTCACGTACACACACACACTCACACGTACAAACACACACTCACGTACACACACACACTCACGTACACACACACACTCACGTACACACACACTCACACATTCACACATACACACACTGACTGACACGTACACACACTCACACGTATACACAGACTCACACGTACACACACATGTACACACTCAATCACACGTACACACTCACTCACACATACACACACATACACACACACGCACTCGCACGCACGCACTCGCACGCACGCACTCACATGCACTCGCACGCACTCAGCACTCACTCACACGCACTCACTTGCACTCACTCGCACTCACACACTCACTCGCACACACACACTCACACATACTCTGACATGCACAGGCACACGTGCACACTCCCTCACATGCACACACTCACTGTCACGTACACTCAGACTCGTATATTGTTGATGTTAAGGTCGTGTTGAAGACGTCTCTTTAGATATTGATGTTGCTGACGTTGTTGTTGACGATGTTGCTGACGTTATTGTTGACTTTGTTGCTGACGTTGTTGTTGACGTTGCCCGTGCCGCGTGCGCAGGCCCCGAAAGCGTCCACGCGCGGGGCCCGCACGGCGCGGTGCTGGTGGGCCGAGCGCCGCTGGGCCGCATCGCGTCCCCGGAGGAGACGGAGTCGGCAAGCGGCGAGCCGCTGCCCGACTTCTCCCCCATCTCCCCGCTCATCGACCTGCAGCGCGTCCACGTCACCCACACGGCCACCACCACGGGTAGCCGCTCGCCCGCTCGCTCGCTCACCCGCTCGCTCACCCAGTCGCTCGCTCACCCACTCGCTCACCCAGTCGCTCGCCCGCTTGCTAAACCCGCTCGCTCACCCAGTCGCTCACCCGCTTGCTCACCCACTCGCTCGTTCACCCACTCGCTCGCTCACCCAGTCGTTCGCTCACCCGCTCGCTCGCTCACCCAGTCGCTCGCTCGCCCAGTCGCTCGCTCACCCAGTCGCTCGCTCACCCAGTCGCTCGCTCTCCCAGTCCCTCACCCGCATGTTAAACCTGCTTGCTCACCCAGTCGCTCACCCACTCGCTCACCTGCTCGCCAGCATGGGCAGCCGCTTACTCGCTCACTCACCAGTCACTCACCAGTCACTCACCAGCGTGGATGGCTGCTCACTCACTCAGCCGATGCTCGCTCACCGCCACGGGTAGTCGCTCACCCGCTCACTCGCTCGCTCATCCGCTCACTCACACGGGTAGCCGCTTACTCGCTCACTCACCAGTCACTCACCAGTCACTCACCAGTCACTCACCAGTCACTCACCAGCATGGATGGCCGCTCACTCACTCACTCGGCCGATGCTTCCTCACCGCCACGGGTAGCCGCTCACCCGGTTGCTCGCTCACCAGACGCTCGCTCGCCATTACAGGGAGCCAGCCGCTCACTTGGGTGTGTGTGCGTACCCCCTGTGTGCATGTGCGTGTACCCGCCATGTGTGCGTGTACCCGCCGCGTGTGTGTACCCCCCCCCTCCCCTCCCGTGTAGGGATTCGAGAGGGGTTCCCGTATCCCCACGCTCACACGCTGTTCCTCCTCGAGGGACTGGATGAATGCTGCCGGCTCTCCGCATCGCAGCTGCGCGCCAAGATGCTCGTCTTCAGCTTCGCGCACGCGCTGGCCCAGGCACGCGCACTCTACGGGGTACGTGCACGTGTGTGTGTGTGCACGTGTGTGTGTGTGTACGTGTGTGTGTGTACACGTGTACGTGTGTGTGTGTGGGGAGCGGTAGTGTAGCGGTTAGCGCGCTGCGCTATGAACCCGGCGACCCGGGTTCGATTCCCGCTCACGGCCAACACCAGTGACGATTATCTGAACCGGTCCTGGGCCTCCCCTAGGTCGGCTCAGCCTCAAATGAGTACCTGGTGCAGTGTGTAGTAAACATCGCCACTGGGGAGACAAAAGCGGCCGGGCGTGGTGCTGGCCATCCACCCCCTCGTGTACCGTTCCGGCCTTCATAGGTGCTCGCTAACAGCACTTGCCCCTACAGTCTGTCAAGGCTATACGGGGGATCTTTGTCTTGTACACGTGTGTACACAAAAGGTGGCAGTACATAATTTTTTTTATTAGATAAATAAATCATATCACCATTGCGTACCTAAGCAGAAACGCTTACCAAATAAGGGATAAAGATTATACAATCGTTTTTGCTATATTTATTTTTTGTACAGTAAAAACTCTTTAGAAATATATTCCTCAACAGGTTTGATTTTTTGGTGTTGCCCAAATGACAAAAATAAACATTTTAATTCAAAAATCATGCAATTGCTAAATATTTAAAAACCCTCGTCATATTTTCCTGCGTCATCAACGGTAAGTGGCATTTTGACAAAGGAATCTCACCTGCTGCTTTAGTTTTTGATAACCGATGTGTTACATTCCTGCAGCTTAGCTTTTAATTAATTGATCACCTGGGGTTGGTATGGGTTGAAAAACGACCTTACTTTGTAGCTGATGAAAAATAATCCTTGTTATTTTGTACTGCTCCCCTAGGCGTTCACGTGTGTGTGTGTGTACGTGGGGAGCAGTAGTGTAGCGGTTAGCGCTACTAAACCTGGCTACCCGGGTTCGATTCCCGCTCACGGCCAACAACGGTGACGATTATTTGAACAGGTCCTGGGCCTCCCCTAGGTCGACTCAGCCTCAAATGAATACCTGGTGTGGTAAACCTCACCACTGGGGAGACAAAGGCGGCCGGGCGTGGTGCCGTGCTCGCTAACAGCACTTGCCCCAAGTCTGTTGTTTATATACACGTCAGCGTGCCATCAACCATTTCACAACCACAAATGTAACCTCTTTCCCATGGGTCTCATTCGCTCTCTGCGTCGCCCTCTGCTCTCCCCCACCCCCCCCCGCCCCCTCGGCCAGGAGGCGCCGCTGCGCTCGCTGCCCGTGCCCGTGGTGGTGCAGAGCGTGGCCACCAACGGACGAGTCTTCCACTTCTCGGCGCTGCAGCTCAACACCACGGAGCTGCGGGGCGGCGACGGCCCCCGCAACGCGGCGTGGACGCTGGGAGACCAGCTGCTGTACGACTTCGCCAAGACGCGGCCACTCGTGCACAAGCGCCTTGTGCAGGTGGGGGGGGGGGGGCTGGGGGGGGCTGGGGAAAGGGGGGGGTAGGGAAAGGGGGGGGGAAGAGTAGGGGGGGGGGAAGAGTAGGGAGTAGAGAAAGGGGGGGGGGAGTAGGGAAAGGGGGGGGGGGGAGTAGGGAAAGGGGGGGGGGGGAGTAGGGAAAGGGGGGGGGGGAAGAGTAGGGAAAGGGGGGGGGGGAAGAGTAGGGAAAGGGGGGGGGGGAAGAGTAGGGAAAGGGGGGGGGGAAGAGTAGGGAAAGGGGGGGGGGAAGAGTAGGGAAAGGGGGGGGGGAAGAGTAGGGAAAGGGGGGGGGGGGAAGTAGGGAAAGGGGGGGGGGGGAAGTAGGGAAAGGGGGGGGGGGGAAGTAGGGAAAGGGGGGGGGGGGGGGAAGTAGGGAAAGGGGGGGGGGGGGAAGTAGGGAAGGGGGGGGGGGGGAAGTAGGGAAAGGGGGGGGGGGGGGAAGTAGGGAAAGGGGGGGGGAGAGAGAGTAGGGAAAGGGGGGGGAGTAGAGAAAGGGGGGGGGGGAGTAGAGAAAGGGGGGGGGGAAGTAGGGAAGGGGGGGGGGGAAGTAGGGAAAGGGGGGGGGTAGGAAGAGTGTTCTTGAGTGTTGCTGTACTTTGGCTGATGTCCCCTCTCCCCACTGCCCCCCCCAGGTCCCAGTGGGGGTCTCAGGTTTCAACCCCAGCACCTTCTACACCTTCCTTGCCTTCTTCCTCAACGGAGCCCTGTGACAGACTCACTCACCCACTCAACTACTCACCCACTCACTCACCTTCCCACTCACTCACTCACTCACTCACCCACCCACTCACTCACCCACCCACTCACTCACTCACCCACCCACCCACTCACTCACCCACTCACTCACCCACCCACTCACTCACCCACCCACTCGTAGACTTCCGGTTTTGGTCGCTGTGATTCCAGCTTCTTGCACCGCGCGGCCTCTGCAGGGCCCCTTCCCAGGGTCTCTCCAACACCCCCCACCCAGTCCCTCCCAGGCCTCCCGTGCAAGCGAGGCAGCGTTGTGTACCGTGCCTGGTTGGGTTCATTCCATCTCGTGGCTAAATAAAGGATACGTACACACATGCAACCTTGCCCAGTGAAGCCACGTGTGCCTCTGCTTCCCCTCTCGTGTGTGCACTGTGTGAGCGTGCGTGCCATGGAGAGGGGATGACCCGCGGCCTGGGCATCCCCTAGGTTGACTCGGCCTCAAATGAGTACTGCCAACTTTTACCCACTTTAATCACAGGCAGTGACCACAACCCGGCTAGGAACCCAGTTTCTCGGTGTCTCTTACGAACCTCCCCCACTACAGACCCGGGGATTGAACCCAGTTTCAACGACCTCGCTTGGTATACAGATCGTGGGTTCGACCCCGACGCCTGCTGCTGTATATTTGGAGTTTGCGTCTCTCTCTCTCTCTCTCCCCGTGGTCGCGTGGATTTTTTCCTCCGGGTCCTCCGGTTTATCACTTCCACATTTAGAATCAACATTGCCACGCGTCTTTAGAGGATTTGGCCGCTGCTGCTGTCGCTGCTGTAAACTTCCACACGACGACGATGACGACGACCCCAATTTCGTTGAATCGTCATTCGTGGCCCAGGTTCGTTTCTGGACAGAGAGAAGCTGCATCAGCTCAGTGAGCCTTACCTGCTAAGATTTTAGTTTTTTTCTAAACCATCGCTTCGTCTTCACAGTTTTTTAAGTGACCCGGTCCCCGCTCACCCCCCAGCCCCGAACCCCGAGGACGCGATCCCTGGCGGTGTCCACGAGAGGGAGATTCACGCTCCCGGCTCCAAGCCGCGTCGATCGGTGTTGGAGCGAGCGAGCGAGCGCAGAATCGTGGTAGTTGCCGAACATCGCTGGTTTGGTGGTGCTTGCAGCTGGTGTTATTGGTTGCTGCTGGTGGTGGTGGTGGGTGGTGGTGGGTGGGTGGTGGTTGTGGGTGGTGGTGGGTTGTGGTTGTGGGTGGTGGTTGTGGGTGGTGGGTGGTGGTGGCTGGTGGTTGTGGGTGGTGGTGGTGGGTGGTGGTTGTGGGTGGTGGTGGTGGTGGGTGGTGGTGGGTGGTGGTGGGGGTGGTGGTGGGTGGGTGGTGGTGGGTGGTGGTGGTGTGGTGGGTGGTGGTGGTGGTGTGGGTGGTGGTGGGTGGTGGTGGTGGTGGTGGTGGTGGGTGGGCAGTGGTTGATAATTGGTGGTAGGTTGGTGTTGATGGTGGTGGTGTTGCTTGTTGGGTAGTGGTGATTTATTGATGGTCTCGGCCCAGTTAACGTGCACGAAAATCCATCAGATCGAGGCGTTTTGACCATACATCACCACTCTGGTCAGCCCGAGTAAACTATACGACAGGTCAACAACGTTTGCAACAGACAACCACCCCCCCCCCTGCCCCCGTGTGTTGAGGGTGCGTCTGATCATTTGGTAGTAGTGCCGTGTGTGCTGCGGTGTGGCGAGAAAGAGCAGTCGAATTGCCTTGATCACGTGGGAGAGAATGAGGGGGGAGCACTGGCGCCTAGTAGTTAGCGCGCCACGCTACGAACCTGACCACCCGAGTTCGACTCCCGCTCACGGCCAACACCGGTGACGATTATCTGAACCGGTCCTGGGCCTTCCCTAGGTCGACTCAGCCTCAAATGAGTACCTGGTGCGGTGTGTAAACATATCACTACTAGGGAGACAAAGGCAGTCGGGCGTGGTGGTGGCCACCGAACCCCTTCATGTACCGTTGCGGCCTTCATAGGTGCTCGCTAACAGCATTTGCCCTTACAGTCTGTTAAGGCTATATGGGGGATCTTTGTCTTTTGTGTATGTGCGTGTGTACGCGTGCCGGATTATCCTAGTAGCACAAGTAGCTACATAATGCTACGGGCCCCGCACTTTCAAGGGCCCCGCGCTAAATGCTTTCAAGCTATCAATTTCTGGTTCAGTAACTCTGCACTCGCTTTATTACTATAGTACTATACCGCCTTCAACTTTTATGAACGACTGGGTGTCTAAGGTTAGCGATTTATCGTATTATCCGGCTGTATAGCAGATGCAAAAATACAATTGCTTTTCTATGCAAGTTAAACATTTACGTCTTTTATAATTTACGTTTAAAAAAAAGAATGCAGGGCCCCTTGAAAACATATGCTACAGGCCCCACACACTAGCTTAATCCGGCACTGGTGCGTGTGGCGTGTACTGCTGCCCGGCACGTGCTGCCATGTGGGAGGGAGGCGCTCTCACGAACCCCCGGCGACCCGAGCTTCAATGAACCCCGCGGCGTCGATCGGCTTGACCCGCTGTGCCCGAGTTGCCGAACCGGTGACCTCCGCCGCGAGTGGCCGCGAGTGCCGTGGGGCCGTATCGCCGCGGCGACGGCGGCGCACGGCGGCACACGGTACGGCGGCCTCGTGGGTCTCAAGGCAAAAGGGCCCAAACCCCAAACCGTGAGAGATCCCTGAAGCGCACGCGACAACGTCGCCCCCCCCCCGACAACGTCGCCCCTGACGTCGCCCCCGACAACGTCGCCCCCGACAACGTCACCCCCGACAACGGCACCCCGACGTCACCCCTGACGTCGCCCCCGACAACGTCACCCCGACAACGTCGCCCCCGACAACGTCGCCCCCGACAACGTCGCCCCCACGTCACCACAACGTCGCCCCCGACAACGTCGCCCCCGACAACGTCGCCCCCACGTCACCACAACGTTACCCTGACAACGTCGCCCCTGACAACGTCGTCGCCCCGACGATAACGCGCGGGGCGTCGCCCCATCGCTCCGTTCAAGCGATGGCGTCAACCTCTCGTCAAGTTAATTGCGGTGCCGATTGTTGCTGGCCGCTTGACGTTTTAAAAATAAAAATTCCCGGACCCTTTTGTGCTTTGGCCAACCGTGTTGTAAAAACAAGAACAACACCAGGACGACAACAACACAACAACAACACAACAACACACGCGCACGGGTATCGTGCCGAGCTCCAGGTTACACCGTCCCCGGCCATCCCTCCGCCCTTCACCCCCAACCCGCCGGTGCGATTGGCTCCGTGCGTCGGGTGGTGGAGGGTCTTGGCGACACAGACCTGCAGCCTCGGTGGAAGAGAGAGCGGCGTGCACGCCGCTGTTGAGGAATTTCTGTTCGTGGCGAGGTTTTTGTTTTCTGCGCATGGGGAGGAGACTGGAGAGAGGGGGGGGGGGCGGTGGTGGCGGACGATGCTCTAAGCTCTGCACGGATAGATTCAAGAATTTACACCTCGCAGCAACACGCACCTGGCAAGCACTGCCACGTGGTGGTGGTGGTGGTGGTCACCCATCCGAGTTCAGCGGGCTCAGACCTGCTTAGCTGGCGAGGGCGGGCGGGCGGTGGGGGGTGACCAGACCTGGGAGGCTAAGCAGGTTCGTGCCTGGGCCCGTGCTCGATACGTGGGGGGCGGTGGGGGGGGGTAGGTAGGAGGGGGGCTACGTGGCGCTACACTCCGTGTGCTCCCTCGTCGAAGCCACTCGGCGAGATTTTGATCGTCGTTTGATCCAAGTGCTGATCGTTTGATCGATGAGCGCGCCGCAAGCGTCAAGTCTCCTCCACCGGCAACTCGCCATCACCACCGACATCACCGCCACCACCGCACCACCGCCATCACTGCCCACTGGCCGCTCGATCCAGCAGCTCGTAGCGCCGGCGCAGCTCCCCGACGCGCCCTTGCCCCAGGGCGGCCGTGCCGGCTTGCGCCGAGGGGGGTGCGGAGCGGAGGGGGCCGCCGGGCTGCGATGCCGGGCGTGCCGAGCGCGACCGAGCGCGCCGAGCGCGCCGGGAGCGCCGGGAGCGCCGAGCGTGCCGGGGGGGGGCAGCTGAGCCGCGCCGCGTCCCCCCGAACGAGCAGCAGCGGCGAGGGCGGAGGGGTAGCCGCGGACGCCGCCGTTGCCGCGGCGACGTCGGTGAGGAGCGACGGCAGCGAGCCGCCGTGCTGGTTGCCGCACGACGCCGTCGTAGCCGCCCGGCGCCGCGGGGAGGGAGACGAGGTGGACGAGGTGGAGGAGGTGGAGCTGTGGAGATGGGGGGTGGGGGGAGAGAGCGTAGAGGTCACGGGGCTGGTGGACATCGGAGAGATTTTTCTGGGGTCTGGCTAAAGGTGTTGTCCGGTTGTGTGTGTTGTGTCGTGTGTGTGTTGTGTATGTTGTGTGTGTGTTGTGTGTGTTGTGTGTGTGGTGTGTGTGTGTTTGTTGTGTGTGTGTTGTGTGTGTCGTGTGTGTTGTGTGTGTTGTGTGTGTGGTGTGTGTGTAGTGTGTGTATGTGTGGTGTGTGTTGTGTGCGTGTTGTGTGCGTGTTGTGTGCGTGTTGTGTGCGTGTTGTGGTGTGTGTTGTGTGTGTGTTGTGTGTGTGTTGTGTGTGTGTTGTGTGTTGTGATGTGGTGTGTGCGTGTTGTGTGTGTGTTGTGTGTGTGTGTTGTTCTCCAGCGTTGTGTGTTGTCCAGTTATAAAGAAAAAACTGTAAAACTATATTTTGTTGGTATTTTACCAGGTAAGGCCCACTGAGCTATATCGCTCTTCGTCAGAAGTGCCCTGGCCACAAACGGTAGCTCAACAAAGTGGCTGATCGTGTAGAAATTAAAATCGGCCAAATACTAAAAAACGGAGGACCTAGAGAAAAATACACGTGACCACGTGGATTTATACAGGCGGCAGGGTCGGCATCGAATCTAACGACCTGCACACCAGGCGAGGTAGTTAACATCTCAGCTGCACGTGTGCATTGTTAGAGTGTGCGTTGTTAGAGTGTGCGTTGTTAGAGTGTGCGTTGTTAGAGTGTGCGTTATTAGAGTGTGCGTTGTTAGAGTGTGCGTTGTTAGAGTGTGCGTTGTTAGAGTGTGCGTTGTTAGAGTGTGCGTTGTTAGAGTGTGCGTTGTTAGAGTGTGCGTTGTTAGAGCGTGCGTTGTTAGAGTGTGCGTTGTTAGAGTGTGTGTTGTTAGAGTGTGCGTTGTTAGAGTGTGCGTTGTTAGAGCGTGCGTTGTTAGAGCGTGCGTTGTTAGAGTGTGCGTTGTTAGAGTGTGTGTTGTTAGAGTGTGCGTTGTTAGAGTGTGCGTTGTCTGGGTTGTACGGCTGTAGTCCGGCTGTACGAGCGTAGCGAGGCGAGTGTGAGCCTCGGTCGGTGTCGTGGGCTTCCACCTGAGATGTGAGGTGTCCACCTCTTCCTCCTCCTCGTCTTCGTCGCTCTGCAGGGCTCCTCCACCCCTCACCTCCTCACCGTGCTCACCTGGATGGCGACGCACACCCACGCACGCACGGGGATGTCCATGGCTACACTCGGGGACGACGCACACTGCCACCTCCCCCCCCTCCTCATCCCCCCCCTCCTCATCCCCCCTCCCCTTCCTCGTCCCCCCCGTGTCTCCCACCTCCCCCACCCCCTCACCCTCCCCTCCCGCGTCTCCCACATCGTCCCCCCCCTCAAAGACGGTGGTCACCGCACCGTCGCGCGCTTTCAGATGCCGTCTGGAACGCTCTTTTCCTTCCGATATTAGCAAGCCCCTGGGGGCCGCGCATCTTTTTAAATCATCGAGATTGAAAACTCATTACTTTAGAACTCGCACGGTCGGCTACATTTCAACGTACACGCAAGTCGCCCGGTACCGATAAAGCCGCCCTCCCCCCCTCCCCCCACCCAGTCTCACCTCCTTGTCCCCCCCGCATCTCCGAGGGGGGCGGCGGTGTTGGCGAGCGGAAGAAGTGGCCGTTGCCGGGGCCCGGTTGCCGTGGCGACGACGGGAGGCAGATCCCCAGCACCGCCATGTCGTCACGGCCACCACACAGGGACGTCTACGGGGGCGGGGGGCGGGGGGGTGGGGGGGCGGAGGGGTGGGAAGTCGGGGGGGCGCGGGGTGGGGGTGAGACACCAGAAACGGAAAAGGGGGGGTACAGGTGGGTTCTGGATGGTGAGATAAGTATCACGATGATGACGATTGTCATGCCGATTGCACAATGGTGATGGCGATGATGGTGATGATGGTGATGGTGGATGGTGATGATGGTGATGATGGTGGATGGTGATGATGGTGGATGGTGATGATGGTGATGATGGTGGTGGTGATGATGGTGGATGGTGATCTTGGTTGATGGCAATGATGACAGACCATGACACGAATGATAGCCGATAATTCCTTGGATCAATTCGCGACCCACCAACCCTCGCATCCAAAGCACTGAACCCAAATACAGACGACCCCCACTCACGAAGACAAAGATCCCCCGTGTAGCCTTAACAGACTGTTGGGGCAAGTGCTGTTAGTGAGCACCACCTATGAAGGCCGGCACGGCACACGAGGGGGGGTGGGTGGCCAGCACCACGCCCGGCCGCCTTTGTCTCCCCAGCGGCGATGTTTACTACACACCGCTACACCAGCTACTCATTCGAGGCCGAGCAGACCTAGAGCGGAGGAGGCCCAGCACCACGGTTCAAATCACCGGCGTTGGCCGTGAGCGGCAATCGAACCCGGGTCGCCGGGGTTCGTGGCGCTAACCGCTGCGCCACCGCTCCCCCGCACTCACCTGCGAACTCCTCCACTCCTCGCGGCGCTAACTGCTGCGCCACCGCTCCCCCACTCACCTGCGAACTCCTACACTCCTCGTGGCGCTAACCGCTGCGCCGCCGCTCCCCGCACTCACCTGCGAACTCCTCCACTCCTCGCGGCGCTAACTGCTGCGCCACCGCTCCCCCACTCACCTGCGAACTCCTCCACTCCTCGCGGCGCTAACTGCTGCGCCACCGCTCCCCCACTCACCTGCGAACTCCTACACTCCTCGCGGCGCTAACCGCTGCGCCGCCGCTCCCCCCCTCACCTGCGAACTCCTCCACTCCTCGTGGCGCTAACTGCTGCGCCACCGCTCCCCCACTCCCCTGCGAACTCCTCCACTCCTCGTGGCGCTAACTGCTGCGCCGCCGCTCCCCCCCTCACCTGCGAACTCCTCCACTCCTCGTGGCGCTAACTGCTGCGCCACCGCTCCCCCACTCCCCTGCGAACTCCTCCACTCCTCGTGGCGCTAACTGCTGCGCCACCGCTCCCCCCCTCACCTGCGAACTCCTCCACTCCTCGTGGCGCTAACTGCTGCGCCGCCGCTCCCCCCCTCACCTGCGAACTCCTCCACTCCTCGTGGCGCTAACTGCTGCGCCACCGCTCCCCCACTCACCTGCGAACTCCTCCACTCCTCGTGGCGCTAACTGCTGCGCCGCCGCTCCCCCCCTCACCTGCGAACTCCTCCACTCCTCGTGGCGCTAACTGCTGCGCCACCGCTCCCCCACTCCCCTGCGAACTCCTCCACTCCTCGTGGCACTAACTGCTGCGCCACCGCTCCCCCCCTCACCTGCGAACTCCTCCACTCCTCGCGGCGCTAACCGCTGCGCCGCCGCTCCCCCCTCACCTGCGAACTCCTCCACTCCTCGTGGCGCTAACTGCTGCGCCACCGCTCCCCCCCTCACCTGCGAACTCCTCCACTCCTCGCGGCGCTAACTGCTGCGCCACCGCTCCCCCACTCACCTGCGAACTCCTCCACTCCTCGTGGCGCTAACTGCTACGCCGCCGCTCCCCCCCTCACCTGCGAACTCCTCCACTCCTCGTGGCGCTAACTGCTGCGCCACCGCTCCCCCCCTCACCTGCGAACTCCTCCACTCCTCGCGGCGCTAACCGCTGCGCCGCCGCTCCCCCCCTCACCTGCGAACTCCTCCACTCCTCGTGGCGCTAACCGCTGCGCCGCCGCTCCCCCCCCTCACCTGCGAACTCCTCCACTCCTCGTGGCGCTAACCGCTGCGCCGCCGCTCCCCCCCTCACCTGCGAACTCCTCCACTCCTCGTGGCGCTAACCGCTGCGCCGCCGCTCCCCCCCTCACCTGCGAACTCCTCCACTCCTCGCGGCGCTAACTGCTGCGCCACCGCTCCCCCCCCTCACCTGCGAACTCCTCCACTCCTCGCGGCGCTAACTGCTGCGCCACCGCTCCCCCCCTCACCTGCGAACTCCTCCACTCCTCGCGGCGCTAACCGCTGCGCCACCGCTCCCCCACTCACCTGCGAACTCCTCCACTCCTCGTGGCGCTAACTGCTGCGCCGCCGCTCCCCCCCTCACCTGCGAACTCCTCCACTCCTCGCGGCGCTAACTGCTGCGCCACCGCTCCCCCCCTCACCTGCGAACTCCTCCACTCCTCGCGGCGCTAACCGCTGCGCCACCGCTCCCCCACACTCACCTGCGAACTCCTCCACTCCTCGCGGCGCTAACCGCTGCGCCACCGCTCCCCCGCACTCACCTGCGAACTCCTCCACTCCTCGCGGCGCTAACCGCTGCGCCACCGCTCCCCCGCACTCACCTGCGAACTCCTCCACTCCTCGCGGCGCTAACCGCTGCGCCACCGCTCCCCCGCACTCACCTGCGAACTCCTCCACTCCTCGCGGCGCTAACCGCTGCGCCACCGCTCCCCCACACTCACCTGCGAACTCCTCCACTCCTCGCGGCGCTAACCGCTGCGCCACCGCTCCCCCGCACTCACCTGCGAACTCCTCCACTCCTCCCCCGCGGCTCCGAGGAGGTCGTCGAGGCTGCGGGAGGCCGTCAAGGGGCGCGGCTCCAGCGACGGGTCCAGCGACGCGTCCAGCGAGGCGAGGATCTCCGACAGGAGATCCATCTCCTCCTGGGGGCCCGCGCTCAGCGGGGGGCTCCCGGGGCCCCCCCCCTCGACCACCTCGGACGCCAAGGGCCTCCGCGAGCTGACCCCGAGTCGGCGTGGGGGGGGGGGGGTGAGGTCAGAGGTCACCGGTGATGGCGTTCGTTAGCGAGGAGCAGCGGTGATGTTTTCGCTCTTTGCACCGGGCGCTCGTTACGAGGCCGAGTGGGACCGGTTCGGATAATCGCCGCCGCCGCCACTTTAGAAGTTGGTGATGGTGGCCGCAAGCGGGGATCGAACTGGGGTCGTTCTCCGCCGCGCTAACCGCCGCGCCACCGCTCCCCGCTCACTCGCACGGCGCGGACGTGCGTCACGCAGCACTAACGAGCCACGCACTCGTTAACGCTGCACCATCCCTACCCCCCCCCCTCCCCCTACCTGGGTGGGGGGAGGGAGAGATCGGAGACACCTGGGGATGCGAGCGGCCGTTACCACGGCGACAGGCGTGGTCGTGAGTCCCTGGGGGTGGGGGCCGGGGGGGGGGGGCGAGTGGTGGATTGGAGCCCGGCGAGGTGATTACAGTGATTAGTGAAAGCGGAGAGCGAGCGAGGGCTGAGCCGTCAGTCCAACGCGGCGCTCCCCTCCCCATCTGCCACACAGGGCGTGAGTGGAGACCCACCCCGTCACGTGACAACGCCCACCCCCCACGAGAGGGCCCCGTCACGTGACCCCCCCCCGTCACCCATCGCGGCTTCCAACTCAGCGGCCGCCCTGGTGAACGCTGCACCTTTGAAAAAGAGGTTAATTGTTCAAAATGGACTTTACCCAGGAAATAAACTTCTTATGATGATCATCACCATCAATGATCATCAATGGTCATTCAATCATCTTCAGTTATCGCAGCCCACAGCATCGACTATTTTCGTCGCCGTATTTGAAAATGACACCGCAAATACATTGACGGGTAAAGCCACGGCAGCAGTAGCAGCAGCAGCATCGCCCGCCCGCTGTGAGCGTCGGCAGGCTGTGTGCGTCTGTCAGAGGTCGCAAACGGGTTTGATACCCAGCCGGGTACCCAGCCGGGTACGGGTACCCGTACCCGTAGGGTACAGGTACGGGTACCCGTTTGCGACCTCTGGGATGAAGCCATGTTGCAGGCGCAGGTGGGTTGATTCTAGGAACTTGAATTGAGAGAAGAGACAAGACGTTGGGAAATGAGTGACAAACAGTTACTCACCAGTGACTCACGGCCTACCCGTACCCGTACCCGGCCGCACCAGGGTCGCAAACGGGTACCCGTACCCGGCCGGGTACGGGTAGCCGGGTATCGGGTAGGGTACGGGTATCGGGTACCCGGTTGCGACCTCTGGCGTCTGTCTGACAGCAGCGGTTGCAGCAGGGCCTAGCCTCGTGGCCACGGCACTGCTGCAGCCACCATCAACACCACTGCCACTATGAGCCATGCCCTATCCATTGCTGGATGAAGGCCTCCCTTCTCCAAACCGCCACTGCCAGCAACACCACAACTACCACCAGCACCAAGATTTCTCCGTGTAGCCTTAACAGACTGTTGGGGCAAGCGCTGTTAGCAAGCGCCTATGAAGGCCGGCACGGCACATAAGGGGGTGGGTGGACAGCACCACGCCGACCGCCTTTGTCTCCCTCGTGGCGATGTTTACACACCGCTACACCAGGTATTCATTTGAGGCTGAGTCGACCTAGGGGAGGCCCAGGACCGGCTCAGATCACCGTCACCGGTGTTGGCCACGAGCGGGAATCAAACTCGGGCCGCCGGATTCGTAGCGCAGCGTAGCGCTAACCACGATGCCACCACCACCGCCAACACCACCGCCAACACCGCCACCACCAACACCAACACCACCGCCAACACCACCGCCAACACCACCGCCACAACACCACCGCCACCGCCAACACGACCACCACCACCAAAACCACCGCCGCCGCCACCACCACCGCCAACACCACCGCCAACACCACCGCCAACAATACCGCCTCTTGCGATCGCCGTGATCCACACAACGAGCCGATTCGAGCCTCACGTGTTCGGGGGGTGGGGGGGGGGGCAGCGGGGAGGGGAGGGTGGTGGGGGTGGGGGGCGCCCAGGGTACATTGATTTCGGTGGGGGTGAGGGGGGGGGGTCTCACAATCAGAATCTTGTATTCATGCCGGAGGGAAATCCGATGAGCTATGAAGCTCTTCTTTCACAGACGTCCCATCGACTCACCTCGTCCTGCGCTGAGAGAGGCCCCTCCCCACGGCGGAGCTGCCCCCGTACGAGGAGCTGAGTGGTGCCACCTCCTGGGGTGGGGGGGGGGTGGTGACGGAGGAAGGGGGGGGGGGGAGTAATTAATGCTCATTAAGGCTCGTTAGCGGTCGTTAGCGGTCATTAGCGTGCGTTAAGGCTCGTCAACTGAGCGTGGCCATTCAGGAATTTCCGGGGCACGCCGACACACGCGCAGGCAGGGTCGCGCGGGCAAGGTCACGGTCTGGGTCAGGGGTCAGAGATAGGGGTTAGAGTTCAGGGGTTAGAGATTAGGGCTGGGGTTATAGTTTTAGTTGCGGTTGAGTTTAGGGTTAGAGATGGGGTTGAGGATAGGGTTGGGGTTAGGGTTTAGGTTGGGGTGAGAGTTTGAGGTTATGGTTAAAATGAATGATGGGTTTATGGTTAGAGATAGGGTTAAGGGATAGTGTCAGAGGTTAGTGTTACAGGTTCCTGTTGGGTGTTAGGGTTAAAGTTAGGGTTACGTGTTAGTATTAGAGATTACTAATAGGGGTTATAGGGTTAAAGTTAGGGTTAGAGGTTAGCATCTGGGGCTAGGGTTAAAGTTAGGGTTAGTGTTGGGGTTAGGTTATGATTAAAATGAATGCTGGGCTTATGATTATAGACAGGGTTAGAGGTGACTATTCGGGTGTTGGGGTTAAAGTTAGGGTTTGGGTTGAGCGATGGTTGGAAGGGGGGTGGGGAGGAGGGGGCAGCAGATGGGAGATGCAGTGTGAGGAGGGGGACAACAGGGTCCACGGATTCAACTCCCCACTGAGCCTCACCCACACCCAACGCCACACAGTTCCGAAGACAAAGATCCCCTCCCTCCCCCCCGTATAGTCTCAACAGACTGTTGGGGCAAGTGCTGTTAGCGAGCACCTATAAAGGCCGGCACGGCACACGAGGGGATGGGTGGCCAGCACCTAGTGGAGGCTCAGGACCACTTCAGATAATCATAACTGGTGTTGATGGTGGCTGTGAGCGGGAATCGAAAACCGGGTCGCCAGGTTCGTCACTAAGTGGCGGTGACGTCACCACGACGCTTGTGCCAGGCCAAGTGCACCTTGAGGCCACGTGAAGTGTCAAACGCCCGCTGGCAGGTCACGGACACACACACACGGACACACACACACACACGATGGCACCATGATAGACACACACATTCACCACTCACTCGACACACACAAAGACAAAGATCCCCGCTATATAGCACACCACACACGGACACACACAGACACATATAGACACACACAGACATATACAGATGGACACATACACACAGACACACACGGACACACCACCGCCATTGTCACTAAACACTGTCTCTGAACACAACAAGGCAGCGTTTAAAACGACAGACCGCGTCGGAGAGCAGAGAAAGACGGAAAAAGACAAAGTGAGGTGGGGGGGGGGGGCAGTGGGGGGGCAGGGGGGGGGGTCGTCGTCACTTTCATGAACTGGGAAATCGTGGATCGGGGATTATCCCCTAATCTGGCTTAAACGCCAAGTGCGCGCGTCAATCGTGCACCCACCCATCCTCCGTTAATCCGTGACCCCCTAACCCTCACCCCCCCCCCACACCCACCAACCCCACCCACCACCCACCCCCACTCCTGCCACGTAACCCCTAGAGAGCACAATGGACTGCTCCTCCACCCCGGGCCCGTGTGCTGTGGGAGAGACCAAAGGCACCAATTAGTGGGTGGGGCCTGATCCGGGCGGGGTCCGGAGGGGAAATGTTGGGTGGTGGTGGTGGTTGGCGGTGGTGGTGGTGATGGTGGTGGTGTGTGTCTGTGTGTATCAGTGTGGTGGTGGTGGTGTGTGTCAGGGTGCTGGTGGTGGTGTGTCAGGGTGCTGGTGGTGGTGTGTGTCTGTGTGTGTCAGTGTGATGGTGATGGTGTGTGTCAGGGTGCTGGTGGTGGTGTGTCAGGGTGCTGGTGGTGGTGTGTGTCTGTGTGTATCAGTGTGGTGGTGGTGGTGTGTGTCAGGGTGCTGGTGGTGGTGTGTCAGGGTTCTGGTGGTGGTGTGTGTCTGTGTGTGTCAGTGTGGTGGTGGTGGTAGTGTGTCAGGATGCTGGTGGTGGTGTGTCAGGGTGCTGGTGGTGGTGTGTGTCTGTGTGTGTCAGTGTGGTGGTGGTGGTAGTGTGTCAGGATGCTGGTGGTGGTGTGTCAGGGTGCTGGTGGTGGTGTGTGTCTGTGTGTGTCAGTGTGGTGGTGGTGGTAGTGTGTGTATCACAGTGTGGTGGTGTGTGTCAGGGTGCTAGTGGTGTGTGTGTCAGTGTGATGGTGGTAGCGTGTGTCTGTGTGTGTCAGTGTGGTGGTGTGTGTCAGGGTGCTGGTGGTGGTGTGTGTCTGTGTGTGTCAGAGTGGTGGTGGTGGTGTGTGTCCGTGTGTATCAGTGTGGTGGTGGTGTGTGTCAGGGTGCTGGTGTGTGTCAGGGTGCTGGTGGTGGTGTGTGTCTGTGTGTGTCAGTGTGGTGGTGTGTGTCAGGGTGCAGGTGGTGGTGGTGTGTGTCTGTGTGTGTCAGAGTGGTGGTGGTGGTGGTGGAGGGAGCTTCCCGGCAGGTCTCTGAGGGCCTTCATTAGTGGGCTCCAGGAACGGGCTCCAGACGAATGGCTGCAGTAGGTGAGACGGGAGGGCAGGGAGGAGGGATGCCAGATTTGTCTCACACCTCCACCCCCCCGTACCCCCCCCCCCACCGCCCCCCCCCCCACCTCGTTAGCTCGCAGAAAGATGGAACGAAAAAATTGTCCCATTTTATTCTCTGCTGCTGCCGCTGCCGTGGTGACGACGACGGGAGAGAGAGAGAGAGGGCACCGGCTTCGTGGCTAATAGGAAAAACAAGCGCACGCCCCGCGGTGACCCCTGCTTGCCCTGCTGAGGTCAGAGCGATGTGCAGCTCAGCGGACCGGAGATGTTTGTGTGCATGTGCGTGCGTGTGTGTGCGTATGTGCACGTGTGTGTGTGCGTGTGTGTGCGCGTGTGTGTGCGCGTGTGGAAGCAGGAGTGTAGCGGTGAGCGCTACGCTGCGCTACGAACCCGGCGACTCCGAGTTCGATTCCCGCTCACGGTCAACACCGGTGACGATGAACTGAGCAGGTCCTGGGCCTCCCATAGGTCGACTCAGCCTCAAATGAGTACCTGGCACGGTGTGTAAACATCGCCACTGGGGAGACAAAGGCGGCTGTGTGTTGGTTTTGGCCCCCCACCCCCCCTCGTGTGCCGTGCCGGTAGCCTTCGTAGGTGCTGCTACTCGCTAACGGCACTTGCCCCGGCAGTCTGTTACAGGCTACACGGGGGATCTCTTGTGTGAGCGTGCATGTCTGTGTGTTACTCTCTGCTCTAGTCTCCCCCCCCCCCTACCCCCCGCCGAGGATGATGGCAATGTCTCATCACGACTCGGACGCGTCACACGCTGACCCGCTCGCCCTCTCGCCATCTCGCCCACTCGCCCGCCTGCTCGCTCGCTCCGTCTCCCCGTGTCTCCTCACCTCGTGAGCCGTGTCCGTGTCGTCTCTGCGGGCGTCCACGTCGGACACGTGTCTCCTCACCCGGTGAGCCGACTCCCCATCGTCGCCCTCGTCATCGCTCACCACGTCCTACGGGGGAGGAGGTGGTGGAGGAGGTGGTGGAGGTGGAGGAGGTGGAGGTGGTGGAGGAGGTGGTGGAGATGGTGGAGGTGGAGGAGGTGGAGGAGGTGGAGAAGGAGGTGGAGGAGGTGGAGGAGGTGCAGGAGGTGGTGGAGGAGGAGGTGGAGGAGGTGGAGGAGATGGAGCAGGAGGTGGTGGAGGAGGTGGTGGAGGAGGTGGTGGAGGAGGTAATAAGGAGGTGGAGGAGGTGGAGGAGGTGGAGGAGATGGAGCAGGAGGTGGTGGAGGAGGTGGTGGAGGAGGTAAGAAGGAGGTGGAGGAGGAGGTGGAGGAGGTGGAGGAGGTGGAGGAGATGGAGCAGGAGGTGGTGGAGGAGGTGGTGGAGGAGGTAATAAGGAGGTGGAGGAGGTGGAGGAGGTGGTGGAGGAGGTGGTGGTGGAGGAGGTGGAGGTGGTGGAGGAGGTGGAGGAGATGGTGGAGGTGGAGGAGGTAGAGGTGGAGGAGGTGGAGGTGGAGAAGGAGGTGGAGGAGGTGGTGGAGGAGGTGGAGGAGGTGGAGGAGGTGGTGGAGGAGGTGGAGGAGGTGGTGGAGGAGGAAGTGGAGGAGGAGGTGGTGGAGGTGGTGGAGGAGGTGGTGGAGGAGGTGGTGGAGGAAGTTGGAGCAAGAGGTGGAGGAGGTGGAGGAGGAATAGGATTTTACAAACAGTGCAGGACACAGACACGAGGACACGTGCAACACGAGACAGGGAGACACAGGAAGACACACACCGACAGACACAAAGACGCAGACAACACAAAGATCCCCCCCTTAATACAGCTTTCACAGACTGTCGGAGCAAGTGCTGTTAGCGAGCGGCACCGATGAAGGCCGGCACGGCACACGAGGCGGTGGGTGGCCACAGCACCGCACCTCCGATTATCACGGTCGGCTACGTACGGTGCCAAAGAAGTTCAACATACATACATATACCACGCCCGACCGCCTTTGTCTCCCTGGACACGTACAAAGACGCACACACACTTCTAGATTTGAAGCTTTCGTGACTGCAAGTATTCATATTCTTAGGTGTTCGGTAAAGTCACGTAGGTAAAAAATTTAAATTAATAAAAGTAAAATAAAAAATTTAAATTAAAATTGATAAAAGCTAAATAAATATAAATTTTAATTTTTTACCTACGTGACTCTACCGAAAACCTAAGAATACGCACACACACACACGCACTCGCTCACCTTGTGCTTGTGTGCTGACTTGACCTCTTTGAACCCAAAGCGTCCCTTTGCCATCTTTGCGAGTGACACACGCAGACACACACAGACGTACAAACAGAGGTAAAGGTCCCCCAGATAGCCCACGGAGGCTGCTGGGCCCAAGGGTTGTTAAGCGAGTAGGACTGGCTCTGACCATCACTCGCCACTGACGTTATCGCCGGGGCCGGGAATCAAACTTGTGTCACCAGGTCCGTGCTATGCATTGTGGGGCAAGTGCTGTTAGCGAGCGGCACCTTTGAAGGCCGGAACAGTACACGAGGGGGTGGGTGGCCAGCACCACGCCCGCCCACCTTTGTCTTCCCACTGGCGATGTTTACTACACACCGCACCAGGTACTAAATTGAGGCTGAGTCGACCTAGGGTTCACATAATTATCGTCACTGGTGTTGGCCGTGAGTGAGAATTGAAGCTGGGTCGCCGGGTTGCAAGCGGAGCGCGCTAACCGCTACACTGCCGCTCCTCACACACTCGCACACACAGAGAAACAAACACACAGACACACACACACAGAGACACACACACACTCTCACACACACACACGCTCTCACACAGAGAGACACACTCACACACACACACTCTCACACACACACACACGGATACCGTAGCAACTTGTAACTCTGAGCCACCACCGCCGCACGGCGTCCGCTCATCGCTCTCGTAGAGAGGGAGAGGGAACGAGTCGGAGACAGGGGACGACTCAAAGAGAGAGGACGACTCAGAGAGACAGAGGACGACTCAGAGAGAGAGGATGACTCAGAGAGACAGAGGACGACTCAGAGAGAGAGATAAGACGACTCAGAGAGAGAGAGGACGACTAGGAGGCGCCAGGAGGAGGAACCACAGCCTCGGAGCGGGAAGGCAGCAGTAGCAGCAGCCGCACGGTGGCTACTCGACCGTCCACGATACATTTCAGGCCTTCATCATCCAAACGAACGCGCGGGAGGAAACCGGAGCGCCACGAAGAACACCCACGCGTGCGAGCGTGCGTGGGTGCGTGCGAGCGTGCGAGCGAGGGTGCGTGCGTGCGAGCGTGCGAGCGTGGGTGCGTGCGAGCGTGGGTGCGTGCGAGGGTGCGTGCGTGCGAGCGTGGGTGCGAGCGTGGGTATGTGCGTGCGAGCGAGCGTGCGTGCGAGCGTGGGTGCGTGCGTGCGAGCGTGGGTGGGTGCGTGCGAGCGTGTGTGTGTGCGTGCGAGCGTGGGTACATGTATGCGTGCGAGCGTGCGAGCGTGTGTGTGTGCGAGCGTGTGTGTGCGTGCGAGCGTGCGAGCGTGCTGTGGGTACATGCATGCATGCATGCATGCGTGGGTGCGTGCGAGCGTGCGAGCATGCGTGCGAGCGAGCGTGTGTGCGTGCGAGCGTGCGAGCGTGCGAGCGTGCGTGGGTACATGCATGCATGCATGCGTGGGTGCGTGCGTGCGAGCGTGCTGCGAGCGTGCGTGCGTGCGAGCGAGCGTGCGAGCGTGCGCGGGTGCGAGGGGCCAACGACTCCATCCCGTCGCACAGACGGAGCAACTGGGCCGGGGGCGGCGGTGAGGGAGCCTCCTCTTGACGCGCGAGGCAGACTCGCTTCCACGCTCCGCCAACAGGCGGCAGCCGCCTCGTACGACGGCGTTCAAAGTGCGGCCGCGTGCCCCTTGCGCAGCCGCACATTGGGAGGAGAGCGGCCAGGGGGGGGGGGGGAGCCGGGGGGGGGGGCCGGGGGGGGGGGCGGGGGCTGTCGGCTCGTCCCGTTGCGCGGAGCAACGTCGGCGAGTGAAGTTCACGCGGGGAAATTAATCCGGCGACGCGGCGACAAGCGTGAAATGGCCGCGAGGAACGAGCGAGCGAGCGTGCTAAGGGGTTAACGAGTGGGTGAATGAGAGAGTAAGTGAATGAAAGAATGAGCGAGCGAGGTAATTGATAAACGAATGAGTTGATGGCAACGAGTGAATGAATGACAATGAGTGAATGTGTGTGACTACACACGTTCACTCATGTGTGAGTGACTGAATGAGTTGATTAATAAATGAGTCGATACATTACTGGTTGAATATGTGAATGAGATAACGAATTATAGAAAGTCTGAAAGAATAAGTGACAAGAATCAATGAAAAAGTCAATGCTGAAATAGTGAATCCATGAGTGAATGCACGAATGCATTAATGCACGGGTGAATGAGTTTGTGAGTGAATGAGCGAGCGGGCATGTGTGTGAATACATGGGTTAACGAATGGGTGAATGAGAGAGTAAATGAATGAAAAAATGAATAACCGAGGTAATGAATATTCGAATTAGTTGATGGCAACAAGTGAATGTGTGAATACACATTCATGAGTTAAATGATAAATTCGTCAACACATTAGTGCATGACTTAATACTTGAATGAGATAGTAAATGATAGAATGTCTGAAAGAATGAAGGAGCCAATGCTGAAATAGTGAATCCATGAGTGAATGCATTAATGCATTAATACACGGATGAATGAGTTTGGTGAATGAATGAGTGAGTGAATGAGTGCTGGTGACAGGCTCACAAATCGGTACATGGACTTCATGGCTGGGTTGGCCTTGGTCATCAGGGACATGAAAGCACCCCCACCTTTCTACAGGAGACACGGGGAGACACGGGGAGAGACGGTGAGACACGGGGAGACACGGTGAGACACGGGGAGACACGGAGAGACACGAGGAGACACGGGGAGACACGGGGAGAGACGGTGAGACATGGGGAGACACGGGGAGACACGGGGAGAGACGGTGAGACACGGGGAGAGACGGTGAGATGCGGTGAGACATGGTGAGACACGGGGAGACACGGGGAGAAACGGTGAGACACGGGGAGACACGGTGCTACACGGGGAGAGACGGTGAGACGCGGGGAGAGACGGTGAGACACGGTGAGACACGGTGAGACACGGGGAGAGACGGTGAGACGCGGGGAGAGACGGTGAGATGCGGTGAGACACGGTGAGACACGGGGAGACACGGTGCTACACGGGGAGAGACGGTGAGACGCGGGGAGAGACGGTGAGACACGGTGAGACACGGTGAGACACGGGGAGAGACGGTGAGACGCGGGGAGAGACGGTGAGAGACGGTGAGGCACGGGGAGACACGGTGAGACACGGTGAGACACGGTGAGACACGGGGAGAGACGGTGAGACGCGGGGAGACACTGGGAGACACGGTGAGATGGTGAGACACGGTGAGACACGGTGAGACACGGGGAGACACTGGGAGACACGGTGAGATGGTGAGACACGGTGAGACACGGGGAGGACGGTGAGACACGGTGAGGCACGGGGAGACACGGTGAGACACGGGGAGAGACGGTGAGACACGGTGAGGCACGGGGAGACACGGTGAGACACGGGGAGAGACGGTGTGACACGGTGAGACACGGTGAGACATGGGGAGACACGGGGAGAGACGGTGAGACGCGGGGACATGGGGAGACACGGTGAGACACGGTGAGACACGGGGAGATACGGGGAGAGACGGTGAGATGCGGGGAGAGACGGTGAGACGCGGGGACATGGGGAGACACGGGGAGAAACGGTGAGACACGGGGAGATACGGGGAGACACGGTGAGACATGGGGAGACACGGGGAGAGATGGTGAGACACGGGGAGACACGGTGAGACATGGGGAGAGACGGTGAGACGCGGGGAGAGACGGTGAGAGACGGTGAGGCACGGGGAGACACGGTGAGACACGGTGAGACACGGTGAGACACGGGGAGAGACGGTGAGACGCGAGGAGACACTGGGAGACACGGTGAGATGGTGAGACACGGTGAGACACGGTGAGACACGGGGAGACACTGGGAGACACGGTAAGATGGTGAGACACGGTGAGACACGGGGAGAGACGGTGAGACACGGTGAGGCACGGGGAGACACGGTGAGACACGGGGAGAGACGGTGAGACACAGTGAGGCACGGGGAGACACGGTGAGACACGGGGAGAGACGGTGTGACACGGTGAGACACGGTGAGACATGGGGAGACACGGGGAGAGACGGTGAGACGCGGGGACATGGGGAGACACGGTGAGACACGGTGAGACACGGGGAGATACGGGGAGAGACGGTGAGACGTGGGGAGAGACGGTGAGACGCGGGGACATGGGGGGACACGGTGAGACACGGTGAGACACGGGGAGATACGGGGAGACACGGTGAGACATGGGGAGACACGGGGAGAGATGGTGAGACACGGGGAGACACGGTGAGACATGGGGAGACACGGGGAGAGACGGTGAGACGCGGGGAGACACGGTGAGACACGGTGAGACACGGTGACACATGGGGAGACACGGGGAGAGACGGTGAGACGCGGGGACACAAGGGGACACGGTGAGACACGGGGAGACACGGGGAGACACGGGGAGACACGGGGAGAGATGGTGAGACGTGGGGACATGGGGGGACACGGTGAGACACGGTGAGACACGGGGAGACACGGTGAGACACGGTGAGACACAGGGAGAAATGGGGAGGCGGTGAGACACGGGGGAGACACGGGGGAGACACGGGGGAGACACGGGGGAGACACGGGGAGAGACGGTGAGACACGGGGAGACACGGTGAGACACGGGGAGACACGGGGAGACATGGTGAGACACAGTGAGACACGGGGAGACACTGGGAGACACGGTGACACATGGGGAGACACGGGGAGAGACGGCGAGACACGGTGAGACACGGTGAGACACGGGGAGACACGGGGAGACACGGTGAGACACGGTGAGACACGGGGAGACACGGTGAGACACGGGGAGACATGGGGAGACACGGGGAGACGGTGTTGGGTCAGAGGGCGTCATGGTGGTGAGTGACACAGAATGTCACCACGAGTGTCACTCACCTTGACAGTGAGGAGCCACTGCTGGTACGACTTGGCACTCCCTGTGACACAAAGACAAAGATCCCCCATATAGCCTTCAACAGAAAGTTGGGGCAAGTGCTGTTAGCGAGCAGCACCTATGAAGGCCGGCACGGCACACGAGGGAAGTGGGTGGCCAGCACCACGCCCAGCCGCTTTTGTCTCCCCAGTGGAGATATTTACACACCGCACCAGGTACTCATTTTGAGGCCGAGTCGACCTAGGGGAGGCCCACGACCGATTCAGATAATCGTCACTGGTGTTGGGCGTGAGCGGGAATCGAACCCGGATTACCGGGTTCGTAGCGCAGTGCGCTAACTGCGAACACCGCCGCTCCCCACACGTACACGCACACACACACACGTACACACACGTACACGCACACGTACACACACACACACACACGTACACACACGCACACGTACACACACACGTACACACACACGTACACACACACACACACACGCACGTACACGCACACGTACACGCACACACACATACACACACACGTACAGACACACGTACACACACACACACGTACACACACACACACGTACACACACACGTACACACACACACACACACGCACGTACACGCACACGTACACGCACACACGTACACACACGCACACGTACACACACGCACACGTACACACACCACACGTACACACACACGTACACGCACACACACACACGTACAAACACACGCACACACACACGCACACACACACACACGTACACACACACGCACACGTACACGCACACGTACACGCACCGCTGCCTCCCCTCTGCACACATGTCACATGGGTGGACTGCTCTGGTTGAGCACAATCGTGTGGGGAGGGGGGGTGGGGGGAGATGGGGGTGGGCCTCAGGCCCTGGAGTGAAGGGGGAGCTCATGGGGGGGGGGTCGGTGGGCCCTGGGAGGACAGTGGGCCCTGGTGCGGGGAGGGGGGGGGGGCGGTGGGCCCTGGAGGGTCAGCGGGGGCCCAAAGTGCTGGTAGACCCTGGGGGGGGGGGGGGGGCGGTGGGCCCTGGAACGGAGGAGGAGGAGGTGGTCACCCTTGGAGTATCCGCCCAGGGTGATCTCTTCCTCAAAGAGGTCGCTGAAGCCTACGCCGGCGTTGAGCAACTCCAGCCTCCCGTCGATGAACTGGGGACGACACAGGCAAAGGTCCCCCATGTAGCCTGCACACGTACACCGCTCGGGGGCAAGTGCGGGCAGGGAGCTGACGTACGCACGGCACACTTCATCCAGCGGTGGATTGACCACGGCTGTTGGTGATACGTAAGATAAAAGATCCCCCCCATGTAGCTCACACCGACTGTTGGGACAAGTTGTGTAAAAGCAAAGCAACGATTTAAAGTCTTCACCTTCTTGGTTCTTTCGGTAAAGTCACGTAGAAGGGAAATAATAAAATAATAAAAATAATACATAATTAAATAATTCTCATGACGTTTCGACCACAACACAAGCAGCCGTCCTCAGGTGAAGAACAGGTCTGTCGGAAAAACAGCGTCTGAATGAAACATCAGAAAACAGCGTCCGAATGAACAAGACCTGAATGAACAAGACCTGTTCTTCACCTGAGGACGGCTGCTTGCGTTGTGGCCGAAACGTCGTGAGAATTATTTTATTATGTTTTTAAATTATTATTTTATTATTTCCCTTCTACGTGACTTTACCGAAAGAACCAAGAAGAGCAAAACAACGATTAAGTGCGGCACTATGGAACCTCCACCGTGGGCCGCCTGAGACTGACCCTCCACTGTGGGCCCCTCCACGATAGGCCCTCCGTCGTGGGCCCTCCGCCGTGGGCCCTCCACAGTGCGTTGGGAGATGCCTGGGAACTCCAAGACCCCCCCCCCCTCCTGTGTCCCTCACAGCCTCCGGCCCAACCCCTGTCAACACCTCGTGAGACCCCCTAGAGACCCCCCCCCACCCGGCTAGAGGATCCCACATGGAATGTACCATGGAGTTCCAAGGTTAGGGGGGGGGGTTGTGGTAGGAGAGTGTGAGAGGCTGTGTTTCCAGTAGTATGCAGGCGCTCACGATTAAGATGACGATGCACGTGTGTGTGCGTGTGTGTGTGTTGCCCAGCCACCGCATGCCTAAACAGCTTTTGTTCGGCCGGATCGAGGGGGCTAAACGGGCGCGGCACGGGCTAGAGAAGAGATGGAGTGATGTGGTACAGGAGGACGTGGAGCTGAGTGGACTTGCCGATGACTGGTACCAGCGGTGTCAAGATCGGCCTCAGTGGAGGAGGCTCGTGAAGGACACTACTGGGCAGTTGGAGGCAGTCGCCCTCCAACAACAATGGAGGGCGGAGGAGCGACGCTCACAACAACGAGCGGAGCGTCGGGTGGCTAAAGCACAGCAAATTGGCACAGTAGGGGGCACAGGTGGTGCATCAGCCAGTCATCTCGGTCATCTCGGTCAGTCGACCCGTGGCACCTGCTGGGTCTGCCCCGTGACCTCCTGCCAGCGGGCGTTCGACACTTCACGTGATAGCCTCAAGGTGCACATGGCCTGGCACAAGCATCGTGGTGATATCACCGCCACTTAGTGGTGAATGGCGGTTGTTGTTGTTGAACTTCTTTCGCACCGTACGTAGCCGACCGTGCTGATCGAGAGGTGAAGGATAAATGATGCCGATATTACTGATGGTCATGCCGATGAATGTGACGTTGATGACGACAGTGAACAGCTTGCTGATGATCACGTTGATGACGATGTTGATGATGATGATCATAAAGATTATCGCGTTGATGATGATGATGGTGGCAATGACGATGATCACGTTGATGACGATGTTGATGATGATCATGCTGATGAATGTGACGTTGATGACGACGGTGAACAGCTTGCTGATGATCACGTTGATGACGATCTTGTTGATGATGATCATAACGATGATCACGTTGATGACGATCTTGTTGATGATGATCATAACAATTATCGCGTTGATGATGATGATGGTGGCAATGACGATGATCACGTTGATGAACGATGTTGATGATGATCATGCTGATGAATGTGATGTTGATGACGGTGAGCAGCTTGCTGATGATCACGTTGATGACGATCTTGTTGATGATGATCATAACGATGATCACGTTGATGACGATCTTGTTGATGATGATCATAACGATTATCGCGTTGATGATGATGATGGTGGCAATGACGATGATCACGGTGATGCTGACAAGTGATGAACATCATGCTGATGATGATCACCATGATGATATTTGGACTTAATCCCCCTCCCCTCCCCCCGGTATACAATGGTAGAGTCTACGGGTGACCGGTCGGTCCGTGTCTCTCATCACCCCCGCGGAACACCCCACTCAGGGAGGGGGGGGGGGCAGAGGGGGGTGGGGGGGACATGACACCTGCTGGGTGGGAGTCTAGTGGTGTCTTCAGGGGCCTGTATTGTGTCTCGCTTCTCGCTTGCATTGTGCGTGGGTGGGTGTGCGTGGGTGGGTGTGCGTGAGTGGGTGAGTGCGCGTGGGTGAGTGCGGGTGGGAGAGTGTGCGTGGGTGAGTGCGCGTGGGTGAGTGCGCGTGGGTGAGTGGGTGAGTGTGCGTGGGTGAGTGTGCGTGGGTGAGTGTGCGTGGGTGAGTGCGCGTGGGTGAGTGCGCGTGGGTGAGTGCGCGTGGGTGAGTGCGCGTGGGTGAGTGTGCGTGGGTGAGTGTGCGTGGGTGAGTGTGCGTGGGTGAGTGTGCGTGGGTGAGTGTGCGTGGGTGAGTGTGCATGGGTGAGTATGCGTGGATGAGTGTGCATGGGTGGGTGTGCCTGGGTGAGTGCGCGTGGGCGAGTGCGCGTGCGCGTGGGCGAGTGCGCGTGGGTGAGTGCGCGTGGGTGAGTGCGCGTAGGTGAGTGTCTGGGTGAGTGGTTGGGTGAGTGGCTGGCTGGGTGAGTGGCTGGGTGAGTGTCTGGGTGAGTGTCTGGGTGAGTGGCTGGCTAGGTGAGTGGCTGGGTGAGTGGCTGGGTGAGTGGCTGGGCGAGTGACTAGCCGAGCGAGCGGCTTGGTGGGCGACTAGCTGGGTAGGCTGGCGACACTGCTCACCGTGTCTCCCCTCCCGCCTGTCGTGCCACTGCCTTGCGTGTGACGCAAGGAAACCAGCAGCGATGACATTCTCTCTCTCTCTCTCAAATCCCTCTCTCTGTCTCTATGTATATCTCTCTCTTTTTTCTCTCTCTCTCCGTCACCGCAGTTTCTCGCCGTGACTCATCCTCCGCGCAATTTCTATCGAAGAGAAAATAAACCCACACGGCAGAATGTCTCACAAATTCAGTCATCGGCGTTATCTGCCAACGGGCAACCAACTCCGCACTTTAATCGCGCGAGAATGATAAACAAAATAGGCTTCGGTCTCTCGCTCGCTCTCTGTCCGCAACCCTCTCTCTCTTCCCTCACCCTCCCTCTCTCACCATCTCTCTCACCCACTCTCACCGCTCACTCCTATCTCTCCCCTGCCCTATCTTTCTCCCTCTCTCACACTCACCCTCTCACCCTCTCTCTCCCACTCTCTCTCTCTGTGTTTGCCTCTCTTCCCCCCGCGTCTCTCTCACTCTTGCCCTCTCTCTTTCTCTCGACAAAATTAAATTCAACAAGATGACGTTACCGTTGGCCAGCCTTCAGAGATCACACGCGTACATAAATAATTATAGACATGCAAATACACACACGGATTACAAAGACAAAGCTCACATGTATGACCTTAATAGACTGACTGGGGCAAGTGCTGTTAGCGAGTAGCAGCTATGAAGGCCGGAACGGCACCACGCGAGGTGGCGATGTTTACACACCGCACCAGGTACTCATTTGAGGCTGAGTCTACCTAGGGGGAGGACCATAATCGTCACCGGTGTTGGTGGCTATGAGTGTGGGAATCGCACTCGGGTCTAAGCCGGGTTCCTAGAGCAGCGCAGCGCTAACCGCTACTACACCACCGCTCCCCACATGCACAGACAAAAACCCCCCATATAGCCTTAACACACTGTTGGGGCAAGTGCTGTTAGCGAGCACCTATAAAGGCCGGCACGGCACATGCGGGGGTGGGTGGCCAACACCACGCCCGGCCGCCTTTGTCTCCCCAGTGGCGATGTTTAAACATCGCAACCAGGTACTCAATTGAGGCTGAGTCAACCTAGGGGAGGCTCAGGACCGGTTCAGAAAATTATCGTCACTGGTGTTGACCGTGAGCGGGAATCGAACTCGGGTCTCTGGGTTCGTAGCGCAGCGTAGCGGTAACCGCTACACCACCGCTCCCCAGCACAGATACACATAGATACACACACGCACACGCACGCAGCTGTGAAGAGAGGAACGGGGAAGAGTGAGGGAGCGGTGGGAGAGTCTGGGATGAATGGAGAAGGGAAGATGATCAGGGAAAGATGGGGAAGCAAGTGGGCAGAGTTGGTGAGCAGTTGTGAGAGTTTGGGAGTGCTGAGAGGGAGCGGAGAGAAACTGAGACTCTGGGAGAAGTTGGAAGAGTCATGGAGCAGTTGGGAGAGTTGGGGAGCAGTTGAGAGTTGGGGAGCAGTTGAGAGATTCTGGGAGCAGTTGGGATACTCTGGGAGCAGTTGGGAGAGTTGGGGAGCAGTTGAGAGATTCTGGGAGCAGTTGGGATACTCTGGGAGCAGTTGGGAGAGTTGGGGAGCAGTTGAGAGATTCTGGGAGCAGTTGGGAGAGTTGGGGAGCAGTTGGGATACTCTGGGAGCAGTTGGGAGAGTTGGGGAGCAGTTGAGAGATTCTGGGAGCAGTTGGGATACTCTGGGAGCAGTTGGGAGAGTTGGGGAGCAGTTGTAGAGTTTGGGAGTGCTGAGATGGAGTGGAGAGAAACTAAGAGTCAGGGAGCAGTTGGGAGAGTTGGGGAGCAGTTAGGAGATTCTGGGAGCAGTTGGGAGAGTTGGGGAGCAGTTGGAAGATTCTGGGAGCAGTTTGGATACTCTGGGAGCAGTTGGGAGAGTGAGTTGGGGAGTGAATGTGAGTAGGGAGCAGTTGAGAGTGTGAGAGATGAGTGGGAGAGTGAGTTGGGGAGTGAATGGGAGTGAATGAGAGAGTCGGGGACAAGCCACCTGTGCTCCCCGGCTCCGCGCTGGGGAATGCGCGACTCAGAGCGGCGACTCAGAGTGACGACTCCGCGAGGAGCTTGTTGTGAAACCGGAGACTCCGCCGCATCTGGCGGAGTCTCCGCTCCCACGCAGAGCGAGCAACTCTCACGGGGACAGGCGAGCGGAGAGACGCGGGGGCGGGGGAGACACACGCGGGGAGACGCTGGGGAGGGGACGTGGACACAAGCGGAGACACGCGGGGTGAGACAAGCAGAGAGTCGTGGGGGAGAGGGAGGGGGGGAGACACGCAAGGACACGCGGGGAGACACGGAGACACGCGGGGTGAGACACGCAGAGAGTTGCGGGGGGGGGGAGGCGGAGACACGCAAGGACACGCGTAAGACGCGGGGACACTCGGGGTGAGACACGCAGAGAGTCGTGGGAGGGGGGGGAGTGGAGACACGCAATGACACGCGGAGAGACGCGGGGACACGCGGGATGAGACACACAGAGAGTCGTGGGGGAGGGGGGAGGCGGAGACACGCAAGGACATGCGGGGAGACGCGGGGACACGCGGGATGAGACACACAGAGAGTCGTGGGGGAGAGGGGAGGCGGAGACACGCAAGGACATGCGGGGAGACGCGGGGACACGCGGGGTGAGGCCCACGGCGAGAGACACACGGCAAGTCACGGGGCAGGCGTTTGTGGAAACGCGTGGAGACTCAAACCGGAGACCCACACGGAGACACACAGACTGGTCTCCACACGCGTGTGCTACCTGCTTGAAGAGCTGCAGCTGCGTGGCGTGCTTGAGGAAGGAGCGCACCGAGCTGGACTTGCTCTCCACAAATGCCTCCTCGCTGAACGTGATCGCCTCTCCCTGCGGTGGCACGGCACGCCGGCACGTCAGTCACCGGGGTGGCACGGCGGCACGCCGGTGTCGTGGTGGCACGCCGGCACGACAGTCACCGGGGTGGCACGGCGTGTTAGTGCCGTGGTGACACGGCGTGTTGGTGCCGTGGTGGCACGGCGTGTTGGTGCCGTGGTGACACGGCGTGTTGGTGCCGTGGTGACACGGCGTGTTGGTGCCGTGGTGGCACGGCGTGTTGGTGCCGTGGTGGCACGGCGTGTTGGTGCCGTGGTGGCACGGCGTGTTGGTGCCGTGGTGACACGGCGTGTTGGTGCCGTGGTGACACGGCGTGTTGGTGCCGTGGTGACACGGCGTGTTGGTGCCGTGGTGACACGGCGTGTTAGTGCCGTGGTGGCACGGCGTGTTAGTGCCGTGGTGACACGGCGTTGTTGGTGCCGTGGTGACACGGCGTGTTAGTGCCGTGGTGGCACGGCGTGTTGTGCGTGGTGACACGGCGTGTTAGTGCCGTGGTGCCGGCGTGTTAGTGCCGTGGTGACACGCCGTGGTGGTGCCGGGGTGACACGGCGTGTTGTGCCGTGGTGACATGGCGTGTTAGTGCCGTGAGTGGCACGGCGTGTTGGTGCCGTGGTGACACGCTGGTTGTGCCGTGGTGACACGGCGTGTTGGTGCCGTGGTGACATGGCGTGTTAGTGCCGTGGTGGCACGGCGTGTTAGTGCCGTGGTGCACGGCGTGTTGGTGCCGTGGTGACACGGCGTGTTAGTGCCGTGGTGACACGGCGTGTTGGTGCCGTGGTGACACGGCGTGTTAGTGCCGTGGTGACACGGCGTGTTAGTGCCGTGGTGGCACGGCGTGTTGGTGCCGTGGTGACACGGCGTGTTGGTGCCGTGGTGACACGGCGTGTTAGTGCCGTGGTGGCACGGCGTGTTGGTGCCGTGGTGACACGGCGTGTTGGTGCCGTGGTGACACGGCGTGTTGGTGCCGTGGTGAGACGGCGTGTTAGTGCCGTGGTGGCACGGCGTGTTAGTGCCGTGGTGACACGGCGTGTTAGTGCCGTGGTGACACGGCGTGTTGGTGCCGTGGTGACACGGCGTGTTGGTGCCGTGGTGACACGGCGTGTTGGTGCCGTGGTGGCACAGCGTGGTGGTGTTGTGTGGTGTGAGTGGCACACCCTGTCGGTGATTTGGTGTCAGTGAGTTCCACACTGTGGCAGCGATGCACTGTGCCAACATCTGAGATGCCCTCAGCAGAGGCCCAGGACCACTTCAAATATTTGCCACTGATGTTGCACCAAAGACAGAGACCCCCCATATAGCCTTAACACACTGTTGGGGCAAGTGCTGTTAGCGAGCACGTGGTGTTACGTGGTGTTACGTGGTGTTACGTCACGTGACATCATGTGACGTCGCGTGACGCCGTGTCATGTGCCACTCACAGGTCGGAATCTGAGGGCCTCTCTGTAGGTCCCGAACAGCTGGGCTTGGGCCCGCAGGAAAGCATGCGCCAGCCCCGTGCCCGTTACGGCCGACTGTTTCTTAATGCGCGACTTCAGAGTGGACGCCTGGGACATGGGGACAGGGAGACACGGAGACACGGAGACACGGAGACACGGGGACATGGAGTCACGGAGACATGGGGACATGGAGTCACGGGGACACGGAGACACGGAGACACGGAGACAGGGGGACAGGGGGACACGGAGACAGGGGGACACGGGGTCATGAGGAGACGGAGACATGGATACACGGGGACACGGAGACACAGAGACACAGAGACACGGGGACATGGAGTCACGGAGACATGGGGACATGGAGTCACGGGGACACGGAGACACGGAGACACGGAGACAGGGGGACACGGAGACAGGGGGACACGGGGACACGGGGTCATGAGGAGACGGAGACATGGATACACGGGGACACGGAGACACGGGGACACGGAAACACGGATACACGGAGACACGGAGACAGGGAGACATGGGGACAGGGGGACAGGGGGACACGGGGTCATGGGGTGACGGAGACAAGGATACATGGAGACACAGAGACACGGAGACACGGGGACACGGAGACACGGATACACGGGGACACGGAGACAAGGAAACAAGGAGACACAAAGACACGGGGACACGGAGACATGGAGACACGGATACACAGAGACACGGGGACACGGCGAGACGGAGACAAGGAGACACGGGGACACGGAGACACGGGGACACGGAGACACAGGGACAGGGGAACACGGGGACACAGAGAGAGATGCAATGCTGTTCTCTGTACGAGGAGCCAACACGCTGGGCAGTACAGCAAGCGGGTTAGTTTTTTAAAAGCCATCCATGTGGAGCATTGAGTGTGTCCCTCCCGTCCCCACTCTCACCCCCCCAACCCCCCCCCCCCCGGGTTTTCTCTGGGGTTCTCCAGTTTCCTCCCAAACCCCGCTTATTTATTTTTGCTCACAAGGAGTCGGCCAAACATCCCAATGTAGCGGGACCCCTCCTGAAAACAAGTCCTGAGACTCTCCGTCGAGGCTTTCCCGGCTAAATAAATATCATTGCTCTTGTTATTATTATTTTTATTTTTAGGGCTTCACAGTGGCTAGGAGATGTTAACTATCTCGCCGGGTATGCAGGAGGTGATGGGTTCGATCCCGACCCTGACGCCTGCTGTATATTTGGAGTTTGCGTGTCTCTCTCATCATTATCACGGTGGCGAGATGTTGACTACCTCGCCTGGTGTGCAGGAGGTTGTGGGTTCGATCCCGACCCTGACGCCTGCTGTATATTTGGAGTTTGCGTGTGAGTGAACGAAAAGAGAGTGAATGGGTGGGTGAGTGAATGAATAAGTTAAGTGAATGAATGAATGAGTGAATTATTTTGAGGGTGAGTGAACAAAAAGAGAGCGAATGAGTGGGTGAGTGAATTAATAATTTGAATGAGTGAATTAGTGTGAGGGTGAGCAAACGATAAAGAGTGAATGAGTGAATGAATAAGTGGAGTGACTGAATGAGTGCATTTGTGTGAGGGTGAGCGACTTGAAACACATTGGGATTTTTGCATACAGATTTTTGTCTGGAAGATCTTTACTGGTTTTCCCTGGATGTTTCTGTTGCGAAACGTCACTGGAAGAATTTATTTGTTCATGATTTGTTACGGTTGCACCCGAGTCAAGAGCCTCACGGCTCACAGGGTTCTCCCTAATAAATTAAACTGAAAACTGAATTAAAAGAACAAGTGAATCATTCAGTGATTGAATGGATGGAGTGAGTGAATTAGTGTGGGATTGAGTGAATGGAAATCGTGAGTGAAAAAATGAGCGAGTGGACGAAGAAAAGAGTGAGTGAATGAGTGAGCGAGTGAATGAGTGAGCAAGTGAATGAGTGAGCGAGTGAATGAAAAAAAGAGTGAGCGAATGAGTGAGCGAAAAAAAGAGTGAGTGAATGAGTGAGCGAGTGAACGAAAAAAAGAGTGATTGAATGAGTGAGCGAGTGAATGAGCGAGCGAGTGAATGAGCGAGCCAGTGAATGAGCGAGCAAGTGAATGAGCGAGCAAGTGAATGAGTGAGAGAGTGAGTGAACGAGCAAGTGAATGAGCGAGAGAGTGAGTGAACGAGCAAGTGAATGAGCGAGCGAGTGAGTGAGTGAGCGAGCGAGTGAGCGAGTTAGCGAGCGAGTGAATGAGCGAGCGAGTGAATGAGTGAGAGAGTGAATGAGCGAGTGAGTGAGTGAGTGAGTGAGCGAGCGAGTGAGCGAGTGAGTGAGCGAGTGAATGAGCGAGCGAGTGAATGAGTGAGAGAGTGAATGAGTGAGAGAGTGAGTGAACGAGCAAGTGAATGAGCGAGCGAGTGAATGAGCGAGTGAGCGAGTGAGTGAGCGAGTGAATGAGCGAGCGAGTGAATGAGCGAGCGAGTGAGTGAGCGAGTGAGCGAGTGAGTGAATGAGTGAACGAGCAAGTGAATGAGCGAGCGAGTGAGTGAGCGAGCGAGTGAGCGAGTGAGTGAGCGAGTGAATTAGCGAGCGAGTGAATGAGTGAGAGAGTGAATGAGCGAGTGAGTGAATGAGCGAGCCAGTGAGTGAGCGAGCAAGTGAATGAGCGCGCAAGTGAATGAGTGAGAGAGTGAGTGAACGAGCAAGTGAATGAGCGAGCGAGTGAGTGAGCGAGTGAGCGAGTGAGTGAGCGAGTGAATGAGCGAGCGAGTGAATGAGTGAGAGAGTGAATGAGCGAGTGAGCGAGTGAGCGAGCCAGTGAGTGAGCGAGCGAGTGAATGAGTGAGAGAGTGAGTGAACGAGCAAGTGAATGAGCGAGCGAGTGAGTGAGCGAGCGAGTGAGCGAGTGAGTGAGCGAGTGAATTAGCGAGCGAGTGAATGAGTGAGAGAGTGAATGAGCGAGTGAGTGAATGAGCGAGCCAGTGAGTGAGCGAGCAAGTGAATGAGCGCGCAAGTGAATGAGTGAGAGAGTGAGTGAACGAGCAAGTGAATGAGCGAGCGAGTGAGTGAGCGAGTGAGCGAGTGAGTGAGCGAGTGAATGAGCGAGCGAGTGAATGAGTGAGAGAGTGAATGAGCGAGTGAGCGAGTGAGCGAGCCAGTGAGTGAGCGAGCGAGTGAATGAGTGAGAGAGTGAGTGAACGAGCAAGTGAATGAGCGAGCGAGTGAGTGAGCGAGCGAGTGAGCGAGTGAGTGAGCGAGTGAATGAGCGAGCGAGCGAGTGAGTGAGCGAGTGAACGAGCGAGCGAGTGAATGAGCGAGCCAGTGAATGAGCGAGCAAGTGAATGAGCGAGCAAGTGAATGAGTGAGAGAGTGAGTGAACGAGCAAGTGAATGAGCGAGAGAGTGAGTGAACGAGCAAGTGAATGAGCGAGCGAGCGAGTAAATAAGCGAGCGAGTGAGCGAGTGAGTGAGCGAGTGAATGAGCGAGCGAGTGAGTGAGTGAGAGAGTGAATGAGCGAGTGAGCGAGTGAGCGAGCCAGTGAGTGAGCGAGCGAGTGAATGAGCGAGAGAGTGAGTGAACGAGCAAGTGAATGAGCGAGCGAGTGAGTGAGCGAGCGAGTGAGCGAGTGAGTGAGCGAGTGAATGAGCGAGCGAGTGAGTGAGTGAGCGAGTGAACGAGCGAGCGAGTGAATGAGCGAGCCAGTGAGTGAGCGAGCAAGTGAATGAGCGAGAGAGTGAGTGAACGAGCAAGTGAATGAGCGAGCGAGTGAGCGAGCGAGTGAGCGAGTGAGTGAGCGAGCGAGTGAGTGAGTGAGAGAGTGAATGAGCGAGTGAGCGAGTGAGCGAGCCAGTGAGTGAGCGAGCGAGTGAATGAGCGAGAGAGTGAGTGAACGAGCAAGTGAATGAGCGAGCGAGTGAGTGAGCGAGCGAGTGAGCGAGTGAGTGAGCGAGTGAATGAGCGAGCGAGTGAGTGAGTGAGCGAGTGAGCGAGTGAGTGAGCGAGTGAATGAGCGAGTGAGTGAGTGAGTGAGCGAGTGAGCCGAGTGAGTGAGTGAGTGAGCGAGTGAGCGAGTGAATGAGCGAGTGAATGAGCGAGCGAGTGAGTGAGCGAGCGAGTGAGCGAGTGAGTGAGCGAGTGAATGAGCGAGCGAGTGAGTGAGCGAGCGAGTGAGCGAGTGAGTGAGCGAGTGAATGAGCGAGCGAGTGAGTGAGTGAGAGAGTGAATGAGCGAGTGAGCGAGTGAGCGAGCCAGTGAGTGAGCGAGCGAGTGAATGAGCGAGAGAGTGAGTGAACGAGCAAGTGAATGAGCGAGCGAGTGAGTGAGCGAGCGAGTGAGCGAGTGAGTGAGCGAGTGAATGAGCGAGCGAGTGAGTGAGTGAGCGAGTGAACGAGCGAGTGAGTGAGCGAGCGATGCTGCTGCTGCTGCGTACGGTGAGTTGAGCTGATTCCGAGTGACTCAGCGGGAACTCATGTGACCAGGACTCCCCGCTTGCGATCACGAGTGACCACCAGGAAGTTCACACCTCGGTGCGATTCACGTGGTAAGATGTAAAAAGTTGCAATTTAGTTTTATTTGTACAGTAAAACCTTGAATTGCGAGCATAATTCGTTCCGGAAACGTGTTTGTAATCCAAAGCACTCGTGTATCAGTTGTGATCACGTGACGCTCGGCAGACAAAGCGTATACACGTGCAACTCGTATTGCAAGACCTCGCTCGTTTATCAAATTAATATTTATTTTTAAAATGTGCTCGTCTTGCAAAACACTCGCAGAACAAGTTACTCGCAATCCAATGTTTTACTGTACTTGTGTTTAAGTGATTTGTTTACTTTTCTTAATGTGTTTGTTGTTGTTGTTGTTGGAGCGTTCTGACCCCGTGACCCCCTAACTGGACGTGTGTGAAAAAAGAGCTTTAGAACTCATCGGATTACTCCACTATAAATAAATACACATCAACTTCCTGGTTTCTGCTGATGGAAAGCACCAAGTGAGTAATGCGCACATCATGATGCTGCTGATAATGCTGATGATGATGATGCTGATGATGACAATGCTGATGCTGCTGATGGTGCTGCTGATGATGATGATGCTGATGATGCTGCTGCTGATGCTGCTGATGATGATGCTGATGATGATAATGCTGATGATGATGCTGCTGCTGATGATGCTGCTGATGATGATGCTGATGATGATGCTGATGGTGCTGCTGCTGGACAGCGCCAAGTGAGTAATGCGCACATCATGATGCTGATGATGCTGCTGATGATGCTGCTGATGATGCTGATGATGCTGATGATGATGCTGATGATGATGCTGCTGATGATGCTGATGACACTGCTGCTGATGACGCTGCTGATGCTGCTGATGACACTGCTGCTGATGACGCTGCTGCTGATGACGCTGCTGATGATGACGCTGATGATGCTGATGATGCTGCTGATGCTGTTGATGACACTGCTGCTGATGACGCTGCTACTGATGACGCTATTGTTGTTTTTGTACGAATCCCGGGGGGATTCTCTCACATCCCTCCCCCCGCAGTCTCTCCCTCCCACCCCCCTCGTAAACTGAACCCCTTCAGGAATGGGGAATCAAATCACAACAACAACAACATTGTGAGCAACAGCATCAGCAGCAGCATCAGCAGCAGTATCAGCATCAGCAGCAACATCAGCGACAACAGTAGTATCAGTAACAGTAGCATCAGCAGGAGAATCAGCAGCTACAGCAGTAGCATCAGCAGCAACATCAGTAGCAGCAACAGCATCAGCAACAGACATAGCATCCGCAACAACAGTAGTATCAGCAACAGTAGCATCAGCAGCACCAGCAGCAACAGTAGCATCAGCAGTGCACTCACAGGAGTGGGTGCAGTAAGTACAAACTCTCATGGTGAGGGGGGGTCAGGGGTCTGGTGAGCGTGGTGGTGAGTTTGGCAGTGAGTCTGGTGAGCGTGGTGAGCGTGCGGAGTCGGTGGTGAGCGTGGTGCTGAGTGCAGAGGTGAGTGTGGTGGTGAGTGTGGCAGTGAGTGTGGCAGTGAGTGTGGTGGTGAGTGTGGTGGTGAGCGTGGTGCTGAGTGCAGAGGTGAGTGTGGTGGTGAGTGTGGCAGTGAGTGTGGCAGTGAGTGTGGTGGTGAGTGTGGTGGTGAGCGTGGCGGTGAGTGTGGTAGTGAGTGTGGTAGTGAGTGTGGTGAGTGTGGTAGTGAGTGTGTAGGTGAGTGTGGTGGTGAGTGTGGCGGTGAATGTGGTAGTGAGTGTGGTGGTGAGTGTGATGGTGAGTATGGCGGTGAGTGGTGGCGGTGTGTGTGGCGGTGAGTGTGATAGTGAGTGTGGCGGTGAGTGTGATGGTGAATGTGGCAGTGAGTGTGGCGGTGAGTGTGATGGTGAGTGCGGTGGTGAATGAGAAGGTGAGTGATGGTGGCGAGTGTGGCGGTTAGTGTGGAGGTGAGTGGCGCTAAGTATTGTGGTGAGTGTGGAGGTGAGTGGTGGTGAGTGTTTTAGTGAGTGTGGTGGTGAGTGTGGAAGTGAGTGGTGGTGAGTATTGTGGTGAGTGTGGCGGTGAGTGTGGCGGTGAGTGTGGTAGTGAGTGGCGGTGAGTGTGGTAGTGAGTGGCGGTGAGTGTGGCGGTGAGTGTGGCGGTGAGTGTGGCGGTGAGTGTGGCGGTGAGTGTGGAGGTGAGTGTGGAGGTGAGTGGTGGTGAGTGGTGGTGAGGTACCAGGTCGTGCGGGAGAGACAGGAGGTCATTGAACGGAGTCTCCAACTGATTCGCGTCGACGTTCAACACCACGGCCTCCTCCAGGCCGAGCGCACGCACACTCTGCACACAGAAAGACAAAGGTCCCCCGTGTAGTCCACACAGACTGTTGGGGCAAGTGCTGCTAGCGAGCAACACCTATGACGGTTGGCACGGCACACAAGGGGGTGGGTGGCCAGCACCACGCCCGGCCGCCTTTGTCTCCCTTTGGTGATGTTTAAACACCGCACCAGGTATTCACTTGAGGCTGAGTCGACCTAAGGGTGGCTCAGGACCAATTCAGATCATCGTCACTGGCGTTAGCCGTGCAGGAATCGAACTCAGATTGCCGAGTTCGTAGCGCGGCGCGCTAACCATTCCGCTACCACTCAACCACATGTCCAGAGACACACACACACACAGGTAGACATACACACACACAGGTACACACACACAAATGTAGACACACACACAGATGTAGACACACACACAGGTAGACACACACAGGTAGACACACACACAGATAGACACACACACAGGTAAACACACAGGTAGACACACACACAGGTACACAGGTACACGCGTACATGAACAACATACCTCCATGAGTGTGGAATGAACACCTATGAGGTACGGCATGGGAGCCCTGCACACACACACACACACAGGTGAGTGAGTGTACTCAAGATGAGTGAGCAAGTGTGTGAGCGAGCGAGTGGGTGAGGGAGTGAGTGGGTGGGTGAGTGAGCGAGTGAGCGACTGGGTGAGCGAGTGAGTGGGTGAGCGAGTGAGTGGGTGAGCGAGTGAGTGGGTGAGCGAGTGAGTGGGTGAGCGAGCAAGCGACTGGGTGAGCGAGTGAGCGACTGGGTGAGCGAGTGAGTGGGTGAGTGAGCGAGTGAGCGGGTGGGCAAGCAAGCAGGCGGGCGAGCGGGTAAGTGGGTGAGCGAGCGGGCAAGTGGGTGAGCGAGCGAGCGAGTGGGTGAGCGTGGACTCACCCGCAGTAGTCCAGTAGGTGTGGAGGCAGGACAGGGATGAACACATGCTGCCAGTAGGTGGGGTAGAGCAGCGCGGCTGCCCCGTGCACGCACGCCGTGAGCTGCGGGTCGACGCCACCGCCATCGCCACCACCATCGTCACCACCATCGCCACCGCCATCACCATCGCCACCGCCATCACCACCGCCACCGCCACCGCCACCGCCATCGCCACCGCCATCGCCACCGCCATCACCATCGCCACCACCATCGCCACCGCCATCGCCACCGCCATCGCCATCACCATCGCCACCATCATCGCCACCATCATCACCATCGCCACCACCATCGCCACCACCATCGCCACCATCATCACCATCGCCACCGCCATCGCCACCACCACCACCATCGCCACCACCATCAACAGCATCAACAACAATACCATCATCATCAGCATCAACAACAACACCATTATCATCAGCAGCATCAACAACACCATCATCGATACTGTCTACATCAGTATCATCACCATCAACACCATCATAAACATCAACACCATCAACAGCAGGATCATCATCAGCATCATCAAAAAATCATTATCACCTCTATCATCTAATTATCACTATCTAATGACCACCATCATTATCTAATCATCATCATGTATAGCTTTTCACAGACTGTAGGAGCAAGTGCTGTTAGCGAGCAGAAGCACCTATGAAGGCCGGCACGGCACACGACGGGGTGGGTGGCCAACACCACCCCCAGCCGCCTTTGTCTCCCCGGTGTCGATGCTTGCACACCGCACAAGATACTAATTTGAGGCTGAGTCGACCTAGGTGAGGAGGCCCAGGACCCGGTTCAGATAATCGGCACCGGTGTTGGTGGTGGCCGTGAGCGGGAATCGACCCGCGCCCGCCGGCTTTCGTGGTGACCGGATTGCTGCGCCGATCGCCGCCGCACAAACATCACCACCGCTACACCCCCCCCCCCCCCACACACATCACCACCGCTACACCCCCCCCCCAAACACATCACCACCGCTACACCCCCCCCCCACACACATCACCACCGCTACACCCCCCCCCCACACACATCACCACCGCTACACCCCCCCCCCACACACATCACCACCGCTACACCCCCCCCCCCACACACATCACCACCGCTACACCCCCCCCCCCCACACACATCACCACCGCTACACCCCCCCCCCCACACACATCACCACCGCTACACCCCCCCCCCCCACAAACATCACCACCGCTACACCCCCCCCCACACACATCACCACCGCTACACCCCCCCCCCCCACAAACATCACCACCGCTATACCCCCCCCCCACACACATCACCACCGCTACACCCCCCCCCCCACACACATCACCACCGCTACACCCCCCCCGCCCCCACACACATCACCACTGCTACACCCCCCCCCCCCACACACATCACCACTGCTACACCGCTACACCCCCCCCCACACACACATCACCACCGCTACCCCCCCCCCCACACATCACCACCGCTACACCCCCCCCCCACAAACATCACCACCGCTATACCCCCCCCCACAAACATCACCACCGCTACACCCCCCCACCCCATCATCACCACCACCACCACTATCATCACATACAGGACCAACCCAACGTGCTCACACCAACTGCACCCATCAGTCAAGGGATCCATAGCCCCGCTATGGATCTCCTGACTGAGAGGTGGGGGGGGGGGGGGCGAGGTGGGGGTCGAGAAGAGGTGGGGGGCGAGGAGAGGGGGGGGGCGAGGAGAGTTGGGGGGGGCAAGGAGAGGTGGGGGGGGGCGAGAAGAGGTGGAGGGGGGCCGAGGTGGGGGTGGGGGGTTCCTTCGTGCGCCCCCCTCTCCACCCCCCTCCCCCCCCCCACCTCCCCCTGGCCACGCACCTGTTCCCATTGTTGGCCCAGTAATTGGCCGTGAGAATGGAGGTGGTGGTGGCGGCGGCGCTTTGAGGAGGAACGTGGGCAGAGAAAACCCTCGGAAGCTCCTCACCCCTCACCCCCCCCACCACCAGCACCTCTCTCATTCACCCATCTCATCTCAATGCATGACAGGCGACACTCAAACGCAGGTAGACACATACTCGCACACACTCGCACACGCTCGCACACGCGTGCGCCCGCCCGCCTGCCTGTAGGTCACTCGCACATCTGCGGTTCTCCAGCCCTGAGCCAGCGATGGAAATTCCACATTGCTTTTGTTGGGGGGGCGGAAGAGTTTATCCGTAGGGTGAACATTGCTGTTGACTTCCCCACAAATTGGTACTCATTCTATTGACCCCCCCCCCCCCCCCGTAGGAATGATAGGCTGAGACAAACCCCCAACCAGGATTTGAACTCGCAACACCCTTCAGATCGAGAACCGCTCACTCGACCGCTGAGCCACCAAACACAAAGATCCCCCGTGTAGCCTTTAACAGACTGTTGGGGCAAGTGCTGTTAGCGAGCACCTATGAAGGCCGGCACGGCACACGAGGGGGTGGGTGGCCAACACCACGCCCGGCCGCCTTTGTCTCCCCGGTGTCGATGCTTGCACACCGCACAAAATACTAATTTGAGGCTGAGTTGACCTAGGGGAGGAGACCCGGTTCAGATAATCGGCACCGGTGTTGGCCGTGAACGGGAATCGAACTCGGGTCGCCGGGTTCGTAGCGCTAACCGCTACACCACCGCTCCCCACACATACGCACGAAACAAAGATCCCCCGTATAGCCTTAACAGACTGTTGGGGCAAGTGCTGTTAGCGAGCACCTATCAAGGCCGGCACGGCACACGAGGGGGGTGGGTGGCCAGCACCACGCCGGGAGGCATACATACAGATATATACACGTACAGGTACTCACACGCCGATAAAACACACACACGCACACACGCACGCGTACAAAGACAAAGATCCCCCATAGAGCCTTAAAAAGCCAGTCGTGGCAAGTGCTGTTAGCGAGCACCTATGAAGGTCAACAGGGGCCATTTGAAGGTGTGGGTGGCCATCACCAAGCCCCGGCCACCTTTATCTCCCCAATGCTGATGTGAAGAGATGAACCACTGCACTAATCACACACACACACAATCGCACATACACCCGCACAGATACATTGTCAGTGTGTTCATGTGCGCGTATGTACATGTATATGTGCGATGTGTGTGTGTATATTTACGTGTATATTTATGTATATGTGTGTGTATATTTACGTGTGTGTGTGCGTGTATATTTTCGTGTGTGTGTATATTTATGTGAATGTGTATGTGTATATTGTACGTGAATGTGTGTGTGTGTGTATTTACGTGTGTGTGTATTTACGTGAATGTGTGTGTGTGTAAATTTACGTGTGTGTGTGTATATTTACGTGTGTGTGTATATTTATGTGAATGTGTATATTGTACGTGAATGTGTGTGTGTATATTTACGTGTGTGTATTGTACGTGAGTGTGTGTGTGTATATTTACGTGTGTGTGTTGTACGTGAGTGTGCATCACTGTTTACGTGAGGAGTAGAAACGCAGCAGTTAGCGCACTGCGCTACGATCCCGGCGACCCGAATTCGATTCCCGCTCACGGCCACCACCAACACCAGTTATGATTATCTGAACTGGCCCTGGGCCTGCACTAGGTCAACTCGGCCTTAAATGAGTGTGTAGTAAACATCGCCACTGGGAAGACAAAGGCGGCCGGGCGTAAAGCTGACCACCCATTCCCTCGTGTGCCGTGCCGACCTTTGTAGGTGCTGCTCGCTAACAGCACTTGGCCCAACAGTGCGTTGAGGCTACATGGGGGACCTTTGCCTTTACACATATATATCATGGTGTGTGACTGTGTGTGTGTACACAAACACACACGCACGCACACGCGGGTTACACGTGTAAGTAACGCTCACACTGAAAAGATCTTAAAATATGTAAAACAGCCAATTATTTTAAATATTTAAATAATACCATCCGCAGACAGTTTCAGTTCCTCCTCCTCCTCCACACCCCCCATCCACCCCTCCCCCTCATCCTACACTCCCGTAACTCACTCCCTACCCCCCCCCCCCCTTCAATCCAGTGCTCACTCCCTCCATGACTCCTACCTCCAATGCCTCCCTCCCTCCAATCCCTCCCTCCAATCCCTCCTTCCCTCCAATCCCCCCCTACCTCCAATCCCTCCCCCCAATCCCTCCCTCCAATCCCTCCTTCCCTCCAATCCCCCCCTACCTCCAATCCCTCCCTCCAATCCCTCCTTCCCTCCAATCCCCCCCTACCTCCAATCCCTCCCCCCAATCCCTCCCTCCAATCCCTCCTTCCCTCCAATCCCCCCCTACCTCCAATCCCTCCCTCCAATCCCTCCTTCCCTCCAATCCCCCCCTACCTCCAATCCCTCCCCCCAATCCCTCCTTCCCTCCAATCCCTCACTACCTACAATCCCTTTCTCCCTCCAATTTCTCCCCCCCCAACTCCCACCTCCTCCCTCCCTCCCTCCCCCCACCGCCGCCCCCCGTATCCCAGCTATGCTGCTGTGAATGGGGAGGTATTTGAGATGAAGATGGGAGAGGTGCAGAGGGGTGGGGGTAGAGGGGAGGGGGTAGCGGGGGGGGGGCTGAGGGGAGGGGTAGCGGGGGGGGTAGCGGGGTGGGGATAGAGGGGAGGGGGTAGCGGGGGGGGGGCTGAGGGGAGGGGTAGCGGGGGGGGGGCTGAGGGTGGGGGGGGTGTGGATGTTCACTTGAAGCTGCTGCTGTGGATGGTGATGATGGTGATGATGGTGGTGATGGTGGTGATGGTGGTGATGATGATGGTGGTGATGATGGTGATGGTGGTGATGGTGGTGATGGTGGTGATGGGGGACTATGGTAGTGGTGGTGGTCATGGTGGTTATAGAGTTGGTGTTGGTGATGGCAGTGATGGGGGACGATGGTGATGATGGTGGTCATGGTGGTTATAGAGTTGGTGGTGGTGATGGTGGTGATGGGGGACTATGGTGACGGTGGTGGTCATAGAGTTGATGGTGGTGATGGCAGTGATGGGGGACGATGGTGATTAAGGTGATAGTGGTGATGGGGGATCACGGTGATGATGGTGGTCATGGTGGTTATAGAGTTGATGGTGGTGATGGTGGTGATGGGGGTGATGTTGTAGTGGGGGTGAGTGATGGGTCTGCAGATGGTGATGGTGGTGGTGATGCGGGTGAGTGAGGGGTCTGCAGATGGTGATGGTGGTGCTGATCGTGATGGGGGTGATGCTGATGTTGGGGGTCATGTTGGTGATGGTGGTGAATGAAGGGTCTTGCAGGTGGTGATGGTGGTGGCGATGGGGGTGATGGGGGTGATGATATTGGTGATGGGGGCGAGTGAGAGATCTGCAGATGGCGATGAGAGTGATGGGGGTGATGGTGGTGATGATGGTGGTGATGATGGTGGTGATGATGGTGGTAATGGGGGTCGTGAGTGAAGGGTCTTGCAGGTGGTGATGGTGGTGGTGATGTTTTTGATGATGGTGGTGATGGTGTTAATGTTGTTGATGGTGGTGATGGGGGTGTGATGGGTGGCATGAGTGAAGGGTCTGCAGGTGGCACAGCTCCTCCAAGGCAATAACAACAACAAAGGCAGAGCAGAGCTTTGTGTCTCTGCGAGAGAGCGAGAGAGCGAGCGAGCAGGGAGAGAGTGCGGGAGAGTGGGGTAAAGTGGGGGAGAGATGCAAGGAGAGAGCAGTGGGAGAGAGCGGGGGGGGAGAAAGGCTGGGGGTGGTGATGAGCAGGGAAGAGAGTGAGGGAGAGCGAGGGAGAGAGAGGGTGAGTGAGCGGGGGAGAGTGGGGGAGAAGGGGGGGAGGATAAGAGAGTGTGGAAGGGAGGGGAGACTGAAGAGAGAGCTACAGACAGAGGTGAGGGTGGAGAGAGAGAGAGAGAGAGTGGGAGATGGGTGAGAGATGGGTGGGGAGAGGTGGAGTGACAGGTGAGGGGAGTGAGGCAGAGGTGAGAGGCGGGAGAGAAAGCACAGGGGAAGAAGCTCGAGATATACGAGAGATGAGAGAGAAGGGAGAAGGGAGAGAAAGAGAGAGACACGAGTTATATGGAATCAAGACACCGAGTGTGAGAGAGAGGAGCGAGGAGAGATGAGATTAGAGAGAGAGAGAGATATATATTATAATCAGCGAAAAACGAGCGAGATGGAATTAAGACGCGTACACACACATATATATAAAATGCCCCGGTGATGGTAATAATAATACGAGTTACAAGGAAGAGGAACAGTGATAATAGCAGCAGCAGCAGGAGCAGTAGCAGCAGCAGCAGCGAGCAGGACAATGCCCTCCCATAGACATCAAAGCAAAATGCGGCCTCGTGTCTCCCTTAATTGGGGCCCAAGGCGCACGGAGACCAATTAGTGGGCAGACGAGGAGTGGGGGTGGGGTGGTTGGGGAGGGGTCAAGGGGGGAGCCGGCTCCCCTATCCCCCCCCCCCCCCCATGGAACCACCACCCCACACACAACCACAATACTCACACGACTGTCAAACGTACCTGGTTGCTATGAAACACACACACACACCTACGCGCGCACAGACACACTTGCGTACTCGCTCACACACAGCTGGTTGCTGAGCATTACAGATGGTCTCACACACACACACACGTGGACGCACACCTGCTCTCTTTCACACACGCAGACCTGCACACACACGCACCTGGACACACATGCCTGGACACACACAGACCTGCTCACACACATACACACCTGTAAACACCTGCTCACACGCACACCTGAACACACACACACACCTGGATACACACACACCTGGACACACACAGACCTACTCACACACATACACACCTGTAAACACCTGCTCACACACACACCTGAACACACACCCACCTGGACACACACACACCTGGGCACACACACACACCTGGACACACACAGACCTGCTCACACACACACACACCTGTAAACACCTGCTCACACACACACACACACCTGTAAACACCTGCTCACACACACACCTGAACACCCACCCACTTGGACACACACAGACCTGCACATCTGGACACACACACTTGGACATGGACACACCTGCTCACACACACACACACACAACTGGACACATACAAAACAAAGACAAAGATCCCCCGTATAGCCTGAATAGACTGGTGGGGCAAGTGCTGTTAGCGAGCACCTATGAAGGCCGGCATGGCACATGACGTGGTGGGGTGGCCAGCACCATGCCCGGCCGCCTTTGTCTCCCAAGTGGCGATGTTTTAGACACATCGGACTAGGTACTCAATTCAGGCTGAGTCGACCTAGGGGGTAGGCCCAGGAGTGGTTCAGATAACCGTCACTGGTGGTGGCCGTGAGCGGGAATCGAACTCGGAGTCGCTGTGTTTCGTAGCGCAGCGTAGCGCTAACCGCTACACTGTTAGCGAGCAAACACCTCCAGTCACACACGCACACACCTGGAGCCACGCACACACCTGTGCCGTCTCTCACCTCTCCAACATCCCCCCACCTCCCCCCACCTCCCTCCCCTCCGTGACTCAAACCCCAGGGGAGGAGGCAGAAGCAGCACGCGTAGCCATAGCGACCAGGTGAGCCCTTAACGAGGGAGGGAGAGGTGGGGGCAGGGGAGGGGAGATCTTGGGGGGTAGGGGGGCTGGGGGAGGGTATGGAGATGGTCGTTGGTTCGATCCCGACCCTGACGCCTGCTGTATATTTGGAGTTTGCGTGTCTTTCTCTCTCTCATCATCTTCACGGTGGCTAGGAGATGTTAACTCCCTCGCCTGGTATACAGGAGGTCGTGGGTTTGATCCCGACCCTGACGCCTGCTGCTGTATATTTGGAGTTTGAGTGTCTCTCTCTCTCATCATTATCACGGTGGCTAGGAGATGTTAACTACCTCGCCTGGTATACAGGGGGTCGTGGGTTCGATCCCGACCCTGACGCCTGCTGCATATTTGGGGTTTGATTATCTCTCTCTCATCGTTATCACGGTGGCTAGGAGATGTTAACAACCTCGCCGGGTATACAGGAGGTCGTGGGTTCGATCCCGACCCTGAAGCCTGCTGTATATTTGGAGTTTGCGTGTCTCTCTCTCATCATCTTCACGGTGGATAGGAAATGTTAACTACCTCGCCTGATATGCAGGAGATGGAGGGTTCGATCCCGACCCTGACGCCTGCTGGAGTTTGCGTGCCTCTCTCTCTCCACGGTCGTGTGGATTTTTCTCCGGGACCTCCGGCTTTCCCCCCCCCCCCCCCCCACATTTAGAATCAAGGTGACCCATTGAGAGTATTTAGCTGCAGTGAATTTCCACGTGACGATGCTAAGCCCACTTCGTTGCGCTCTCATTGCTGATTGCCAGGCCGCTTCTGACAAAGAGCTGCATAACAACTTAGTGGGGGGGCCTTCACCTGGTCAAATTAAAAAATTAACCCGTATAAACAAAGTTTTTCACTATAAATCCTTTATATGCGTGGCATCGGTTTTATTTTATTATTCATTTATGTTTTTCTTAAGTAAGAGTTTCATTTTTATCACGTTGGTATTTTAAATTACATATGAAAATTTTTTTTTCCTACAAAGTGGAAAATTTTAGAAAAATTTTTTCACGAAAAAAAATTGTCACGCACAACGAGTCTGTGTGCAAAATGTCAGCTCGATTGGATCACGGGAAGTGGGTTAAAAAACGACCGAAAGATTTGCACGGTCGTAAGCGCGCAAGCAAGCAAGCAAGTGAACTTAATATAAAGGATTTAAAAAGTGTTTACGTTTTAAGCGGGAGGGGGGGGGGGATCTGCAGCAGCTCTGTTGTGTTTACTCCAAGGGCATCAATACTGCCATGACCCCACACTGACCCTGACCCAAGTGACATCGCAACTCAGCGACCGCTTGAACTCGTAACCCATAACCCAGTGACCCGCTAACTCAGAAACTCTGTAAGCCAGTGACAGTCAATTCATTAGGCCTGTAACCCAGTGATGTCGTCGCTGTCACCTAGTAAGCCTGTACCCCCTGTGAGCCCGGCGATATCCGGCACACTGACCGTGACCCAGCGACCTCTTAACCTGTGACCCCGTGACCCTTTAACCTGACGACCCAGTGACCTCTTAACCTCGTAACCTGTGACTGTGACCCTTTAACCTGACAACCCAGTGACCTCTTAACCTGTGACCCCATGACCCTTTAACCCGACGACCCAGTGACCTCTTAACCTCGTAACCTGTGACCCAGTGACCCTTTAACCTGACGACTCAGTGACCCAGTAAAAGCGTCACTCCGATGACATTGTAACCCAGTGATCTGGTCATTGGAAAACTAGAAAACTAAACTAGAAACTACACTTTTTTTTCCAGGTAAAGTCCACTGAGTTATTAGCTTCCTTTCACGAGTGACCTGGCCACAAATGATTGCTTAACGAAGTGGCTTATGATGTGGAAATGTATCGCAGCCCAACACTGAAACACCGAGTGAGTGACCTTGTGACCCAGTGATCTTGAAACTCGGTAACCCATGACCTAGTAACCCAGTGACTATGTGGCTCAGTGTCCCCATGACCCAGTGCCCCTGATGACCTGGTGCCCCGGTGACCCATTGACTCTGTGACCCCGTGACCCCATGCCCTAGTGCCTCGCTGACCCAGTGACCTGGTGACCCGGTAACTCTGGGGCCCCGTGTCCCCGTGACCCAGTGCCTCTGTGGCCCCGTGACCCCATGCCCTAGTGCCTCGCTGTCCCCGTGAACCGGTGATCCATTGACGCTGTGACCCCGTGACCTGATGCCCCTGTGACCCATTGACGGTGTGACCCGATGTCCTAGTGACCCATTGACTCCGTGACCCCGTGGCCCCGCGGCCCCGCGGCCCCACCGTGCTGAGCTTGTTGGAGGTGACGATGATGCGGCGCTCCCACAGCAGGCTGGCGTAGAGGTGCACCATGCTGAGCGGGTCCACGGCCACCAGGAACTCCGTCAGGTTCCTCTGTGCAGACACGCAACCACAACATCACCACAACGTCACCACAACGTCACCACAACGTAACCACTCCACCACAACGTAACCACAACGCCGCCGCAACATAACCACTCAACCACAACGTAACCACGTCGCCACAACGCAGCGTCAACACAACCTCATCAATACAGCGCCACGATACGGCCACCATCCACAAGGCACTCCCGTCGGGTTCCCTCTGTGGTGAGCAAGGTTTGACGAGTGCGGTGAGCGCGGTGAGCGTGGTGAGCGCGGTGAGCATGGTGAGCGTGGAGCGCCGAAGCGTGGCGAGTGCAGCGAGGATGGCAGCAGGCGTGGCGAGCACAGTAAGGGCGGTGGGCTTAGGGAGTGGTGAGCGTGGTGAGCATGCTGCGAGTGGCGTGGTGAGCGTGGTGAGGAGTTCAGCTGCTCACACTCTCAGGAATGGAGGGTAGACGCCTGCAGTCCGGAGCTATGAAGTAGGCATGCTGCAACGACACACAGCAGCGTCATCAGCAACATCATCATCATCACGATCAGTGACAGTGTAAACATCATCATCAACAACATCATCATCAGCATCACGATCCCTGACATTGTCAACATCATCATCAGCAACATCATCATCAGCATCACGATCCCTGACATTGTCAACATCATCATCAGCAACATCATCATCATCAGCATCAAGATCAGTGACATTGTCAACATCATCATCAGCAACATCATCATCAGCATCACGATCCCTGACATTGTCAACAATATCATCAGCAACATCAAAAATCACCGCCGTCATCATCGTCATCATCAGCAACAGCAAAAGCATCAGCATTACTGACATTGTCAACAGCCACATCATCATCATCAGCAATAGCAGCAGCATCACCAGCAGCTCCAGGATCACCGACATTGTCAACAGCAACATCATCAGGCACATTAAAATCATCATCAGGGACATCAACATCATCATCGCCATCATCAGCATTAGCAATAGCAGCAGCATCACTAACACTGTCAAAAACAACATCATCAGCAACATCATCATCGGGAACATCAAAATCATCATCGTCATCATAGGCAACAGTATCACTGACACTGTCACCGGAAACAGCATCAACAACATCATCATCATCAGGAACATGAACAGCATCATCAGCATCATCAGCATCATCAGCATCATCAGGAACATGAACATCATCATCAGCATCATCAGCATCATCAGCATCATCAGGAACATGAACATCATCATCAGCATCATCAGCATCGTCAGCATCATCAGCATCATCAGGACCATGAACAGCATCATCAGCATCATCAGCATCAACAGCATCATCATCAGCATCATCAGAAGCGTCAACGCCAGTCAACAGCAGCCACATCGCTGCCATGTTCTCCGAGTCGCTCCGTAATCCCTAAAGCACGCTGGGTAATCCCAGGTGCATGCTGGGTAATCCATTCTGCATGCTGGGGAATGCTTAATGCATGCTGGGAAAAGCCCTGGTGCATGCTGGGTAGCGATGTGTGCGTGTGATAGTGGGGAGCGGCGGCGTAGTGGTGAGCGCACTGCGTTACAAATCCAGCGGGCCGTGTGCAATTCACACTCACGGCCAATAAATATGAACCGGTTCGGTACCTCCCCTAGGTCGACTCGGCCTTAGACGAGTACCTGCTTGCGGTGGGGAGACAAAGGCGGTCGGGCGAGGTGCTGGCCACCCACCCCCTCGTGTGCCGTGCCGGCCTTCATAGGTGCTCGCTAACAGCGCTTGCCCCAACAGTCTGTTACAGGCTACACGGGGGATCTTTGTGTGAGTGTGAGAGATGTGTGTGTGCATGGATGAGACATGCTCGGGGTAGAATGAGGCATGCTGAGGAGAGTGAGGCATGCTGGGTAGAGTAGAGTGATGCATGCTGGGTAGAGTAAGGTGTGATGGGTAGAGTGAGGCATGCTGGGTAGAGTGAGGCATGGTGGGTACAGCAGAGTGAGCCATGATTGGTACAGTGAGGCATGGTGGGTAGAGTGAGGCATGCTGGGTAGAGTAGAGTGAGGCATGCTGGGTAAAGTAGAGTGAGGCATGCTGGGTAGAGTAAGGTGTGATGGGTAGAGTGAGGCATGCTGGGTAGAGCAGAGTGAGCCATGCTGGGTAGAGTGAGGCATGCTGGGTAGAGTGAGGCATGCTGGGTAGAGTGAGGCATGCTGGGTATAGTGAGGCGTGCTGGGTAGAGTGAGGCGTGCTGGGTAGAGTGAGGCATGCTGGGTAGAGTGAGGCATGCTGGGTAGAGCAGAGTGAGCCATGCTGGTAGAGTGAGGCATGCTGGGTAGAGCAGAGTGAGCCATGCTGGGTAGAGTGAGGCATGCTGGGTAGAGTGAGGCGTGCTGGGTAGAGTGAATCATGCTGGGTAGAGTGAGGCATGCTGGGTAGAGTGAGGCATGCTGGGTAGAGTGAGGCATGCTGGGTAGAGTGAGGCATGCTGGGTAGAGTGAGGCATGCTGGGTAGAGTGAGGCATGCTGGGTAGAGTGAGGCATGCTGGGTAGAGTGAGGCATGCTGGGTAGAGCAGAGTGAGCCATGCTGGTAGAGTGAGGCATGCTGGGTAGAGCAGAGTGAGCCATGCTGGGTAGAGTGAGGCATGCTGGGTAGAGTGAGGCGTGCTGGGTAGAGTGAATCATGCTGGGTAGAGTGAGGCATGCTGGGTAGAGTGAGGCGTGCTGGGTAGAGTGAGGCATGCTGGGTAGAGTGAGGCATACTGGGTAGAGTGAGGCATGCTGGGTAGAGTGAGGCATGCTGGGTAGAGTGAGGCATGCTGGGTAGAGCAGAGTGAGCCATGCTGGTAGAGTGAGGCATGCTGGGTAGAGCAGAGTGAGCCATGCTGGGTAGAGTGAGGCATGCTGGGTAGAGTGAGGCGTGCTGGGTAGAGTGAATCATGTTGGGTAGAGTGAGGCATGCTGGGTAGAGTGAGGCATGCTGGGTAGAGTGAGGCATGCTGGGTAGAGTGAGGCATGCAGGGTAGAGTGAGGCATGCTGGGTAGAGTAGAGTGAGCCATGCAGGGTAGTGTGAGGCATGCTGGGTAGAGTGAGGCATGCAGGGTAGAGTGAGGCATGCTGGGTAGAGTGAGGTGTGCTGGGTAGAGTGAGTCATGCTGGGTAGAGTGAGGCATGCTGGGTAGAGTGAGTCATGCTGGGTAGAGTGAGGCATGCTGGGTAGAGTGAGTCATGCTGGGTAGAGTGAGGCATGCTGGGTAGAGTGAGTCATGCTGGGTAGAGTGAGGCATGCTGGGTAGAGTGAGTCATGCTGGGTAGAGTGAGGCATGCTGGGTAGAGTGAGGCATGCTGGGTAGAGTGAGTCATGCTGGGTAGAGTGAGGCATGCTGGGTAGAGTGAGTCATGCTGGGTAGAGTGAGGCATGCTGGGTAGAGTGAGGCATGCTGGGTAGAGTGAGTCATGCTGGGTAGAGTGAGGCATGCTGGGTAGAGTGAGCCATGCTGGGTAGAGTGAGGCATGCTGGGTAGAGCAGAGTGAGCCATGCTTGATATAGTGAGGCATGCTGGGTAGAGTGAGTCATGCTAGGTGGAGTAAGGCATGCTGGGTAGAGTGAGGCGTGCTGGGTAGAGTGAGTCATGCTGGGTAGAGTGAGGCATGCTGGGTAGAGTGAGGCATGCTGGGTACCCACCACAGTCAGGTGCACGGATGTTTCCGGCTCTGGAACCGGGCGCTTGTGGAGAGACTCGAGGAGTTCCTGGGAGTCGCTCTCCTGGTTCGCGACACATGACACTGTGGTGTGAGTGTGGGGCAGTGGTGTGGTGCAGTGTGGTGGTGCAGTGGTGTGGTGCAGTGGTGGTGTTGCAGTGCAGTAGGGTGGTGTGAGTATGGGGCAGTGGTGTGGTGCAGTGGTGTGGTGCAGTGGTGTGGTGCAGTAGTGTGGTGCAGTGTGGTGGTGCAGTGTGGTGGTGCAGTGGTGTGGTGCAGTGGTGGTGTTGCAGTGCAGCAGGGTGGTGTGCGTATGGGGCAGTGGTGTGGTGCAGTGGTGTGGTGCAGTGGTGTGGTGCAGTGTGGTGCAGTGTGGTGCAGTGGGGTGCAGTGCAGTGTGGTGCAGTGGGGTGGTGCAGTGTGGTGCAGTGTGGTGCAGTGTGGTGCAGTGCAGTGTGGTGTTACACCGTCGTGTGAGTATGGTGCAGTAGTGTGGTGCAGTGTGGTGGTATAGTGTGGTGCAGTGTGGTGGTATAGTGTGGTGCAGTGTGGTGCAGTGCAGTGTGGTGTTACACCGTCGTGTGAGTGTGGTGTCATCGAGTAGTGCGGTGGCGGGCCGTCACGCAACACCGTGAGGGTGCGGTGAAGTACGGGTGTCGGTGCGGTGCCGGTGCGGTGCCGGTGCGGTGCCGGTGCGGTGTCAGTGCGGTGTCGGTGCGGTGGTGCAACTTGCATTGCCCTTGGTGCTGTACTCTGCCAGGAGATTGAGCAGCTTGTAAAACACCTCAAACCAGGGCAGGTAGCTGCGGAGAGAGCACACGACTTTCACTCACCGCTCGGCACTCACCGCTCGGCGCTCACCACTCGCAATCAAACGCAGGAGGAGGCTCGGAGGTCAGACTCCAAGGGCCTTGGGTTCAGCCCCAACCACAGTGACGACACCGGGGTCTCACGTCTAGTGAGTTGGTGGTCTCAGCTGATGAATTACATCGAGACAGACTCGCATAGAGACGAATAAACTCACATAGAGACCCATAGACTGACACAGAGACCCATAGACTCACACAGAGACCTATAGACTCACACAGAGACCCATAGACTCACACAGAGACCCATAGACTCACACAGAGACCCTTAGACTCACACAGAGATCCATAGACTCACATAGAGACCCACAGACTCACACAGAGACCCATAGCCTCACAGAGACTCATAGACTCACACAGAGAACCATAGCCTCACATAGAGACTCACAGACTCACACAGAGACCCTTAAACTCACGCAAAGACCCACAGACTTACACAGAGACCCATAGACTCACACAGAGACCCTTAGACTCACGCAGAGACCCACAGACTTACACAGAGACCCACAGATTTACACAGAGACCCATAGACTCACATAGAGACCCACAGACTTACACAGAGACCCATAGACTCACATAGAGACCCATAGACTTACACAGATGCGCAGACTCACGTGGATATTTACACTCACGTGTGTGTACACGGGTAAATGCACAAGCAACAAACACAAAGTCCCCCCGTATAGCCTTAACAGATTGAAGGGGCAAGTGCTGTTCGCAAACACCTATGAAGGCCGGCAGGATACACGAGGCCAATACCACACCCAGCCGCCTGTGTCCACACGTGTGTACGTGTGTGTGTGTACACGTGTGTGTACACGTGTGTACGTGTGTACACGTGTGTACGTGTGTACACGTGTGTACGTGTGTACACGTGTGTACACGTGTGTGTGTACACGTGTGTACGTGTGTACGTGTCTGTGTGCACACGTGTCGCGGCAATGAATCCGGCAGGCCGAGTTTGATTCCCGCTTATGGCCAACACCTCTGACGATAATCTGAACTGGTCCTGGGCCTCCCCGAGGTCGACTCAACCTCAAATGGAGTATCTGGTGTGCTGTGTAAACACTGGGGAGACAAAGGCGGCCGGACATGGTACTGGCCACCCACCCCCTCGTGTGCCGTGCCGGCCTTCATAGGTGTTCGCTAACAGCGCTTGTCCCAACAGTCTGTTAAGGCTATACGGGGGATCTTTGTCTTTGGTACACGTGTCTGTGTGTGTGTGTTATTTGAATGTGTAACATTCGTAAGGTGTGATGCATTCACAGCCAAGGCCCCCACGCCCGCCCCCACCACCTCCTCCTCCCCCCACTCATTTTTCTCTTAACGCATCGCGCATTCATCACCGCGAGAGAGAAAATAAAGGAATTAAAAATAACGAGCGCAGAGCAGGGGCCGCGTGCGCGCGCGTGAGTCCGTGCGTGTGTCCGTGCGGTGCGTGTGTCCGTGCGTGTGTCAGTGCGTGTGTCCGTGCGTGTGTCAGTGCGTGTGTCAGTGCGTGTGTCAGTGCGTGTGTCCGTGCGTGTGTCAGTGCGTGTGTCAGTGCGTGTGTCAGTGCGTGTGGCAGTGCGTGTGTCCGTGCGTGTGTCAGTGCGTGTGTCAGTGCGTGTGTCCGTGCGTGTGTCAGTGCGTGTGTCCGTGCGTGTGTCAGTGCGTGTGTCCGTGCGTGTGTCAGTGCTTGTGTCCGTGCGTGTGTCCGTGCGTGTGTCCGTGCGTGTGTCCGTGCGTGTGTCAGTGCGTGTGTCCGTGCGTGTGTCAGTGCTTGTGTCCGTGCGTGTGTCCGTGCGTGTGTCCGTGCGTGTGTCAGTGCGTGTGTCCGTGTGAGTGACTCTGTGTCTTTGGTTGTGTGTGTGTGGGTGTGTGTCCGTCTGTGTGTCTGTGCGAGTGGTGGCCCAGCGGTTGACGCGCCGTGCTACGAACCCCCGGCGACCCGAGTTCGATTTCCCCGCTCACGGCCACCAACAGTCGTGACGATTATCCGAACCGGTCCTGGGCCTCCCCCAGGTCGACTCAGCCTCAAAAGAGTACCTGGTGCGGTGTGTAAACATCGCCACTGGGGATGCAAAGGCCCCCGGGCGTGGTGCTGGCCACCCACCCCCTCGTGTGCCATGCCGGCCTTCGTAGGTGCCCGCTAACAGCGCTTGCCCCAAGCAGTCTGTTAAAGGCTACACGGGGGATCTTTGTCCGTGTGTATCTGTGTGCGCGCACTGCTCTGTGCGTAATTGCGTGCGTCTGTGTTTGTGTATCTGTGTGCGCACGTGGCTGTGTGTATATAGTCTGTACGCGCGTGTATCTGTGTGTGCGAGTGTGTGTGTGTATAGTCTGTGCGTGTATCAGGCTGTGAGTGTCTCAAGGCTGCCACTCGGGTTAATGGCAGCGCCAGGGTCATGGCTACTGTGAGGATGGATGAGGGTCAGTGGTCAAACAGGGCCGAGATCTGTGTGGGGTGAGGAGGTGCGCGCGTGTGTGTGCGTGTGTGTGTGCGTGTGTGTGTGCGTGTGTGGGGTATGTAAGTGCATGTGTGGGGTGTGGGTCTGTGTGCGTGTGTGCGTGTGGGTGAGTGCCTGGGTGCTCTCACTTGAGTACCTACTGGGGAGACAAAGGCGGCCGGGCCTGGTGCTGGCCACCCACCCCCTCACGTGCCGCTCCGGCTTTCATAGCTGCTGCCCGCTCACAGCACTTGCCCCAACAGTCTGTTACAGGCTATACGGGGGCTCTTTGTCTTTGTGGGGGTGTTTGAGTGTATGTAGGGCATGTGTGTGGGTCTGCACGTGGTGTGTGTGTGATAGATGAGAGTGGTGGCGCAGCGGTTAGCGCACTGCGCGACGAACCCAGCGGCCCGAGTTCGATTCCCGCTCACGGCCGACAACAGCAGCGAATATTTGAACCTGGCTTTCCTTTAAGTCCACTCAGCTTTAACTAATCACCCAGTGCGGTGTGCAAAACACACCATCACTGGGGAGAGGAGAGAGGCGTGGCACCGACCACGCACATCGTAGGCGCCACTCGCCAACAGCCCTTGCCCCGACATTCGCCCGAAGGCTACGCGGGGGACCTTTGTCTTTGTGAGGAGGCGAGAAGGCTTGTGTGAGTTGAAGGGCTTGTGAGAGATAAGATTCCTCTGTCTGGTGTAAACACAGCAGCTCGCAGACAGCAGCGGCGCTGCACTCCCACACAGCTCCCACACACACGGCACTCACACCCTGCTATGAAGACCAAGACAAAGATCCCCCGTGTAGCCTTCACAAGACCGTTGGGGCAAGTGCTGCTCGTGCCTACCGGGGCTGGAACGGCACACCAAGAGGGCGGTGGGTGGCCAGTACCACGCACAGCCGTATTTGTCTTCCCGGTGGCGATGTTTACGCACTGCACCAGTCACTCCACTTGAGGCTGAGTCGACCTAGAGAAGGCCCAGGACCGATTCGAATGCCGGTCTCCGGGAATCGAACTCGGGTCTCCGGGTTCGTACCGAATCTCGGCAACCGCGGCACCACCGCTCCCCACTACCGCAGAGACACACCGGCACACCGGCACGGTGCACGTGGGGGTGGGGGGCAGCAGCCATGCCCGGCCGCCTTTGTCTCGCCGCCAGTGCTACTGGACATCTGTGGGGAAAAGAGCTTTATAGCTCATCGGATTCCTCCAGGATAAATGAATATTCTGATTCCGAGCGCCGATGTTTAATACAGTACACCGCGCCGGGTACAGTACACCGCACCAGACACTCACTTTAGGCTGAGCTCACCTAGCCGAGGATCAACGCCGGCTCAGATATTCGCCGCCGATGTTGCCCGTGAATGGGAATCGCGCACAGGCAGGAGGGAGAGGGGGGAGCAGGGAGAGGGTTGGGGGGAGCAGGGGGGAGAGGGGGGAGCAGGGGAGAGAGGGGGGAACAGGGGAGAGAGGGGGGAGCAGGGGGAGGGGGGGAGCAGGGGGAGGGTTGGGGGGAGAGGGGGGAGCAGGGGAGAGAGGGGGGAACAGGGGAGAGAGGGGGGAGCAGGGGGAGGGGGGGAGCAGGGAGAGGGTTGGGGGGAGAGGGGGGAGCAGGGGAGAGAGGGGGGAGCAGGGGGAGGGGAGCAGGGGGAGGGTTGGGGGGAGAAGGGGGGAGAGGGGGGAGCAGGGGGAGGGTTGGGGGGAGCAGGGTGAAGATGAGCAAGCAGTAGGAGAGGGGGAGAATGAAGAGCGTCGCGAGAGAGGGATCAGTGAGGGGAGGGCGCAGGGAGAGGGGGGAGCAGGGAGAGGGTTGGGGGGATCAGGGAGATGGGGAAGCAGACAGAGGAGGGGGAGTAGAGTGTGAGCAGAGTAGGAATATGGGGAAGCAAGGAGATGGGGGAGCAGAGAGTGGGGGGAGCAGGGCAAAGGGGGAGCAGGGCAAGGGGGAGCAGAGTGTGGGGGGAGCAGGAAGTGGGGGGAGCAGAGAGTGGGGGGAGCAGAGAGTGGGGGGAGTAGGGAGCAGTAGGGAGAAGGGGGAGCAGAGAGTGGGGGGGAGCAGGAAGTGGGGGGAGCAGAGAGTTGGGGGAGCAGGAGGAAGAACAGCAGAGAGGGGGGAGCAGGGATAGTGTTAGGGGTCTCAGGGGTCAAACTACAAAGCCAAGTACTCGGGTAGGGGGGGGGTGGGGGAGGGGGGGTTCATCACCACAACTTCCCCCCCCCCCACAGCCCTCCCTCCCCCCGTGGTTTTATGGACCCTGATCATTGTCAGCAGTGTCTGGTGTGAATCAGCCCCTCCCCTCCCTCCCCCCACCCCCACCCCATCAACATGGGCTACAGCAGCAACAGCGGTCCCAGCGATGGTGTAATGACCAGCCAGGCCTTACCACCCCCCCCCCCCCCCCCACAATAATTCCCGTACTCACTCACCTCCATCCCCATACCCCGGCCATATTCACCGCGTCCCCTTCAGCTACCCTCATAGTACCGTACGTAGGTGAAAAATAAATGATAATAAATAATAGGGGAAATAATTGATATTATTTTATTATTATTATTTCACCTCCGTGCCTTTAAATAAATAATAATAAATGATAAACAATAATTTCTATAACTTTTTTATTATGATTATTTTTTCAAGAGTATGAATCCTTGCAGTCACGAAAGCTTCAAATCTAGAACTCACAGTACCGCTCACATGCCTTGCAGAGCGCCTTGGATGAAGGCGCTTCATACACGTGACACGAGATGAACAAACAGACACACAGAGTTGGGGTTTATATTCTTGGTTCTTTCGGTAAAGTCACGTAGAAGGGAAATAATAAAATAATACAAATATAAAACAATAAAAATTCTTACGACGTTTCGACTGCAACACAAGCAATCATCATCAGGTGTGAAATCCACAGCAAGAAATTTTGAAAAAAGTGAGATGGGATTTCACACCTGATGATGATTACTTGTGTTGCAGTCGAAACGTCTTGAGAATTTTTTGTTGTTTTATATTATTTTATTATTTTGTTATTTCCCTTCTACGTGACTTTACCGAAAGAACCAAGAATATGAATCCCTGCAGTCACGAAAGTTTTAAATCGAAATTTATAGTTGGGGTTTATTTTGTCTTTGTTTGTTTCTAAGTGTCACGCTGTATATTAAATCGATTGCAATCGATCAGCGTTCACGACGTCGTGAGTTTTATTGGGGGGACCCCCAAACGAATCGCTCGAGACGCCCGGTGTATGGCAGCAAGAAGCGGTCCAAACGCAAACGCCCTGCTCAAGAGGTCACACCGTTTGGCGCAACGGCCCTTCGCTGGCCGGGCACGATGGATTAACGAATTCATTATGACTATGCGTGATGAATGAAAGAATGATGATCATCACTGTGCATGATGAATTGTTATCATCATCATCACTGTGCGTGATGAATGAATGATCATCAACGTGCGTGATGAATTAACGAATTATCATCATCATCACCGTGCGTGATTAATAAATTATCATCATCACCGTGCGTGCGTAATGAATGAATGAATCACCATCACTGTGCGTGATGGAATTGTTATCATCATCATCACCGTGCGTAATGAATTATTATCATCATCACCGTACGTGATTGAATTGTTATCATCATCACCGTTGGTAATGAATTGTTATCATCATCACCGTGCATGATGAATGAATGACCATCAACGTGCATGATGGATTAATTAATTATTATCATCACCATGTCCCCCCTCCCCGACCCCCCCTAAACCCCCCACTCTCTCTCTCTGCTGCCGCAAACCACGACGTTTCGTGCAATGGGCCTTCTTTAGAGAACACAGACAGAGAGAGGATCCAGTGGAGGGGGCGGCGTGGGTGCACGACACGAGATGGGGGCTGCCCCTGTCTGCACTGTGGTGGGTGAAGGGGGGGGGGTGCTGATGATAAGAATAACACGTGAACCGCGTGGATGAACCCCTGTTGTAAATAAGCCTTTGAATGCTTACTGAGCTAGCTGACAAACCCTGAAGTCTGCGTTATGATCCCCAACACCAATACCAACGCCACTAGGTGACGGTGACGTCACCACGGCGCCCGTGCCAGGCCAGGTGCACTTTGAGGCCACGTGAAGCGTGACAGGAGGAGGTCTCGGGACAGACCCAGCAGGTGCCATGGGTCGGCTGACTCAGATGACTAGTAGATGCACCACTAGCTGTACCCTCCTCCTGTGCCAGGCTAGGTGCAGGAGAGACAGACCCTGCAGGTGCCATGGGTCGGCTGACTCAGATGATCGATAGATGCACCACCAGCTTTACCCCCCTACTGTGCCAGGCTAGGTGCCGGAGGGACAGACCCTGCAGGTGCCATGGGTCGGCTGACTCAGATGACTGGTAGATGCACCACTAGCTGTACCCTCCTCCTGTGCCAGGCTAGGTGCAGGAGAGACAGACCCTGCAGGTGCCATGGGTCGGCTGACTCAGATGATCGATAGATGCACCACCAGCTTTACCCCCCTACTGTGCCAGGCTAGGTGCCGGAGGGACAGACCCTGCAGGTGCCATGGGTCGGCTGACTCAGATGACCGATAGATGCACCACCAGCTGTACCCCCCGACTGTGCCAGGCTAGGTGCAGGAGGGACAGACCCAGCAGGTACCATGAGTGGGCCGACTTAGATGAGCGGTAAGATGCACGTTATGATCCCGTACACACACGCACGCACAGAGACAAAGTTCGCCCCCCCCCACTGTAGCCTTAAAAAACTTTGTTGGGGCAAGTGCTGTTAGCGAGTAGCAGCACCTACGGAGGCCGGCACCGTACACTAAGGGGGCGGGTGGCCAGCACCGCGCCCGGCCGCCTTTGTCTCCCCGGCGGGCGATGTTTTGACACACCGCACCAGGTACTCATTTGAGGCCGAGTAGAGCTAGGGGAGGCCCAAGACCGCAGGGCGAATTATCATGCCACGTGGCCACGAATGGGATTCGAACTCAGGTGGGCGTTCTGTCCTGCTTGATTAACAGGTGGGGTTATGGGGGGTGTGGAGGGGAGGGGTTAGGGGGGTGTGGAGGGGAGGGGTTAGGGGTGTGTGGAGGGGAGGGGTTAGGGGGGTGTGGAGGGGAGGGGTTAGGGGGGTTGTAGAGGGGAGGGGTTAGGGGTGTGTGGAGGGGAGGGGTTAGGGGTGTGTGGAGGGGAGGGGTTAGGGGGGTTGTAGAGGGGAGGGGTTAGGGGGGTGTGGAGGGGAGGGGTTAGGGGGGTGTGGAGGGGAGGGGTTAGGGGGGTGTGGAGGGGAGGGGTTAGGGGGGTGGGGAGGGGTTAGGGGGGTGGGGAGGGGTTAGGGGGGTGTAGAGGGGTGGGGTTAGGGGGGTGTGGAGGGGAGGGGTTAGGGGGGTGTGGAGGGGAGGGGTTAGGGGGGTGGAGAGGGGTTAGGGGGGTGTGGAGGGGAGGGGTTAGGGGGGTGTGGAGGGGTTAGGCGGGTGTGGAGGGGAGGGGTTAGGGGGGTGTGGAGGGGTGGGGTTAGGGGGGTGGGGAGGGGTTAGGGGGTTGTAGAGGGGAGGGGTTAGGGGGGTGTAGAGGGGTGGGGTTAGGGGGTGTGGAGGGGAGGGGTTAGGGGTGTGTGGAGGGGGGGGTGATTGACAGTGAGGGGGGGGGGATCAGAGGGAGGGGTTTGGGCAGCCACTGTTTGTTTAAGACGTCGCCCACTCAAGAGATAAACTCCCAATCAGTTGTCGTTGGTGGGAGGAGGGGGGGGGTGAAGTGGTGGGGGTTGAAGTGAGGGGTGAGGGGGGGGGATCAAGGAGGGGGGGGGGGGGCAGTGAGCTGTGATGAGTCCCAGCTGTAGCATCTCCCCGACCGGCCGTGATGAACCGAACGCGAATTGCAGTTTGGAGTTTGTTGTTTAATCAATTAGCTATGAGAGGCAGCAAGCCACGCCTACATCTCAGGTAGCCCCGCCCACTGTTAAAGGTAACTCCGCCCATTGTTAAAGTGGCCCAGCCCACTGCTCAGGTAGCCCCGCCTCCGCCCACATCATGAGTTGGGCACGATGGCGAAGCATTTGAAACCGGCGACAAAATCCCAGATTGTCCTCGCCAAACCGAGACTGTCGTGGCCTACCTTGAATAGTCCAGGTGAGCTGTGCAGGTGAGGTGCACAGGCGAGGTGCACAGGCGAGGTGCACAGGTGAGGTGCACAGGTGAGGTGCAGAGGTGAGGTGTGCAGGTGGGATGTACAGGTGAGGTGCACAGGTGAGGTGCACAGGTGATGTGCACAGGTGATGTGCACAGGTGAGGTGCACAGGTGAGGTGCACAGGTGATTTGCACAGGTGATGTGCACAGGTGAGGTGCACAGGTGAGGTGCACAGGTGAGGTGCACAGGTGATGTGCACAGGGGAGGTGCACAGGTGAGGTGCACATGTGAGGTGCACAGGTGAGGTGCACAGGTGAGGTGCACAGGTGAGGTGCACAGGTGATGTGCACAGGTGAGGTGCACAGGTGAGGTGCACAGGTGAGGTGTGTAGATGAGGTGCACAGGTGATGTGCATAGGTGAGGTGCACAGGTGATGTGTACAGGTGAGGTGTACAGGTGAGGTGCACAGGTGAGCTGTACCTGAGTAAGCACACACAGGAGCGGGAGCCAGAAGAGAGGCGGCAGAACCCGAAACTGTGCTTCCCGTCGGCGTCGGTGAGCACAAACGTGAAGTTCTGTCCAATGTGTCCGTGTTTCACCCTGAGACACACACACAGACACACACACACAGAGACACACACACACACAGAGACACACAGACAAAGAGACACACAGAGACACACAGAAACACACAAACAAAGACATTGACACACAGAGACACACACAGAGACACAAAGACACACACACAAAAAGACACAGACACACACACACAAGACAAAGACACACACAGAGACACATATAAAATGAATAGCCATTACATCATCAAACATAGATACACACGTACACACACAAAGACAAAGACCTCCCGTATAGCCTTAACAGACTTGGGGCAAGTGCTGTTAGCGAGCACCACCTATGAAAGCCGGCATGACACACGAGGGGGTGGGTGGCCAACACAGACACCAGCCGCCTTTGTCTCCCCAGTGCTGATGTTTACACACCACACCAGTTACTCATTTAAGGCTGAGTCGATCTAGGGAGGCCCAGAACCAGTTCCGATTTATTTTTTCACGGACATTGACCGTGAACGGGAATCGAACTTTAGTTTTATTTTGCTGAACCAGATGAGAACTCAGGAGACCATGAGGATGAGTCCAATTTGCAGGAGTCAACGAGTGAGTGAATGAGTGAATGAGTTAACGAATGAGTGAGTGAATGAGTTAACGAATGAGTGAGTGAATGAGTGAAGGAGTGAATGAGTTAACGAATGAGTGAGTGAATGAGTGAAAGAGTGAATGAGTTAACGAATGAGTGAGTGAATGAGTGAATGAGTTAACGAATGAGTGAGTGAATGAGTGAAGGAGTGAATGAGTTAACGAATGAGTGAGTGAATGAGTGAATGAGTTAACGAATGAGTGAGTGAGTGAGTGAAGGAGTGAATGAGTTAACGAATGAGTGAGTGAATGAGTGAATGAGTTAACGAATGAGTGAGTGAATGAGTGAATGCGTTAACCAATGAATGAGTGAATGAGTGAATGAGTTAACGAATGAGTGAGTGAATGAGTGAATGAGTGAATGAGTGAATGCGTTAACGAATGAATGAGTGAATGAGTGAATGAGTTAACGAATGAGTGAGTGAATGAGTGAATGAGTTAACGAATGAGTGAGTGAATGAGTGAATGTGTTAACGAATGAATGAGTGAACGAGTTAACGAATGAGTGAGTGAATGAGTGAATGCGTTAACGAATGAATGAGTGAATGAGTGAATGAGTTAACGAATGAGTGAGTGAATGAGTGAAGAAGTGAGCGACGATGCTGCGAGTGACCTGGGGCCGATGGTCGCTGCCCCTGCGACCACGATCGCAGCTGAGTAACGTGCGGTGGAGCTTTGCGACTTGGAAAGATCGGTGATGTGGGTCGATGACGACGGTGATGTTGGTGATGTTGGGTTACCGACGGTGATGTTGGTGATACCGACAGTGATGTTAGTGATGCTGGGTTACCGACAGCGATGTTGATGATGTTGGGATGCCGACGGCGAGGTTGGTGATACCGAAGGTGATGTTAGTGATGTTGAGATACCGACAGTGATGTTGATGATGTTGGGTTACCGACGGCGATGTTGGTGATACCGACGGTGATGTTGGTGATGCTGGTGATACCGACGGTGATGTTGGTGATGTTGGGTTATCGACGGCGATGTTGGTGATACCGAAGGATTTGTTGGTGATGTGGGTCGATGACGACAGCGATGTTGATGATGTTGGGATGCTGACGGCGATGTTGGTGATACCGACGGTGATGTCGGTGATGTTGGGAGACACCAACGTGGATGCTGGTGATGTTGGCGATGCTGTTGGCGGAGGGTGTGTTTGAAGGAGCCATCACATGACAGGGTTACAAGCAGGGGTCATCACCCCAGGAAGTCGTTGAGAAGCGATAGGAAATGAGATCCTGCGTTTTATTTGTCCGGCAGTGGAAGGGAACACGGGGTGACGCGGGGTAACACGGGGAGACGATGCGGGGAGACACGGGGAGACGATGCGGGGAGATGCAGGGAGACACGGGGAGACACGGGGAGACACGGGGAGACGCGGGGAGACACGGGGAGACGCGGGGAGACACGGGGAGACGCGGGGAGACGCGGGGAGACGCGGGGAGACGCGGGGAGACGCGGGGAGTTACGGGGAGACGCGGGGAGATGCGGGGAGACACGGGGAAACACGGGGAGATACGGGGAGATGCGGGGAGACACGGGGAGACACGGGGAGACACGGGGAAACACGGGGAGACGTGGGGAGACACGGGGAAACACGGGGAGATGGGGGGAGATGCGGGGAGATGTGGGTGTTAGGTTTCGGGCTCCGATTAGTGTTAGGGGTTAGGTTTAGTGCTTTTGGTTAGTAGTGAGCGGTTAGGGTTAGTGGTGAGCGGGGTTATTCGTACCTTTCCACATCAAATGGGAAGCAGAACTTGGCAATCGTTTTCACGACGTCCTGCGTCACACACATCACCACCATCACCACCATGACCAACATCATCACAATCACCACTATCACCAACACCATCACCACCATCGCCATCACCACCATGACCAACATCATGACAATCACCACTATCACCAACATCATCACCACCATCATCACTATCACCACCATGACCAACATCATCACAATCACCACTATCACCAACACCATCACCACCATCGCCATCACCACCATGACCAACATCATGACAATCACCACCATCACCACCATCATCACTATCACCACCATGACCAGCATCATCACAATCACCACTATCACCAACATCACCACCACCGCCACCACCACCGTCAGACAAAGACCCACACCCCATCTCATCTCGCCTATGCAATACGAATCCTGTATTGAGGCAGCAGCAACAACAACATCGAGCCCACCTCCATGCTCCCACCTCCATGCTCCCCTTCCCTGCCCCCCCTCCTCCCCACCATCTCCCTTCCCTACTCCCTCAATGTCATTGATCTCTCTCCTGCTCCCCACTTCTCTCGCACCCCTTCTCCCCGCTCTCCCCTCCCTCTCCCCCCGCTCTCCCCTCCCTCTCCCCCCGCTCTCTCTCCCGGGCTCGTCCTAATTGAGTCCCAAGAGGCAGAAAGTCTCTCAGCCTCCCCCTCCTCCTCCCCCCCTCCTCATCCCTCTTGCCTCCAGCTCCCTCCCGCTCCATTCCTCCCAGCAAAACCCAGATCATACCCCTGTCTCTCTCGCTCTCTTGCCTCTCCCCGCTCCTTACACTCCCCTCTCTCCTTTACTCCCCCCCCCCTTCCTTCCTCTCCTTTCCCTCTCGCGTTGCCTCTCCCCCTGCTCACTCTCTTGCCTCTCCCCTCCTCTCTTGCCCCTCTCCTCTAACATCCTTTACTCTCTCTTAATCTCCCCTTGCGTTTTCCTTTCCTCTGCCCTTACGACTGCTCGTCTCTCCCTTGTTCTCTCCTTGTCTCTCTCTTTCCTCTCCCTTTCCTCTCCCTTTCCTCTCCCTATCCCGTCCTCTCTCCTTACCTCTCTCTCTCTCTGCCTCCCATCTTCCTTTCCTCTCCTATCCCGTCCTCTCTCCTTGTCTCTCTCTTTCCTCTCCCTTTCCTCTCCCTTTCCTCTCCCTTTCCTCTCCCTATCCCGTCCTCTCTCCGTACCTCTCTCTCTCTCTCTCTGCCTCTCCTCTTCCTTGCCTCTCCCCGTCTCTCTCCTCCTTGGGGGAGTTAGCAGCTGGGAGCTGTAATCGTCACCCCCCCCCCCCCCACGTCACCCCCTCCTCCCCCCTCCCCCCCAAGGCATCTCCTTAATCCACTCTGATACCCGGGCCCCTCCCCCCATCCCTCCGCCAGCCCCCCACCACCATCACCCCCCCCCCCCCCCCCGAGCTAAACTCCCACGGGCCCCAAGGTCTCAAGTTTTTAACAAATCTCAACACCCGGAGGCTAGGGCTACCCCCCCCCCTCCCGTGAACCTAGCCTGGCACCGGCGGCTAATCGCGGTGGGGGGGACTGCGTGTTGTGGGACTGCTCAGCGGGTTCATAATGGCCGTGTCAGAGACGCTAAGAAAAGCGCTTTAGAGCTGATCGGATTCCTCCAGTGTAGGTAAGTATCATGATTCCGATTCTGGCATTTGCCGAGGTGTCCGTGTTTGAGTCCTGGACTGGGCGTCTCTCAGCTACCGCCGTGTCGAGGTTCACGATCGCCGTGGCTACAGATACCGTGATGTGGGGGGTTCATAACAACAGCAGCCGTCATTCGCCACTAATTGGTGGTGAGCACGCCGCCCCCGTGCCAGGCCAGGTGCACTTTGAGGCCACGTCAAGTGTCGAAGGCCCGCTGATAGGTCACGGGGACACGCTCAGGTGCCACGGGTTCATAACTCGCACTCTGACGCGCACTCGCAAAAGACAAAGATCCCCCGTGTAGCCTCTAACAGACTGCCGGGGCAAGTGCTGTTGGCGAGCACCCATGACGGCCGGCACGGCACACGAGAGGGTGGTTGTCCAGCACCACACCCGGCCGCCTTTGTCTCCCCAGTGCTGACGTGTACACCCTCACACGTGTAACGCGCTCACTCGCTCGCACACTCGCACACTCGCGAACTCACACGTTCACGCTTCTGGCCCGAGGCGACCGAGCAGAGGCTCAGGACGAAGTTCAGAAACCAGCCGTTGTTGTCGTCGGTCGCGAAGTGGGAATTGAACTCGGGTCGCCAGGTTCGTAGCGCAGCGCGCTAACCGCTGCGCCACCGCTCCCCAACACGAGCGCACATACGCACACACGCTCCTGTTTCACGCACACACCCTTTACACAATCGCCCGTATAACGCGCAGATGACGCGAACGCCTCTCCGCCTGTCGTCTGGCAGTGCACAAATGATTTAAACGTGTCATTCATGACACACACACACGTACACACACGCTCATGCACACAACATCGTACAACAAAGACAAAGATCCCCCCCGCCACCCGTATAGGCTTCAACAGACTGTTGGGGCAAGTGCTGTTAGCGAGCACCTACGATGGTCAGGCACGGCGCACGAGGAGGTGGGTGGCCAGGACCACGCCTTTGTAACACACTCACTCGCACTCACACAAACCACACACTATGCAAGTATCCGATTCTACGATCTCACACTCACACATTCACACGCTCACTCGGTCACAGACACACACTCACACACTCACCAGCTCACACACTCACACAAACCACACACTATGCAAGTATCCGATTCTACGATCTCACACTCACACATTCACACGCTCACTCGGTCACAGACACACACTCACACACTCACCAGCTCACACACTCACACATACACACACACGCACATTCGCACACTCACTAGCTCACAGAGACACATTTACACACCCGCTCACGCACTCGCACACACATTCGCACACCCATGCACTCGCTCAATCTCACGCTCACTCGCACCACCCCTGATCTGTCACTTCTCTCCGTCTTCTCAAACAAAAGCCACGAGACGCCAGTGGGGGGTCCGTGACCCCCCCCCCCTCCCCCCCAAACCCCGCACCCCCCCCCCAACCCCCCACCCGCTCCACCACCTACCCAACCCCAACAGCAGCAACTCCGAACCCTTCCAGAGTCCCCTCGGAGCACAGACGTGGAGCGGTAGCACTGATCCCCCTTGGGGCTCAGAGGGCTACCCCCAGTTAAAGCCTTGATCCAAATCCCCTGCTCCCCCCCCCTTCCCCCACCCCTCCCCCCGTTGAACCCCCACCAGCCACAACTCCCGCATATCCACCGCGGTCTCTCCCCGCCAACCCTCCTCCACCCACCCCCAAAATCAAAGACAATAACAAAGATGCCCTGTGTAGTCTACACAAGCTGTTCTGGTGGGGCAAGTGCTGTCGGCAGGCCGAGTGGACCTGATGTGTGTCTCTGGTGTTGGCCGTGAGCGGGTTTGCAGCGCGGTGTACATGTATAAAGATCCCTTGCGGAGCCTGCAGCAGGCTGTTGGGGCAAGTGCTGTGAGCGAGCACCTATGAAGGCCGGCGCCACGCCATGCAGTGGTGGCAGTGGTGTTATAGTGGTCTGGTGGTGGTGGTGGTGGGGTGGCTGTGTTGGTGTTACGGTGATTTCGTGGTAGTGGTGATGGTGGTGCTGTTGTGGTGGTGGTTTGGTGGTGGTAGTGGTGTTATAGTGGTTTTGTAGTGGTGGTGGTGGGATGGCTGTGTTGGTGGCGGTGTGGTGGTGACGGTGGTGTTATAGTGGTTTGGTGGTGACGGTGGTGGTATAGTGGCTTGGTGGTGGTGGTGGCTGTGGTGGTGTTACGGTGGTTTCGTGGTAGTGGTGATGGTGGTGCTGTTGTGGTGGTGGTGGTGGTGGCATGATGGTGGCAATGGAGTTGTGGTGGAGGCATGGGTGTGGTGGTGGTGGTGGCGGTGGCGGGAGCGTCGGGTCTCCTGGGAGGGAGTTGAACCCTAACCCCCGTGCTTGCCTGCTGCTGCGGCGGGTGCTCTACGCACAATAATTGGTGACACGCTCGCTGGATAAATAGCCCGCTCGCCCCTACCCCCCCGACCCCCCCAACCTTACGCCCAGAACCGCACCCACCCCAAAAGATGATAATTGTGTAGTCCACTCAGTAACGTGATTTACCCGGCGTGGTGGCCTCGCCGAGTCTCAAGACTCAATTTGCACGGGAGGGTCCTGCCACAGTGCACTTGGCCAGTCCCGTTTGAAACAAAAGCAGATCAATGTTTGGATTGTGGCGACGATGACCATCGCGATGACGATGGTGGCGGTGGTGGTGATCGTTACGATTAATGATTTTTACAAAGCCTCGTCGAGTCTCAATAAGGCTCTGTCTGGCAAACAGGATTTCTTTTTAAACCTAATCTTAATTTATATATCGGAGCACTTTCACTCAAGGCGCTTAACGAGGCTTACACAACGGTGACAAAATGGAACGATGGTGATGGCGGTTGTGATGATGACGATGATGATGTAATCAATTTACACGAGAAATCCAATTCCCGTTTAAATAATGAGCAACCGATGATGATGATGACCACCCTCTCTTTAGCCAGGCAAGCCTCAGCTAAGTCTCAACACTGTCATTAATTCAGGAATATCCTCCTGCCATACCCATGTTAAAATAAACAAGCAGTCTTTTGATGATGATGATGATGACGATGGTGATGACGATGGTGATGACGATCATGGTGCTCGTGGAAAATACAGTCCGGTGATGATAAATTGAGGATGCTGATGCCGCCAATTAGTCACCTAGGGTAGCCTCACCGAGTCTCAAGACGCTACTGTGCAGGAGGGTGCTGCTACGCTCCGATGCTTGGGCCGTGAACCGCATCACTCGTCAAGAGTTTGTCTTTGTGCGGACGTGAAAAGTGGCCAGCTAATTTATTAATTATTAAATAATTAATCGATTGACAGATTTCTGCGGCCACTGGTTAGGTTTAAATTGTGGGGGGGGGGGCACCTGTGACTGGAGGGGGGGGGGGAGAGTAATGCGGGGGAGAGAGAACGCAAAGTGGCTAGGAGATGTTAACTACCTTGCCTGGTATACAGGAGGTCGTGGGTTTGATGCCGACCTTGACGCCTGCTGTATATTTGGAGTTTGCGTGTCTCTCTCTCTCTCATCATCATCACGGTGGCGAGGAGATGTTAACTACCTCGCCTGGTATACAGGAGGTCGTGGGTTTGATCCCGACCCTGACACATGCTGTATATTGAGTCTGCGTGTCTCTCTCTCATCATCATCACGGTGGCGAGGAGATGTTAACTACCTCGCCTGGTATACAGGAGGTCGTGGGTTCGATCTCGATCTTGACGCCTGCTGTATATTTGGAGTTTGCGTGTCTCTCTCTCTCCCCGTGATCGCGTGGATTTTTCCTCTGGGTCCTCCGGTTTTTCCCTTTCACATTTAGAATCCACATCACGCGTTTAGAGGATTTGGCTGCTGCTATAAATTTCCACTCGATAAGCCACTTCGTTGGGCTATCACTTGTGGCCAGGTCGCTTCTGAAAAAGAGCTACATAGCTCAGTGGTACTGACCTAGTAAGACTCACGCAGAGATCCATAGACTCAAACAGAGACCCACATACTCATACAGAGACCCATAGACTCATGCAGAGACCCACATACTCACACAGAGACCCATAGACTCAAACAGAGACCCACAGACTCACACAGAGACCCACACACTCACACAGAGACCCACTGACTCACGCAGAGACCCATAGACTCACACAGACCCACAGACTCACACAGAGACCCACATACTCAAACAGAGACCCACTGACTCACACAGAGAACCACTGACTCACGCAGAGACCCACATACTCACACAGAGACCCACAGACTCACACAGAGACCCACAGACTCACACAGACTAACAGACTCACACAGAGACCCACAGACTCACACAGAGACCCACTGACTCACACAGAGACCCATTGACTCACACAGAGACCCACAGACTCACACAAAGACCCACAGACTCACACAGACCCACAGACTCACACAGAGACCCACAGACTCACACAGAGACCCACAGACTCACGCAGAGATCCATAGACTCAAACAGAGACCTACAGACTCACACCAGAGACCCACAGACTCACGCAGAGACCCACAGACTCACACAGAGACCCACAGACTCACACAGAGACCCACAGACTCACACAGAGACCCACAGACTCACACAGAGACCCACAGACTCACACAGAGACCCACAGACTCACACAGAGACCCACAGACTCACACAGAGACCCACAGACTCACACAGAGACCCACAGACTCACACAGAGACCCACAGACTCACACAGAGACCCACAGACTCACACAGAGACCCACAGACTCACACAGAGACCCACTGACTCACACAGAGACCCACAGACTCACACAGAGACCTACAGACTCACACCAGAGACCCACAGACTCACGCAGAGACCCACAGACTCACACAGAGACCCACAGACTCACACAGAGACCCACAGACTCACACAGAGACCCACAGACTCACACAGAGACCCACTGACTCACGCAGATACCCACAAGGACCTAATAATGACTTCCAGGGGATAGTCGTATTTAGAACATATATCAATCCACGTTGTATTGTAGAACGATGATTATGAAGAACTGGCGATGATCATGACGATGGATGAGCGATGATGTTGATGTTGTTGACGATGCCTCACCTGGTCAGGATAATCTTGTGGATATGTCCTAATCACCTCTGGGTCTGCACAGACAAACAACCAAAGACCAAAGACACACAACACGCACAGCAATGGCACGCACACACACACACAGACACCACGGTTAGTGCTGCTGCTGCTGCACACAGCAAAGGCTGGGCTCAAGGTTGAACACCGCTGTTATCCCTCCGAAGCACCCGCACAGGTACAATTGCACGTCCACGCGCGTGCACACAGACAAAGCTCCCCCATGAAGTCCCACAGGCTGTTCGGGGCAAGTAGCACACATGAAGGCCGACACGGCACGCGAGGGGGTGGGGTGGCCAACACCACGCCCGGCCGCCTTTGTCTCCCCCCGTGGCGATGTTTACACACCGCACCGGGTACTCATTTGAGGCCGAGTCGACCTAGGGGAGGCCCAGGGACCGGTTCAGATAATCGTCACTCGTGATGGCCGTGAGCGGGAATCGAACTCGCGTCGGCAGGTTCGTAGCGCAGTGCGCTAACCGCTTGCACCACCGCTCTCCACACTGTACACACCCCACAAGTACCCACACCTACCTCAGCCCCTCCCCTCCGTCCCCCCCAACATCCCCCTCCAGCCCCGCCCCCCAGCACGAGACAGTGCTGCGAGTCACGTGACACGTCTATTTTTAGCCTCATTTGGGCTCGCACTGAACCCCCCCCCGCCCCTCCCCAGAACCCCCCACGGCGACACAGCTATCCTAACGAGAGGTGTGCCTGCGTCTGGGTGCAACGTGCAGGTCGACTCGCCTTAAATAAGTACCCGGCACTGAGGGATACAAAGGCGGCCGGGCATGGGGAGCTGGCCATACCAACCTCCCTCGTGACGAGCCTCCACAGGTGCTCGCGAACAGCACTTGCCCCAAACGGTCTGCAAAATTCTCTACGGGGGAATCTTTGTCTTTGTTACACAATAAGCTACCTGGCCTGTCGCTCCACATGGAGCTCGGGGTCTTCTCGGCCACAGTCATGCCCTCCCTTCTCCTCAAGAGGAACATCTGCGCCGGTTAGAAACATTCAGGCTGGACCTGCCAATATGATCCATTCTGGGTATAACCAGGCTGGGTTGTGTGAGGAGCTCACAGATCCTTGAAAGATCTGCACACAGTCCCAAATCGGTGAGCTCCTCCGGCAGGCGAGGCTGCGTTGGCTGGGTCACGTAGCCCGCATGCCCAGCCACCGCATGCTGCCCAAGCAGCTTCTGTTGGGCCGGATAGAGGGGACGAAACGGGGCAGCACGGGCTGGAGATGAGATGGACTGATAGGCGAGTGGATGGGTGGGTGGGTGGATGGGTGGGTGGGTGGGTGGATGGGTGGGTGGATGGGTGGGTGGGTGGATGGGTGGGTGGATGAGTGGGTGGATGAGTGGGTGGGTGGATGGGTGGGTGGATGGGTGGGTGGGTGGATGGGTGGGTGGGTGGATGAGTGGGTGAATGAGTGGGTGGGTGGATGGGTGGGGGGATGGGTGGATAAGTGGGTGGGTGAGTAGATGGAAGAGTGGGCGAGTGGCACGAGCTAGAGAGGAAGTGGGCTATTGTGGTACAGAAAGTTCATTGGGTCGATGGTCTCAACCTAGTCACCAATGCCTTGACGCAAACACCCACCGACTCTCAACGAGACTCGCATACTCACGTAAAATACATGCACGAACATACAGACCCACAGAGTCACACGGACACCTACAGACTCTCACATAGGCTCACAATGAGACCCACCCACTCACAATGAGACCCACAGATTCATACAGCATATCGTAAACTAACAGAGACCCATAGACCCACACAGAGTATTACAGACTCACATAGAGACCCACAGATTAACAGAGACCCAGACTCGCATAGACACCCATAGACTCACATAGAGACCCACACACAGACTCACACAGAGACCCAGACTCACATAGACACCTTTAGACTGACATAGAGACCCACAGACTCACACAGAGACCCACAGACTCAACCAAAGACCCAGAGTCACGCAGATACCTATAGACCCACACAGAGACCCACAAACTCACAAAGAGATCCAGACTCACACAGACACCCAGACTCATATAGACATCTATAAACCCACACAGAGAACCACAGACTCACACAAAGACCCACAGACTCACACAGAGACCCAGACTCACACAGACACCTATAGACCCACACAGAGACCCACAGACTCACACAGAGTCCCAGACAGACACAGACACCCAGACTCACATAGACACCTATAAACCCACACAGAGACCCACAGACTCACACAGAGACCCACAGACGCATACAGAGACCCACAGACTCACCCAGATACCCACAAACTCACACAGACCGAGCAAGACCAAGACTAACACACAGATCCTCCTGATCCCCACTGTTCTCCCTCCTGCTCCCACCCCTTGCTCCCTCACCGAGTTAAAGCCGAAAATGAGATTATAGAGCCATGGTGCCTGACGAGGAGTGAGGGGGGGGGGGTGTTGGGGGGGGAGCCGCCTCCCCCCCCACTCCTCCCCTCCCCCCCTCTGTGTTGTCGGGTGCAGAGCGAATTTCTTAGCCAATTACCTCTGTGAACACTTCACTCAGAGGATGGCAGCAGACGCACACACACACACACGTATAGACACACGTACACACGTACACACACGTATATAGACACAAGACGAAGACAAAGATCCCCCGGATAGCCTTAACAGACTGTTGGGGCAAGTGCTGTTAGCGAGCACCTATGAAGGCCGGCACGGCACACGAGGAGGTGGGTGGCCAGCAACCACGCCCGGCGGCCTTTGTCTCCCCAGTGGCGATGTTTACACACCAGCACCAGGTACTCATTTGAGGCTGAGTCGACCTAGGGGAGGCCCAGGACCGGTTCAGATAATCGTCACTGGTGATGGCCGTGAGCGGGAATCAAACTCGGGTCGCCGGGTTCGTAGCGCAGCGTAGCGCTAACCGCTACACGAGACACACACACGTATAGACACACGGATATCGATAGACGCACGTACAGACACATGCATGTACAGACACGCACGCACACACACAAACACACGGGTGTAGAGATACACACACGTATGCACAATCTTAAATGAACCTCTTGTACACTGTACAAGTACATGCATGTAAATAAAAAACCGCGTGCGTGTGTGCGTGTATAAGCGACTGTGAATGGATATGACAGGCCAGGAGAAGTGGTGACTGTGTGTGTGCATGTGCTCGTGTGTGTGTGTGTGTGTGCATGTGTGTGTGTGCTCGTGTGTGTGTGCTCGTGTGTGTGTGTGCTCGTGTGTGTGCATGTGTGTGTGCTCGTGTGTGTGTGCATGTGTGTATGTGTGTGTGTGTATAAATAGTGGAGATCGGTAGTGCAGTGGTTAGCGCGCTGCGAACCTGGAGACCCTGGTTCGATTCCCACTCACAGCCAACATCAGTGAGGTTTATCTGAACCAGTCCCGGGCCTCCCCTAGGTCGACTCGGCCTCAAATGAGTACCTGGTGTGGTGTGTAAATATCACCACTGGGGAGACAAAGGCGGCCGGGCGTGGTGTTGGCCACCCACCCCCCCGTGTGCCGTGCCGGCCTTCATAGGTGCTCGCTAACAGCACTTGCCCCAGTAGTCTATTAAGGCTACACGGGGGATCTTTTTTTTTAAGTGCTCGTGTGTGTGCACATATTGACATGGGGGAACGGTGGCGCAGTGCTTAGCGCACTGCGCTACAAACTCCGGCAACCCGAGTTCAAGTCCCGCTGACGGCCAACATCGGCGACGAATATCTGCACCACTCCCCCGCACATCCCGTAGGTCGACTCAGCCTCAAATCAGCACCTGCTGCGGCGTGCAATAAGCATCAGCGCAGTACGGGGAAGACGACAACGGACGGGTGAGGAGCTGCGTGACGTGCCGACCTTCATAGCACTTTGCTTCACTAACGGCACTTGCCCCGGCGGCCTGTGTAGGCTACACAGGGGACATGTGTCTCTGTACGTGTGATGTGTACGTGTGTGTGTGTGTGTACGTGTGCGTGTGTACGTGTGTGTGTGTACGTGTGTGTACGTGTGTGTGTATGTACGTGTGTGTACGTGTGTGTGTGTACGTGTGTGTGTACGTGTGTGTGTGTACGTGTGTGTGTACGTGTGTGTGTGTACGTGTGTATGTGTGTGTGTGTGTACGTGTGTATGTGTGTGTGTACGTGTGTGTGTGTGTACGTGTGTGTGTGTACGTGTGTGTGTACGTGTGTGTGTACGTGTGTGTGTGTACGTGTGTGTATACATGTGTGTGTACCTGTGTGTGTGTGGTGGGGAACAGAAGTGGAGCAGGGTAGCGCTGCGCTACGCTACGAACCCGGGCGGCCGCAGTTCGCTCCCCGCTCACAGGCAACGCCGGTGACGATTATCTGCACCGGTCCTGGGCCTCCCCTAGGTCGACTCAGCCTCAAATTAGTACCTGGTGCTGCGTGTAAACATCGCCAATGGGTAAACATCGCCAATGGGGAGACAAAGGCGGCCGGGCGTGGCGCTGGCCACCCACCCCTCTCGTGTGCCGTGCCGGCCTTCGTAGATAGGCGCTGCTCGCGAACGGCACTTGCCCCAACAGTCTGTTAAGGCTTTAGGGGAGATCTTTGTATTTGCCTTTGTTGTGTGCGAGTGTGAAGTGGCTATGATGACGGGCCAGGAGATGTGTTTATTGTGTGTGTAACCCCATTGGAGCATCGTGCTGGGTGCAATTTAACGCCTCTTTGTGGAGCGGGCTAAGTGAGAATTGGAATGTGCGGGTGCATGTACCATTCGGGAGAGAGCGGGGGGAGAGAGCGCGGGAGTGAGAGAGAGCCCGGGAGAGAGAGAGAGATAAGGGATGAGGAGGAACAACGATGGCGAGCTCAAGACTCCAAGAGACTAGCAGACAAAGATCCCCCGTGTAGCCCCAACAGACTGCCGGGGCAAGTGCTGTTAGCGAGCACCAATGAAGGCCGGCACGGCAACACGAGAGGGGGTGGATGGCCAGCAACACTCCGAACCGCCTTTGTCTCCCCAGTGGCGATGTTTACACGCCGCGCCGGGTACTCATTTGAGGCTGAGTCGACCTGAGGGAGGCCCAGGACCGGTTCAAATAATCGTCACCGGCGTTGGCCGTGAGCGGGAACCAAACTCGGGTTGGAAGCTTGCGTTGCCTCCGAAACGTCGTGATTTGATTTTAATTTATTTTAACTCACGTGACTTTACCGAAAAAAACATAGAGTATGAATCCTTGCAGTCACGAAAGCTTCAAATCTAGAATCGGGTCGTAAGATTCGTAGCGCGGCGTAGCGCTAACCGCTGCACCACCGTTCCCCACAAATATACACGTCCATATATACACGTACACACAGAAATCGATATGCACACTTACACAAAGAGATGCACAGATACACATCGCTCTTGACCACCCCCCCCCCCTTCTCCAGCCCGTGCTGCGCCCGTTTAGCCCCCTCTATCCTTCCAAACAGAAGCTGCTTGGGGCAGCATGCAGTGGCTGGGCATGCGGGCTACGTGACCCAGCCAACGCAGCCTCGCCTGCCAGAGGAGCTCACTGTTTGGGATCGTGTCCAGACGTTTCAAGGATTTGTGAGCTCCTCATACTGTGATCCAACCTGGTTAAACCCAGGATGGATTGTTTAGGCAGGCCGGCCAGAATATTTCTAACCGGCGCAGATGCTCCTTTAAAGGGGGTCCCAGGTTTCGCATGACTCTGGCCCCGAAGCGTCGTGTGGAGCGACAAGCCAAGGTAGTTTGCATACTTATTCTGAGGTTTTTTCGGTAAAGTCACGTAGGTAAAAAATTAAAATTAATAAAAGTAAAATAAAAATAAAATTGGAATTTCTCTTACTTGATACAGCTATCGTGCTGTGACGGTTCCACCTGAAGACGGAAGCTTGTGTTGCCTCCGAAACGTCGTGATTTTTATTTTATTTTTATTTTACTTTTATTAATTTTAATTTTTTACCTACGTGACTTTACCTAAAAAACCTAAAAATATGAATCCTTGCAGTCACGAAAGCTTCAAATCTAGAATTAGTTTGCACGCTGTCACGTCACGGACGCGGCAGATGAAAATACAATGCCGCTCGCCTGATTCTGGAGCGAGACCTCCGATGCCGAACCGGTTGCGGTCGTAAGCATGCACACTGGCCCAGCTACGGAAACGTCTCCATGCCATCAGCCACACAAGCAGCACGGCGGACCCATCTTTTCAAACCCCAGTGCCCAAGCGGTTAGTCGTGATGACCACAATTTATAACACCGCGCTATTTGTGTACAGGCACAGGGTACGCAAAGCTCAGTCGTTTTATTTCTAATTGCGGACCAAAATGCCGCCGTGGAATTTGTGCAGTTTTCGCACCCCCACCCCCTCCCCCCACCACGAGACGCGGGGAGAAAAAAAATCGCAGAGGAGCGCCTGGAAAGGCAGCCAGAAAAACCAGCGGTTGCCCCAAGTTCTGTGGTCCTACAGCGGATCGGAATCGTTCGGCCTTCCGAACCGCGTCGGGCGGTTCACGCAGCGCGGTAACGATTGGCGCGGTGGGCTCCGTACGGTGCGGAAGAAATTCAACGTACTTACCGGGGCGCCGCGGTGGCCAGGAGATGTTAACTACCTCGCCCAGTATGCAGGAGGTCGCCGTGGGTTCGAACCCGACCCTGACGCCTGCTGCTGTATATTTGGATTTTGCGTGTCTCTCTCTCTCTCTCATCATCATCATCACGGTGGCTAGGAGATGTTGACTACCTCGCCCGGTTTGCAGGAGGTCGCCGTGGGTTCGATCCTGACCCTGACGCCTGCTGCTGTATATTTGGAGTTTGCGTGTCTCTCTCTCTCATCATCATCATCACGGTGGCTAGGAGATGTTGACTACCTCGCCCGGTATGCAGGAGGTTGCCGTGGGTTCGATGCCGACCCTGACGCCTGCTGCTGTATATTTGGAGTTTGCGTGTCTCTCTCTCTCTCATCATCATCATCACGGTGGCTAGGAGATGTTGACTACCTCGCCCGGTATGCAGGAGGTCGCCGTGGGTTTGATCCCGACCCTGACGCCTGCTGCTGTATATTTGGCGTGTCTCTCTCTCCCCGTGGTGGTCGCGTGGATTTTTACTCCGGGTCCTCCGGTTTTTCCCTCCACATTTAGAATCAACATCTCTACGCGTTTTAGAGTATGTGGCTGCGAAACATTGCCACGTGATGATAAAAAGCTCACTTCACTGAGCTATGCAGCTCAGTGGGCCTTACCTGGTAAAATAACAAAAACTGTTTAATTTTCAATTTAAAGCTTTCGTGACTGCAGGGATTCATCTTCTTGGTTCTTTCGGTAAAGTCACGTAGAAGGGAAGTAATAAATTAATAAAAATAAAACATAATAAAAAAAATAATAATTATTTGATTATGTTTTCTTTTTATTATTTTATTATTTCCCTTCTACGTGACTTGACCGAAAGAACCAAGAAGAAAAATAGTTTAGTTGATACGTACATTGCAATGTAGGGCACCCTGCACGCAATCGCCGCCGCCCCCCCTCCACTCAACAGTTTGCCCGGCGCTATTCCTAAAGGCACATCAGCCAGCCACTCACAGAGGGTGCGCTACTTCCTCCAATATTTAAGGCTCTGCAGCCCTAGCAAGGTCCACCCCACCCTTGGCACCGTGACATTGTTACCTGAGCTCATGGGATTCCGCTCCCCCAGGATATCACGGGGGTCAAGAGATCGGATCACCGCTCTTTTACACACTTTTATTTAACTCACTCTGTCCTGTTGTTGTTGTTGTCGTATCCTCAAATCTTGTAACTCAATTTGAACCCACTTCCCAATGTGGTATCGACTGCAAACTTGGTATACTTATGTCATACTGATGACAATACTATAAGCTATCCAAAAAAATAAAAAAGAGTATTTTTAAACATTCTTTTTTATATGTTACTAGCATAAGCACCCGGCGTTGCCTGGGTGAAAAATATATTTCTTAATAACCTTACATATATACACAGATGGGCTGCTACCCCTGCCCCCCACCCCCAGCCACGATCTCCTCGGCCGCTGTGCAGTAATATGTACGGCCTATAGTGTGGTGGGGTGTCGAGGCCTAGTACCGTGCAGAGCCTCCAGCCTCGCCTAAATTGCCCACCGGCTGAGGCTGGGTACGGGTGCCATCCCCCCCCCCCGCGCTACAATAATACTGTCTAATCGCTATAATTTTATTATCTACCGACCCTATAATAGTAATTGCACACATTGGCGTGGGGGGGGGGGGAGTGAAGAGGACGTGAAACTTTGATGAATTTACCTCAGAGTCGCGTGGTGGGTGTCGAGGCCTAGTACCGTGCAGAGCCTCCGGCCTCGCCTAGATTGCCCACCCGGCTGAGGCTGGGTACGGGTGCCGTTCCCCCCCCCCCCCCCCCGCGCTACAATAATACTGTGTAATCGCTATAATTTTATTATCTACCGACCCTATAATAGTAATTGCACACATTGGCGTGGGGGGGGAGTGAAGAGGACGTGAAACTTTGATGAATTTACCTCAGAGTCGCGTGGTGGGTGTCGAGGCCTAGTACCGTGCAGAGCCTCCGGCCTCGCCTAGATTGCCCACCCGGCTGAGGCTGGGTACTGGGTCCGGTACCCCCCCCCCCCCCCCCCGCGCTACAATAATACTGTCTAATCGCTATAATTTTATTATCTACCGACCCTATAATAGTAATTGCACACATTGGGGTGGGGGGGGGAGTGAAGAGGACGTGAAACTTTGATGAATTTACCTCAGAGTCGCGTGTTAATGCGTGCGCATATTTTTAACGGGAATTAAAAATGGCGTCCACCCCGCAGCGAATGCGTCGCTACCCGTTGCCAGGGGCAACCGCCGTCCAATGAAACTGCGTATGGGCCGGCCACACAGACACACACACAGACAGACGGACAGACAGACAGATTTGCGATTTTATATATATAGATGTTTCGCCTTGGGTCTAATTGTCCACGCTCAACTGACGTTGGCTGTAAATCACCACGGCCTCTTGCGTTATGGCAAGCTATGCGGACACTTCCTGGAGTCGTCGAGTTCTGCCATTACGAGTACGGTACATTTGATTAAAGCGTGTTTTAAAAAAAGTATTTTTAAATATTACTTATTTCCCTTACGAACGGTTATGGCGTGTGGCGCTGCAGGTTACTTTCCCGATGGAATTATAGCGGAACTCGAGCTGCTGAGGCTGTTACCACCTCCTCGGCAACCCACGACCGCCACCCATGCTCGCAGCGCCGCTCGGCTCTCCGAACCTCCTCAATCATGGACGTGTGACCTTGTAGACCATCGTCCTTCGTTGCAAGGCCCGCGGGCAACCGGCGGCCCCTGGTGGCCTTTAGTGCGGCCACTGGTGGCCTTTAGTGCGGCCCCTGGTGGCCTTTAGTGCGGCCCCTGGTGGCCTTTAGTGCGGCCCCTGGTGGCCTTTAGTGCGGCCACTGGTGGCCTTTAGTGCGGCGCCTGGTGGCCGTTAGTGTGGCCCCTGGCGGCCGTTAGTGTGGCCCCTGGTGGCCTTTAGTGCGACCACTGGTGGCCTTTAGTGCGGCCACTGGTGGCCTTTAGTGCGGCCCCTAGTGGCCTTTAGTGCGGCCCCTGGTGGCCTTTAGTGCGGCCCCTGGTGGCCTTTAGTGCGGCCACTGGTGGCCTTTAGTGCGGCGCCTGGTGGCCGTTAGTGTGGCCCCTGGCGGCCGTTAGTGTGGCCCCTGGCGGCCGTTAGTGTGGCCCCTGGTGGCCTTTAGTGTGGCCCCTGGTGGCCTTTAGTGCGGCCACTGGTGGCCTTTAGTGCGGCCACTGGTGGCCTTTAGTGCGGCCCCTGGTGGCCTTTAGTGCGGCCACTGGTGGCCTTTAGTGCGGCGCCTGGTGGCCGTTAGTGTGGCCCCTGGCGGCCGTTAGTGTGGCCCCTGGTGGCCTTTAGTGTGGCCCCTGGTGGCCTTTAGTGTGGCCTCTGGTGGCCTTTAGTGCGGTCACTGGTGGCCTTTAGTGCGGCCACTGGTGGCCTTTAGTGCGGCCACTGGTGGCCTTTAGTGCGGCGCCTGGTGGCCGTTAGTGTGGCCCCTGGCGGCCGTTAGTGTGGCCCCTGGTGGCCTTTAGTGTGGCCCCTGGTGGCCTTTAGTGTGGCCCCTGGTGGCCTTTAGTGCGGCCACTGGTGGCCTTTAGTGCGACCCCTGGTGGCCTTTAGTGCGGCCCCTGGTGGCCTTTAGTGCGGCCCCTGGTGGCCTTTAGTGCGGCCCCTGGTGGCCTTTAGTGCGGCCACTGGTGGCCTTTAGTGTGGCCCCTGGCGGCCTTTAGTGCGGCCACTGGTGGCCTTTAGTGCGGCCACTGGTGGCCTTTAGTGCGGCCACTGGTGGCCTTTAGTGCGGCCCCTGGTGGCCTTTAGTGCGGTCACTGGTGGCCTTTAGTTCGGCCCCTGACGTGCAGGCCCCGACAATACACAACAAGTGAAAACACCCCCCCATCGTGCTGCTGTCTAATCCCCAATGGTTTCAAATGCGTGGCGGCCCTCGCACTGATGATGTCTTATCGGCGAAAGTGTCCGCCCTCTGAAAACGAGTCAAGAACACTGATATTGACGGTGGGAGTGGGCCTGCTCTCAGCTCGCCGTTACACCGCCGACATCAAGGCAAGGGTCTCTGGGGAGGTTTGGGCTGGGTACTCGATGCAGCCACAGCAGCTGCATGAGCCACAGTCCTGAGCCTCACACATTCCCCTCTTTCTTCAAATCA